GGCGTCGTATACGCTCTTCTGATTGTCCTGGGAGTCGAGTAAGCGTCGTCGAGCAACTTGGCGTGCCGCTTGGGCCTTCATTATTGCATCACGAGCGTACTGAGACTTGTCATTTAGTCCGGCCGGCAGGAGGGTGTCGAAAGGTAGCGCAGGGTCACGGCCGAACAACAGAAAAAAAGGAGAGAACCCAGCGGTGTCGTGTCTGGAAGAATTGTACGCGAATGTTACAAACGGTAACGTAGTGTCCCAGTCGCGGTGATCGGCGGAGACATACATGGAGAGCATGTCGGTGAGAGTGCGATTGAGGCGCTCCGTTAGACCATTTGTTTGTGGATGGTAAGCAGTCGAGAGCTTGTGTTTAGTGGCGCAGGAGCGGAGGAGGTCATCAACCACTTTGGAAAGGAAGTAGCTGCCTCGGTCGGTAAGGAGTTGTCGAGGGGCGCCATGATGTAAGATGACGTCCTCCAAAAGGAAATCGGCCACGTCAGTTGCACAGCTGGTTGGAAGGGCCCGTGTGATCGCGTATCGGGTAGCATAATCGGTTGCTACTGCAATCCACCGATTACCCGCAGCTGACGTAGGAAAAGGGCCAAGCAGGTCCACGCCAACACGGTAGAATGGGTCTTGTGGGATGTGCAGTGGCTGAAGACGTCCGGCCGGAGGGGCATTTGGTTTTTTTCCGTCGTTGACAAGGGTCGCAGGCTGCAATATAACGGCAGACGTCGCGGTACATGCCAGGCCAGAAGAAGCGCCGGCGAACTCTGTCGTAGGTCCGTGACACGCCGAGGTGACCCGCTGTAGGTGCATCATGAAGCTGGGCGAGAACAGTGTGACGCAATTGAATGGGAACGACGAGTAGTCTTTCGGGGCCGTCAGGACGCATATTGCAACGGTACAATACACCATCATGTATTTCAAACATTCGAAGGGAAGGGTCGGCATTGTTGACTGCAGTCGCCATGGGGGAGACCACTAGGCGCCCGCTACGAAGCTCCGTTTTGCGTGAAGTGAGTACCCCGCACCTCCCACCAATGATGTTACGGGGAGAATAACTTTACTTTATAAAACGAGGAATAAACTCGGTGGTGGACAAGATGGCGCCCAGTTGGCTCACAGATCTGACAACATCGTCTTTCTCTTTGTCTTCTTCGTCGTTCTCATCCTACCGTTACAATATATATATATATATTATATATATATATATATATATTGTTACGGGAGAATAACTTTACTTTATAAAACGAGGAATAAACTCGGTGGTGGACAAGATGGCGCCCAGTTGGCTCACAGATCTGACAACATCGTCTTTCTCTTTGTCTTCTTCGTCGTTCTCATCCTACCGTTACATGATTTCCCCGGCGGCTGGAGCACCGACCCGGTGCTAATCAGGAGGCACTGGAGTAATACGGTTTGAGTCGCGTAACATGCACTACGTCAGTGTGAGGGTGAAGGATGGCGGGGTCCGTAGGGGTGATTTCGTATGTGACGTCAGTTACTTGGCGTAAGATACGGTAGGGACCTGAATAGCGTGGGAGTAACTTCTCCGAAAGTCCAACGCGGCGCGAGGGGAACCATAACAGAACGAGATCTCCGGGTGTGAAGTGGACGTCACGATGGCGGGCGTCGTATACGCTCTTCTGATTGTCCTGGGAGTCGAGTAAGCGTCGTCGAGCAACTTGGCGTGCCGCTTGGGCCTTCATTATTGCATCACGAGCGTACTGAGACTTGTCATTTAGTCCGGCCGGCAGGAGGGTGTCGAAAGGTAGCGCAGGGTCACGGCCGAACAACAGAAAAAAAGGAGAGAACCCAGCGGTGTCGTGTCTGGAAGAATTGTACGCGAATGTTACAAACGGTAACGTAGTGTCCCAGTCGCGGTGATCGGCGGAGACATACATGGAGAGCATGTCGGTGAGAGTGCGATTGAGGCGCTCCGTTAGACCATTTGTTTGTGGATGGTAAGCAGTCGAGAGCTTGTGTTTAGTGGCGCAGGAGCGGAGGAGGTCATCAACCACTTTGGAAAGGAAGTAGCTGCCTCGGTCGGTAAGGAGTTGTCGAGGGGCGCCATGATGTAAGATGACGTCCTCCAAAAGGAAATCGGCCACGTCAGTTGCACAGCTGGTTGGAAGGGCCCGTGTGATCGCGTATCGGGTAGCATAATCGGTTGCTACTGCAATCCACCGATTACCCGCAGCTGACGTAGGAAAAGGGCCAAGCAGGTCCACGCCAACACGGTAGAATGGGTCTTGTGGGATGTGCAGTTGGCTGAAGACGTCCGGCCGGAGGGGCATTTGGTTTTTTCCGTCGTTGACAAGGGTCGCAGGCTGCAATATAACGGCAGACGTCGCGGTACATGCCAGGCCAGAAGAAGCGCCGGCGAACTCTGTCGTAGGTCCGTGACACGCCGAGGTGACCCGCTGTAGGTGCATCATGAAGCTGGGCGAGAAACAGTGTGACGCAATTGAATGGGAACGACGAGTAGTCTTTCGGGGCCGTCAGGACGCATATTGCAACGGTACAATACACCATCATGTATTTCAAACATTCGAAGGGAAGGGTCGGCATTGTTGACTGCAGTCGCCATGGGGGAGACCACTAGGCGCCCGCTACGAAGCTCCGTTTTGCGTGAAGTGAGTACCCCCGCACCTCCCACCAATGATGTTACGGGAGAATAACTTTACTTTATAAAACGAGGGAAATAAACTCGGGGTGGACAAGATGGCGCCCAGTTGGCTCACAGATCTGACAACATCGTCTTTCTCTTTGTCTTCTTCGTCGTTCTCATCCTACCGTTACAATATATATAATATATATATATATATATATATATATATATATATATGGTATAGGCGATGGCGGCGATGTCAAAAAAAAAACAGCCGAGATTGCAATAGAGAGAATAAGCTTATATGAAATAATGTGTTAATCAGCAACTTATCTGTTTTCGCCGCCTTTAGAAGCGAACGCACATCTGTAGTGCGTTCAAGTCAGGCATGATTTTCAGTTACGTTGTACGTGGTACGTATTCTACCGCAGTTATTGGCCAAATTCAGAAAAGCACGCATATCGCGAAACACTTTTTTCGTTCTCGTTTCAAGCACAGGCATGGATCCAAAAGGGTGCCGTGGAAAAAAAAAGTAAATGTACTAGACCACTACTGTCAACTGACAAAATACAACGCTGCGTGCATCGTTATGTGGCTTAAGCCATGAATGCATTCGATAATCCAGTGGTGTCTTGTTCATGCAAGGTTAATGTTAGTGTTATACCACAACTGTACTAGAGCACCCCCCCCCATACACACACACAAGATTTAGTAAATGCTTATCATAGAAAGTATGACAGGTCGTTGAGAAAAAAAAAGCCGTTATGTTTAAATGATAATGTTAATAATACAGTTGTTTAATCGTTACGTTCATTTACCGCAAAACAACTGTACTCGAACATGTTGCTGTACTCTTAGCTTAGTACTCTGTGGTAACCGCGAAACATGCTGTCTACAGTGTAGTTTCAACTGATGTCAATTATAATTGGGAATGTCTAATTTTATGCATGACATTTGTAAGCGCGGAATTCATAATGTATGAAAAAAGAAAACAATTAGAAATTCAGACTGTTTACCCCTGCATTTTTTTTTTGCCAACAAGTCAGCTCTTTAATATATTTTAATAGCCAACACAAAGACAGGAGTGGGAAAAAGAAGTAGCAGCAACACTCAACACTACTCTTTTTGGCCATGCAGGTGTGTGCGCTGGCTTTTGAAATATCTTCCAGAACTTTCACCATCTGGCACAGCTTGCAATTCTTTTGCAATCAGATAGGTATAAGCCAACTTGGGAACCGGCTAAGAAATGATGAGCTGAAAACATACACTGTGTGGGTAAGAATGACAAAGGTGGCGTGATCGTCGGAATAACAAATTTATCACTAAAGGGTGCTGCTACGTTCGCTACGACAATGACATCTATTAGCGCAGAAAATTATGACCGACAGTTCCCTATCGTTTACAGATAACGGAAGAATTATGCTCAATATGTGACGCTACCTTTCAACGAGTAATCGCTCTGATTGAATCTTTAGTTAAGACAACATTCAGATTTCAGCCCAACGCAGATTTGAAAAAAAAAAGGGCGTGTTTTAAGTGAAAATTTCGGAAGCTTGAAAATCTGAAAATAGGTGAAATCAAAGGAGGCATATATGCGTAGATAACCGGGAGCATTCCTAAAAAAAGCGCTATTAACGGAACTGATTTCGTTCATTTAATTCACAAATTAAGGCAGTGAGTGCGTATAGGGTGATTGTAGATGAAAACGCGAAAACTGTGGTCTACTGAATGCACGTATTTATGCTTTCAGCGTCTGCAAATTTGGTGACGTCCACAAAACTTCGTCTCGAACACTCACAGCACAGCCAACACCACCTTTAGCAGCAGTACACTCTAGAAGCCAATTTGTAGCGATGTAACATGGTTATCATCAGGCAACTGCGTGTAGCGGCAGTTATATTGTCAATAAAAAACTATGTCGCGTTTTACTCAACGAGTTCTGTGCATCGTACAGTTTATATAAGTGAGAGAAGGGGTGGCGGAACGAAATTGTCTCGCTTTAAATATTGACGAGTACGACGCCTATATTGAAACCGGGTTCGCGAGGCCTAGTCTGTGTAGCTATGCCAGCACGGTAATTCCGAACTACCTGCGCCCGCCGACGAAAGCGAGAGATCCGAGCAGCACTTGGTGTAAGGACAAAACGCACCTCCTTGTTTCAGTACCGATAAATGCCTACCTGCAGGCTTATCCGAAAAGCCTTGCTGGGAGCGTCAACAAAATGAAATTACCGGGTCTTTCTTGCGATTGCATCCGTGTTATAACTTGCCGCTGGACGTGTCAAATGAAGCCTTTGCGCCAAACTCAAACTAGTTCATGACAGCGACCTAAATGCAAGATTACGGTGATATATTCGTGTAATTACGAAAGTCTGTAAGCAAGAAAACATGACACATACCTTGCCCTGACGGAGCGACGCTTCGAAGCGGCTATAGCTGGCGTGACGACTGAAGCCGAAGCGGTGCCATATCCGCTGCCATAGCAACAAACGATAAGCAGCGACCGAAAGCACCGAAGCTCTTCCGGCTGTATCGTTGCTAGCAGTCGCGCGAGCGACAGGCGCTTCGAAAGCAGAATGCGAGAAACGAGTGCAAAAAGGGTGCTTATCACTTTCCATTTGCGCATCGCTGCCGATAATCTACGAATCGTCGCGCCTGTTTTCAACTTTGAAACGGTAAAAGTATTACGCATTCACAATAGCGGGTGTGTTAGATGTCGGTAAGATTTCTGTGAGGGGGGAGGGGGGGACGTCGAGCGAGCTGCCTTGCGTTGTGCCTTCAACCATGACCGTGTTTTCCTACTCATCGGTTGGCCCGCGACAGAGCGGCGCCAGCAGCACGTTGACGCTTCGCTGTGTTATGCTTCGGAATTCTCGCCATGTTGCGCTCTAAAAGTTTTCCTGAGCAACTGCGCAGTTACCACCAAGAGGGCTCTTTAAAGGCTCCTCCAAGAGACGAAATGTGCGCAAAAGATTGCACACAGCATTGTGGAGCTAAGTACTGCTTTTAATTCATGCTCCCTAACCCGTTAATTAATACAACGCCCAGTAGTCCCAATGTACGAGTTGCCACAAGAAATGGGAATGTCATAAACCACGTCTTTGGCACATTTCCCGTACATCGTGCCATGTTTCTTGCCGCAACCCTGATGGCTGGCCTCCCCCTCCCCCCTCTCTAGCAGTTCTCGGGCACAGCTGAGCCAGTTTTACGGGCGCGGAAAAGGCGTCATGTACCCCACACTGGCCTGCTACCTTTTTCAGAATGTAGGAGACCTTATGAGCATAAGGAATCACTGCAGGTCTTACGGTTTCAGTTCCTTGTTCTCCCGTGGGAGCTCTAGTACTTCCACTTCTTGCTTTCCGCAAAAGCAACTCGTACAGATCGTGGAAACTCGTACATCAAGACTAGCGGGCGCTGTATTACTGAACGGGTTAGGAAGAATGAATTAAATTTATTGAAAGATGGCTTGGCGCATTCGCCTATGCATTGTAAAGCCTGCGAGTGCGTACTACGTTTGAACGAGTTCAAGATTCTAGGTAGAAGTAGGTATAACACTGCACGTGAGTTGATGAAAGCCTATTACCTGAAAAAGAAAGGTGAAAGGTGTAACAGCGAACCGTCGGTGACGTTGTACTTATCGGAGAAGAGATTTTTTGATAGCTGGATAGCGTAAGGCTGTCTGAAGACTGCACATGTCTGTATGTTGTTACTTAAGTTTGGATTTGCACCCGGTCTACATTAGTTGGAAGTGCCGCTTGTGCTTGTCGTTGAGTGTTTCTTTCCTTTGTGTGTGTGTTATTTGTGGCCAAAGCATGTCATTGAGCAAGTACCAACTAGGCCAACAATCAGTTTTGTTACAATCATAGAATTCCCTAATATGCACTAGAGGGAACTCTGGCGCTAGTGTCTATGGGAGCTGCAACGCACGGCGCTTCAACGAGCATGGGAATGATGGGTAGCACACACATTTGTCTACTTTTTGTACTTTTGGCCTGCTTCTGGCTCCGTCTGTGTTCGTGTGACTTGGTGCTGTTTTTTATAAAAAAAATAGTAAATGTTCAGCGTTTGCGCTACGCAACCTTATATTTTAGGCTTACCATTTCGAACCAGGTCACAAAGTTCAAAAGGGTTCGTTTTTTCTTTAAAACAAAACCGTAACCAGCAATAATTCAAAGCCACAAGTACGGTTCACCACCCGCAAGTACGAAGACTAGGCAAATGTGTGCACTAACCATCATTCCCATGGTCGCTGGACGATCGCAGCGCCAGAGTTTTCTCTAGTGAATTTTAGGAAACTCTATGGTTACAATAGAATTCTTTCTTTTGAACAAAACACTGTTGCTCCTTTGTGGAGTAACCGCGAGAGTGCGGTTGCTCCATCACGTGACCCGGGGGCGCAACGGTAGCGCTTCTCACTCCGGTTGCTCCTTCACAGTTACTCCCGAAATGGTGCAATGGGCGTGACAGTTTAGTTACTCCTCTAACGGAGCAACCTCGATAACTCTTACTTCTTAGTGTGTGCGCGTACTACAAAGCGGGGCCTTCACTATTTTGGCATTGCCAGCCAGATGCGCCTGATCTAACCGTTCACTACCTTATCTTGTAGCCCTTTCACGCTTTCGCCAATAGCGTTCGCGTGTGCTTCACGTTCATGACGGAGAGGACCCCAAATGCCGTGCCTCACAACGGAGTTATTTGTTCAGTTGTGTACAGATCCGCGGGGCGGCGTCTTGCATTCTTCGCGTTCACACTTCTGGTGATCACGCTGGCTCAGTAAGGGATGGGGTGTTTTAAGACAGCGAGCCAATGTTCGGGGCGCTATGCGAGCCAGAAATAAGGACGCGTCATTGCGACGCTGCTGGATTACTAGAATTTCTTTGTTAGATTTAATATATATTTATTTGTGTCATAGTTACTACAGTTAGGCTGCAAGCTACAAATTACATCACCGACGCATCGCTTGGCTTCTTTGCCTATTGAGATTATTAGGTTCTGCCAATAGAAGTGTGTTGCATTAGATGAACGAAATAGAGTTCGCTTGCTTGTTCATGAAAAAGTGTGCAGGCACTTGGAAAACAGAAACCGAGCTCACGGGTCTCGCGAACTCAGAATCTAGGTGTGCGACACACAACCCTCTTCAGTTTGTTATACTCATCGTGAATGACAAATGATGCAAAAAAAAAGAGGGGTAACTTTATTTCAGGTTTGGAATATGCGCCGAGGCGCGAGGGATGAATATTTCGACGTCTTTCTCTGAAACGGGCGAATAAGTTGGAAAACATGACCGAAAAAAAAAAAGACTGACTGGCGTTCACTAACAAATTACAGCCGACTTGCTGTGCTTACAAGCCTACACTAAGACTACCATAGCAGTTGCAGATTCAGTTTGCTATGTTCACTGTTCCACTCCAACGGGACAACGTTGAAGAATCAACTGCCTCTTCAATAGCAGACGTACTCCGCTTCTGCACAGTACGATAAGCAATTGCCCCATTTTGATTGGAACTCTTTTAGAAGTTAAAGATTGTTTGGCTCACTTTACGCTCTCGTGAAATTTAGCCTAGTTTCGAATGCTGCATTCGGATCTTATGAAAAAAAAACGCACCTCATAGGCTCACGTATATTCCACACAGTTGCTGTACCTTTTCACAGGAATTTGAGGGGAAACCTGAATAATTCGCATTGTGTAGAAACCGTCTGAGTGGGTATGGTGACCTAATAATTAAATAGACGGCACGATGATCTTGAATACGACGCAATTCCGGGAGAGGAATCCCTTCTTGACGTTCTCAAGCAGCGGCACGGATATGATCTGGGAGACGCCGAACTTGGGGTTCCGTTGACCGGATTCTGGCTTCTTCAAGCACTCCATGGCGTGTTCAGCCGACGCCGCATCCATTTCGAAAGATCGCCGGGCTTGTTCTTCTAGTTGGTTGACAAGAACCACGATGATCTGAAAGAGGGGAATATTTACATTGTTTTTTTGTACGGACTGCGGATGGAGGAAAAAAGGAGCAATTTCTTCTACGATAAAGCTGAATGAAGTGGAATGTTAGTGCCAGAAACTGTGTATATAGTGGTTGCTGCGAAGATTTCGCAGCACGGATTAAGCTGCATGGCTCGCTCTAGTGACCAAGTGGAACAAATGGTTAAGCTAGTGACAATATCACGGGCTTTACGCCCGAGAACCACGATATATTTACGAGAGAAGCCGTAGTGGAGGGATCTGGAAATTTCAATCATCTGGGGTTCTTTAACACGCCATGACATCGCATTGAACACGGGTCTCTACCATTTCGCCTCCATCAAAATGCGACCGCCGTGGCCCGAAGAAAACCCGAGACTTGTGAGTCAGCAGCCAAGCACCATACCCGCTGTTCAACAAAGGGGGACGTATTTGGATTACCTCATGCAGAGTATCCATACAGAGGTCTGAATGCTCAAATCCTTTCGCACCTAATTTTAAATCCTAAATGACCACTAAAATCAAACAACAATTTACGGGAGCGTGAAGGCTCAATGTATGAAAACGTCTAAAGCGACAATATTAGCAATAGTAGTGTTCTACTTACCGAGAAAATAAGGCAAACTAACGAGAACACATGCGCCGCAGTAGGACATTCACAAAATGATCCCGATGACGTGAAAGGTACCGCCTACAATCATTCATTAGTAACTGAACTTGCTGCACAAAATAAATAACCTCCTGTGTATAAAGAGTCGCAATAAAGTGCTGCTATAGGCTCGTTTCTCTTCGATTGATGAAAAAAAAGAACCCCAGACGTCACTATGGCGAATGGCGCAATTGATTCGAACGTTTTTCGCCTGGGTAAACTGAACCGGTTGTGCCATCTATCGGAGCCCAGTATGACCGAGCCCGTCTGCCATCTCGAAGCCCATGGCAGGAAATTCTTCAATGGCCATTGCTGCTGCTGTGGATCCTTCTGGTTTGGTTTTGCTGCTACTTGTCTCGGTGGCCGCACAGCAAAGTCGGTCAACGTTATCCACGGCAACAGTGATGCGAGGCGTTCTGCTTTCAGCGGGTAATTTGAAGTGTGCTAACGTGATGCGGATCTCCGAAACGCGATTTTATTTCAAAATAAGCACTTATTTGGCACAGAAGTAACAATAGGAGGTTTCCGGACCGCTTTTTCAAAAATCAACATTGACTTAATAGCTTCCTTTAGTGACCCTTTACCAGACGTACACAGGTGATAAAAAATGTTCAAGGATATGTGACCCAAACCTCTCAAAAATAATATTGAAGATCCTCCGACTTCTTGCCTTATTGATTATAAAGTTCCGTACGAAGAAATTCTGTGTTCATGCATTGTGACTGTGAAACTTTGCGCCATGTTCGTTTTTCTTATAACACCACTCTTTAGGTTTCATATTGTATAAGCCCTTCACTTTCGAATTAAGATGTGCAACTATAAAATCATCAAACTCGCATGGCATAATTCTAAGGCACTCAGTGGGGCAGTCGCAGAAGATTGTGCTCTTTTCAGGAGTTTGTTATATTATATATATATATATATATATAGTGGGAGTAATAATTCAATGGGCCAGTTAGTCTTCGTGAAGGTATGGGATATGGCACAACGGGAGCGTTGTCAACAAGGATAAATATATTTATTTCCCAACAGTTTCGGGAGGGGACCTCCCTTCATCAGGGGATGAGTCCCCTGCCGAAACTGTTGGGAAATAAATATATTTATCCTTGTTGACAACGTTCCCGTTGTGCCATATCCCATATATACATATATATATATATATATATATATATATATATATATATATATATATATATATATATATATATATATATATATATATATATATACGTAGATTATAAAGAGTCTGGCTTCGGTTGCCGTAGAATTAAGGCAAAATGATGAAGATCGGTGTCTGATTGAAACGTCACCAATAAACAGTTTTTTAGAGACGTATACTTATTTTCTCATTATATATATATATACGATCCTCACCTTGTTTTTGAAGGGCCAGGGCAGCATGTCATCATATTGACCGGGGCAAATCTGGCACTTAAACGACAGGTGTGGCGGTGACGCAGTGGAACCGCTACCGAATCCGACTGTGAACTCAACATGATATCCCGGTGTGTTGATGTACAGTGTGCCCGACGATATTGTCTCGGCAGATGTCATGGCTGCCGTTTTCAGGTCGTGGTACGGCTGCAGCTTCCAGATGTGCACGAAGCCTGGTTTTAGCTGTAGAGAAGAATAAGAGAATGTCATTGTTCAGAGCAAAACAAAATATACAAATGTACACAACGAAATATTTTCGTCATAGAGTCCGTTCAGTTCGAATTATGCAGAATATAACTTGAAGAACACCTAACTGTGAAATCTTTGTTGGCAAGTTTTTTACCACACTTGGCGAATTTTTTCTGGTAATCTCAAAATGTAATCGTAAGTACTCTGACATGTATATTTAAAAGTGGCCACGGTAATTGCGACAAATTTTCTCTCAGTTGGAAACTTGTTTCAGTACCCGCCCTTATATAAAACCAAGCTAAGGTAGTGTAAAGCTGATGTCCACCACTATATATAATCGATGTGCAGTGCCCACGTGTAGAAAAAAAAAATCGGGCAACGCAAGCATCTAGAGGTTGCAAATTTAGTGTCAGAAATCCTTTAGGTCTACCCTTGGAAAAGAAAAGAATTTTGGCTGACCACATGTACTTTGGGAATCGACGTTAGGTGAAGCATGTGGAGGGAAGGTGATCGTGTTGTATTTTTTTTTATTGAGCGACAAGTCATGAAATGACGCTAAATATATCAACAAATGTTGCACGCACAGACATATACTGAAGAATGGCAGATGTTTAATAAACCAGTTGTTTTCACTCGCGCAACGATGCAAACAGGAACGTATTGGCAACACCACAGGTGATAAGCTGATAGGGAACGCTGGTGCTCGCGAAGATAGTAGCGCCGGTCACTGTTAAATAAATCAACTTGAGCGCATGGCACCTAATCACACATGACAGTAACTCGACGTGACAGCTGTATCATAGGAGTACATATATATTGTATGTCATGTTTGTAAAATTGGATAGCTAGCACTGCAAGCACAATAGACGTTTTATATTAGCCTATATTTGAAAAGTAGTTCCGAGGCCTGGCATGGCTGTGTGGTAGAATGCTTGATGGTTACGCGCAATACTTGGGTTCGATTCCCACTGAGAATGTGACATTTTTTTTTTGCGTTTGTGAGGCCAATGCTTCCGATGTCAGCTTTTTTTTAACGCTCACACGTTAACATTACCCGTGTCCCTTCTTGCCAATCCTGGGTAGATATAAAGTGTCAAACACCTGTGGCATGTACGGGCGTATACTTGTTGCACATACCCACCTGCGGGTATGTGTCACACGTCTGGCGGAAAGCTTTTGAAGACGCACGTGGCAGCATTGTGACATTATTCAAGGCTAGATCAGGGCGTAGTATTTTTCAGGCCATCTTACGCCCCCCCCCCTCATTTACTAATTGTGGCTCACGCAAAATCAAAAATGTGATCATGAAATAACCAGAACGTAAGTGTGGCAGCTTGGGCTAGTTGGTATGGCATGACGATTGTTATAGCGCGAGAACAAAACGACGACACAGAGACAACAAGAAGGACACAAAAGACACGTGTCCTTGTTGTCTCTGTGTCGTCGTTTTGTTCTCGCGCTATAACTATCGTCATGGTAAGCGGCTAAATAGATAGATAAGCAGACGCCAAAAGTACTTGCAGTACGCGAAGAAAAATTTAAAACTCAAGTGTCCTTTTCGCTGGCTAGTGTTCCAGTCTACCTTAGCACTCTCTCTCGAGCAGTGAAGGACAGGCATATTACGTTCGAAGGTGTTCTCGGATCTGGGCAATTCAAATTGGGATGAAAATATGCGGACCACAAAGACAAGACTAATTATTGCTGAGGACTTTCTTAGTACGAGACCATTATTACAAAGTTTCTGGAAAGCTATTTCAGCGATTAACGTAGACCTGATATTCAAACTATTACAACAGTCTACTGTACACGTGACTATCGCAGTCAATTTGTGAATGAAGTTCGCTCTAAGTACATACATGGTCCAGGTGTACTTCATGTGTAAGCCGTTGCACAGCATTTTCTGTCTCCTGAGAAGAATGGGACACAAAAAAGGTGATCAAAACTGGTTGACAGAACTTTACAAAACTGAAAAGAAAATAGCTTGAACTTTACACCTACCGAAATTTGTAAAGAAAGCTGACCATATTGAGCATCCTCTTTCACCGTGAGTGCCTGGAAAAAAGAAAAAAATTGCTTTAGGGCTTACTTCTCGCTAATTATTGTGAACCAAGCGTTTAAATTTAAGTACGAAAGTGTAGCAGCCAAGAATTTTTATTTATTACCAGCAGGTAGTTGCATGACCTTCATAACTTGATAATCAATCTTTAATGCTACATGTGTCAGCGAAAAGTATCTCTCCTAACACTTAGGAAACTTGCAAGCTTGCAGAGGTTTTAAAGAATCTACTTTGCGGAAATTTTTATTGTCAAGCTGGAGTGTTCAAAGAGAACAGTGGCATTCAGCAGACGAGAGATAAGGCAGTTATGATGGTGTACAATACGTTCTCTTGTTTCATTTTGTTGAATGAAATAAGAGACCGCATTGGATTAGAAGCGCCAAGACATGGCATATAATGTTAATAAGCTAGTCTTAACACTGATTCTGAGTGGTTTTATGTCTGCTGTAACTCTCCTTTCTAGTCATCCACTGTAACCTTCCTTTCTCGTATGGATGATATATTCTGAGTAGCGACTTGAGACAACACCTCAATGCCTTTTTTAATTATTATTTGTTGGCTTCATATAGCTGACTGCAACGAGAAGCGGGCAGCACAATCCGTTCACAATTCTTTCATCTGAAGCGGACAAGGCGGAATGGTGAAGATATCATGCAGAATCTGTAGCTCACACATTTAAATATATTGTGGGAGAACTGTGACTAAAGTGTTCCTTTTACTTGGACTGTGTCGATTCAAGAATCATTCCGAGAATGTCATGTAGGATCAAACACACTGCAGCAACATTTTTTTGCATTTTGTTCTTAGAAGTAGAAGCATCACCTGAACTTCCTTTTTTAAATTCTGCACTTCGTTTTCCAACTCTGTGCGTAACGTCTTCTCAGCATTGACAGATTGTTGAAGTTCCACCTAAAATTGAATATTTTCGTGAAAAAATTATTAGCATACAGGTATGCTTGACGAATTACTTAAACACTATGCCATCCCTCCAAGAACATGTTGAGGCTATGTCTCGTTTTAAACAAGAACTCTTATTTTCATAAGTGCAGTTCTGGGAGCTTTCTAAAGGTGAGGGACACAACCATCAATGTATCCAACATTTGAATATCTGCGTGGTATAATGATCAATCTTTAAGATCCCCCTATTGACCTGGACAAAGTCACGCTCAATTTGTCACAAAAGAAAACGAATTCCAATGGAAAGGAGAATGTTCTGTTCGACAACTGGTAGAGACGACCCCCTAATCTGTTTTTAATGTGTATTCGCTAGACATATGGATCAGAATACAATACCAATGCCCATCCGCCAGTATTCTGTGTGCCTCCTGGATGGAATTGACCCCCAACCCTCCAAAAAAAAGCTAGTTCATTTTTAAAACAGCTTGGGCCAGAACAGTGTTTTGAGAAAAGGCCTATGTTCATAGCAGCGTTGGTGAGTTAATGGAGAACAACCTGGCAACAGCATGACAATTACCATTTTTCTTTCCATTTCTCGCATCTTCTCCTCATGGTTTCTTGTGACAGTAGTTAACAGTTCCTTTGATGCTTTGGTAAGGTCCTGCAAAAAATTCAGTCTAGAAATTATAACGGTAATTGAAAATTGGAAAGTTCATGATTCAAAAGTTATTTCTAACTTTTGTATCATGAACTTTCTATTTTTCAAATTAACCCTCTCAGAGGTGTTACATCAATGACAAATTTGAATTTTTACACTCGCAAGCCCACGCAGTACTATTTCTGATTATCTAATTGGTAGCTAATGTTCAGCAATACTTTAAATTCACTTTAGGCATCTAAATAAATTGGCTTAACTCCCATGCGATCTAACGTGAAGGGACAGGGCTATTTCGGCATAGGCACTATAGCACATCCATCTTTTTCAGTCAAGACGTCCGAGCCTAAATGAAGACCCGTAGTTGTGCATAATTGTTTTAAAAAGGCGTGCCCAAATACTTCAAGGTTCAAGATTGTAAAGCATATACTAAGTAAGGGAGGGACTCAGACTTTGTGTACAGGCTCAGCACTTAAGCCATCAAAAGTATTGGTCGTAATACCAAAAAGCCATACTTTGTTATTACACCTAGTCGAATCACTATGACGAAGATGTTTCGTTATTAAACATAATGGCAGTTTTTTTTGATTGCTTACGTGTTGCTGAATATTGATCAAATCACAGTAGCAATAAAAAAAAAGCATAATTTCATCAAAGAGTGACGCAGAATTGGCAATTTTTTCTTGAAATATAGTAAATATACATACGTTCAATACAATCGTTTGCTCTTGGCGCAGTGATTTTAGAGTAGTTTTTTTACATAAGATGTGAATAATTAATTAATTCCAAAAGATGTGATTTTTTTCACCTATTCCCCACTCAGCCATGACAGGATGCCATTGCCGCCATGGTGTAGGCGCCATGCACAGATATCTCAAAGGCTTAGGATTGGCCCTGACAAGCTGTGATACTACAATGCTAAGGGAACAAGCAATGGACGTATGGTACGAAAGTGCCTTCCTCTCGAAAGCTGTGTAACGAAAATACGATTGATAAGAAAGCGTATGTCTACACTTACATTTATTTAGTTTTTTTGCTAAAAAAAGAAATGATACTACTAAACACAATATTTTGTTAAAACTAACGGGTCGTTTTAGTACCCAATCGCGAAGAGTACACAAAAGTGTAGAAAATCAGACTTGACAGCGATTCTCGATAGCATTGTTATAACGCAAAGAATAGTCCCAAAGAAAGACAACGCAGAGCATTCTTCTCTAAACGAATACTTGATTTCGACTTACCTGGTTTTCCCTTTCCAGGTGGCATATCTTGCGAAGAAACAGTTCACTATGGCCATTGGAGCGGGAATTTTCTTCGTGCCTCTCCATCTCTCGTCTAGCGGCCTGTTCCGTGAAGCCGCAAAATTAACTTAGTAGACAAGGGAAATATACTAGTCTATTATTTGTTGGTTGGGTATATGGACAGTGCTATAGGTTGTTGTTTTTGAATACATTCTTGAATTCTGTTTTTCCTTTTTTTGGAACAATGAAGTGGAAAGGAGGAGCCGTCGCCAAGTAATGGTCACAGTAACTTCAGTTTATTTTTAAGTAATTAAAAGAAGCAGTTCATGCGTTGCACTATGAAAGTACATTGTAAGGTTTTAAAATATATATTCCTTTGTTGGTTGCCTAGTCCAATGCAAATAGTGGGTAGTGGGTACGGGCAGGCTGAGCCGGACCACTGCATTGTGAGCTCTTTGGACGGCCCAAAGCCGATCCTCAATGCTTTTGAAGGCGGAGCACAGCTGTGGTGACATGGTCTCAGCTAGGTAACGAGGTGCATCACCATCGTCAAGAGAACAAGAACCTACGAAAAATTTCGAGCAGATGCCACCATTTGTGGGAATCGATTTCGTGCGAAGTCACTGGAAAGGGGCTTATTCCGCAATAACTGTCACGCTTTGCAATGCGCATTGATACTACGGCAGCGGACGTGTAGTTTCCGTAGCTCTGCGCATGCAGTGGGCTTACTAGGCAGGCGGACTGCACTGACGTCTGAACGGTCACAGGTTCAATATCTAACATTATGCCAGCTCTCAAAGTGGTGCTCGGACGTCACTCTACCAATGTAAGTGTAGATCAGGGTGCCTCTTGATCAGAAGAAATCAGCTTGCTCTGATGTGCATCGATGGAGGTGGAGAAAGAGAAGGTAGCCTGACCAAAGCAAGAGAGCGGTTTGTTTCGATGCCGAATCGGATAGTTTCAAATCGGGCAGCGTTACGTAATTTCAGACGACCACAAAAAAACACACATTGAATTTTGATGGTTTAACAGCCTTTCGCAGCTTTAGAGACCTGACTGTCTATATAACCGGTTATCATATACCTGTAAAAATTATAGAAACATACAAAAAATACGCGAGTGGACTCACTTAGTAAAGGCAGCGCAAAAAGCACGAGGAAAAGAAAGACAGTAGAGACAGTGTTTTTGCGCTGCCCTTTCTAAGTGAGTACTATGAACCAGCTAGCCCAAGCTAAAGTACTATCGCGAGAGGAGTGCATATGAATGAGCAATAGCAAGACTTATTTGTGTCGCAGAAGCTCTAGCATGCTCACAAAGGTTTCCTTACCTTGAAGTCACAGCCCAGCTGTTTGAACGAACAGTCTATAGGCTTAAGCTGGCAGACAGGCTCATGGTTTTGCTCAAGCTGAAAGCAAGATGGCGACAAGGGTCGAGTAGTAAGAACGCGACATTGGCAATTGCACTTTCCGTTATTACAATGTAAAGAAACGCTTCGTGTTTGAACTTAATATCAAGTACCACATTCTTTTAAGCACATGATGCTGCCTGAGGGTCGCTCGACAATGAAAGAAAGTGCATGCGCGGTGAGATTTGGGGTGGATGAGGGCCGCATGGAAACGTAGACCATCTGGTGATTGGTTACGGAGAAGTTGGAGGAGAAAATTGCTCCGTCTGTCGTAGTTGAACATAATAACCACTGAGGTAGTGTTGGTTTCACGGTGATGATTAAAAATTGCTTTAGTGAAGCAACCTTGAGGAAGAAATTTGCTCCAGTACAGTTATCTAGATAAGCGCAAATTGGACGCCAGTAAAAAAAGGAAGCAACTGACATGCTTTAAACACTAAGCAAAAAGTTAAAAACGAAAAAAATGACTGCTGCGCAAAAAAGCTTATACCATGCTAGAAAACATTACTCTAACAAAGCTAAGACAAGAATGCAGCTAAACTGTATCTAGACCGACCCGCTTCCTGGGCGACTGTTCATAGGACTACCTTTCACGTTGCCGAAGGTCAACTCCTTTAGAAAACGATAAAAATGTGCTGAATCTTGAGGTTACCTCTTTGTAAGTCCTGAATTTCTTAGCGCAGTATTCACACGTTGCAGGACGCTGATCACAGTTTGCTTCATGTTTCTGGAATAAACAAAAAAGGGACAGGATCAGGAGCAAGCAGGCCAAGCTCTTAACGAATCAAGACGACAGAGTGAAATCAACCAAAGTAACGAGCAGAAATTTTGTACATACTTCTCAACAATAGATCATATTCATACTGACTGGCGGTTAGCTCTAAGTGAAACGAAATAAAATTCCCTTTTCGTACTAAAGTAAACTAACTAATCCACTGTGAACACTTTTATTCTAAGGAAATGTGCGACTAAACTCACCCTCTTTTGGCAGGCCTCAACGTCTCTCTCACAGAAAACGCATTCCAGCAATCTTTGAGGACAGTCATTTTCCATGTGCTCGGCAATCACTTTCATCGCGTACGCATCTCCGCACAAGGTGCATCTCACCTTTCCTCTCATGTCACACTTCTCGTAATGCATCTGCAAGACCGCAACACGTAAAGTGCGTTGGGGAACGAAACAATGACGACGGCCCGAAAGAATGCATCGAACAAGCGGCACGATGACTCGGTAGTAAAAAAGTCGCTGTCAAAGCAGACATCATGCACTGTCTGACATTAGCTGTGCACCGGGCTTTGCTGGTGAATGATAGCGACTTTTCAGAAATTTCGCGGCCGTCGTTAAATTACTTATGAAGAACTTCATGGTGGCCACGAAATTCCTGAAAGGACGTTCACGGCCATCGACGATTACCTCTTTCCAGAAGGTTCTGTTTCTCGACATGACCAGATTCGTCGAACTCTACTGACTTTTCTGGACCAGACGAACCAGGCCACCTATTTAGACTTTTTTTTCGTTTTACTTTCGCTTGTTTCGGTGTTCATTTTTTCTTTACTTGTCCCTCTTCTTTCCTTTTCTCCCCTCCTATATTCCTTTCTTCTATCTCTCCCTTTCTCCCAAAAGAATAAGCAGGCACTGTGCCCCTCCTTGTGGTGGTTGCCAACTTGTTCTGTCTTTTTTTCTGTGTCCTTGTGTATCTATGCATGTAAACAAAATAAAATAAGGCCAAACTTACAAGAACCTGTCGCAGCTTGCCGCTGAAATCACAACCTTTGTTTTTGTTCGGGCAAGCAGACTGCATATTCTCCAACACTTGCCATTCTTTATCGTTTCTTTTCAACTGTGAAGAAAAAGGAGGAAAAATTTCAAGTTATTAACAATAGAGCTGTTTAACTTGGCGTAAGCTTGAGCGAATATGCACTGTTGAAAGCACGTATGTGTCCAGCCGCTCGTAGCATTGCATAGCCATGAGGGTTGAAGGATAGCGAGGGAGTGGGACAGTAAAGTGAGAGATAGAAGGAAGGAAATAAAACAGAAGTTACGCCAGAGGGTAAACCATCACGTAGCCATGGAGAGTAGAGTTTATGTCCCACGGACAGTAGGTATTAGGCATGCATAGCATAGCGAGAAGGTAGAAAAGAGAAGTGTGGGTGAGGAAGAGGGAAAAGATGGCAATATAGAATGAGTTAGCTCTTCCTGCAATGCCATATTTTAACTTTCTGCACAGAAACAAGAAAGAAAGACAACAGAAGAAGAAGATGGTCAAAGGGGTGAATAAAAAGGAATGAAAGAGGGAGGAAACAAAATAGATGAAAGAAATTGTTTTGTTTATGTTCGCCATTCGCTAGACCTTTTCGGCCAGTTCTGCTGTTTATTCAGGTTGTACAGTCGTAAGACTGAATTTTATTTTGAAAGAGAGCTATACATTTCAAGTACTCGACTGTTATATTCGCAAAAGGCGAGAAGAATCACATCAACTTTGCAACTCTCAGAATGCATGAGCTCACAGTTTATATTACGCTTGTTAAATTTTGTGATGCAAACTGCCCGTCTTCTTGCATTGTGACACTCCCTGGGCATGTTGGTTGAGAGTGTAAATTAGGATTTAATTTGCAATGCAGCCTACTGAAGAGCTGCAGAGCCGATTATAGCTCCCTTAATTCTGTACAGCAGTTGCACACAAAAACCGGGGCCATTTTCGCTAGTAATGAAAAATGTTGCATGAAATGTGAGCTGCAAACAAATGTTGCTTGTTGCTAATGCTGGACTATCATCGACTATCACCTTACCAGGAAAAAAAAACTGGCTGTTTTTCCCCCTTTTTAGCACCGCCACTTGATGGAGCTGTCAGCAACACTGAGTTGCTCATGGCTTCTTAAGAAATAATGTTCGCCAAGGGTACTAGTGCAGACGCTAATGTCGCAAAGGCACACTTCAGTAAGCACAGTTCAAGTAATAAACTGTGCTTGTCGCAGCATTTGATAATCGTTATCGACAAAACTACTTCGATGACTTGTGGTTGAAAATAATTTATATCGTTGTTCCACCGAATGCCAAAGTTTCGAAACTCATGACTGTCAACTGAAAAAAATTTTTTTTATGTATACGGGGGTTTAAATAGCTTTGACAATAGCGTGTGCTTTGCCATCCATAAGAATAGTTCTCACTTTGAAGATCAAGATTCTGTACAGGAGAGTTTGTGAGGAGCCGGCGTAGAAGTCTGAAGCCATCAGGACATGTCATATCTTTTCATATCCCTGGCTTGACACAACACCTGCGAGATGGTGCACATGACTCAGGGTTGCGCTTTTAAAGCATATCAAATTGTGCCACCGCGTGACCTTGTGGCCACGTTTCGTCGCACCGCATAGTTCATAGATAATTAGGCAAAAACATTTAATAGCTCATATCCACGGCATGTAACCATCCGTTCATCTGTGCCCTGGAGCGTTGCCAGCTGTGGCCTCTCCCCCTGACACTATCTCGAAAATAATGTGAAGGCCCAGTGGAGCACAGCAACAGTAGCCCCACCACAGCTGTGGCCTCTTTCCTTTACACTCTCACAGTAATCATGTGACGGAACAGTGGTGGCGTCCGATCATTCGTCTGTGCGCTCCCACTCACATACTCTCAGCAATCACGTAATGGCATAGCGGCGGGTGCAGCAACGCTCCTTCGTCGACAAGACTCGCTTATCAATTCCGAAGTGCATTCGTCATTCACCGAACACACTTTCAAACTCCTCCAATATGTTTCTGCCCTTCAATAATTTGGACCCATCGGGCATCCGCACTGAACTTTTTGGCACCACGGTTTATGTCTTCATCGAGAAGCGAAAACAGGCTAGCGATTGAAAAGGCAATGCGAAAACGGTTCGATTAGGCTGTCACGTTCTACTCTTGAAAGCGAACTGCGAACGTCCTTCAAGTTTATTGCTCGCTATGTCGGACATGTGTCTAACGCGCTGCATGTGATTCGTCTTTTTTACTCGGTGACGTTTATTCAACAGGTTAGAACAACTAGGAATTGTCAGATATTAGAGCTACCCCAACTATTGCAGCAGCCCTCCAATGATCTGCCGTCGCGTCTCATGCTCAGTGAGGTGTATTAGGTGATGGCTGCCGGGAAGTAGGCTTACGCTTAGAATCTTGGCGTGCTAATATCCTAATGTAGATTTTGGGTGATGTCACACCACGGTACGATTATGCATTATTGATATTGTCCTTCTTTCTTTGACCATTTTAGGGGCGAAGCTCCTTAAGGCGTCACCCGACCGTCCTATGTAGTAACACCTCTCTATCGGGTATGTGCCACAGGGGAGTTTAGTTCTTAGAATGTCCGCTAGATGGCTTGATTTCGGATGGATGGACGCACGGACGTACGTACGGACTGATGGACGCACGGACGGGAGTTTAGTTCTTGGAATGTCCGCTAGATGGCGGTACTTCTATGTATTCAATATACGTTGAAAAGATGCGAGTTGATACTGAAGGACGGATGGACGGATGGATGGACGCATGGATGGACATAAAGACAGAGACACGGACGGATGGATGCATGGATGGAGGAACAGAAGCAAGAACAAACGGACGGACGGAAGCACGGATGGAATGATGGATGCTTCGTCCCATTCCGTGGAAATGCTATGAATTTATCGTTTTACTTTTGCTGCTATCGATAAGTCATTCGGTTGGAGACGAAGTCGTCTTCCAATTACGCCTCCCGCAGCCCTTTCATATCTTCACATCTCAACCCGAGGAGCGCTTTCGTTCCGCATCCGTGCGTCACATCCGAGAGTTTACCGTTGTGCGCGCCACTTACCGAGCGTAGTTGAGCACTCGTGTCGCATAAGTAGCAGGTGAATTGGTCGGTGTCGTCCGTGAGCGTGTGTGCACATGTCTGGCAGAACACGTGACCCTTCTTATCCTTCAGACCAGCGGCGGTGATGCAGTTGCACGCGGCGCAAATGAGCTCAGGCCGGAGCTCCTTGCGAAACGAGACAGCGATCTCATTGGGAAAAGCCGGGTGATCTCGAAGCTTGTAGGTTCCCTCAGCATTCTCGGAGTTCATCTTAATCTGGGAGCGAAAAAGGAAAAATAAGCGATTTCATAAACAGCCCTGTGTGCCTCGCCCTTAAACGGTTAAGGACATGATAAGAATATCGAAAGATTTTATTGCCAAAGACCGCGACACGATTATGAGAGACGCCGGGGTGCCGACAAGAGTCTTAAAAGATGTTTTTACGCTGCTACACGAATCTGCGGCATACACAGACTCATGTTCGACTCAACACACAGACTCAAGACTCAACACGCATACACAGACTCAAGTGCGAAAATTAGAAACGCTGATAAATATTGTGTTTTGATATTGAGACAAATTTTCTGAGGGCTCACGTAATGACATCGACACTGCTGCATAGAAATATGGCTCTAATAATGTGCAAAGATTAGTGAAGGCTGATAAATATTTTGTTTTGATATTGAGGTCAATTTTCTGAGGGCTCACATAGTGACATCGACAATATCTTGACAACAGACCAGGGTGTCGATTCGGGTGACTTCCCACTCAAGTATCGAATCCTGGCTGCGGTGGCTGCATTTTCAATGAAGGCAAAAAGGCTGTACGCCCTTATGCTCAGATTTGGGTGCACATTAAAGAACCCCAGGTGGTAAAAATTTCCGTAGCCTTCCAATACTGCGTCTCTCATAATCATATGGTGGCTTTGGGATGGCCGTAAACCCCACATATCAATCAGCAACGCTAGGTCGGGAATAAGCCTTTGCTCTCACGTCCCTGAAAGAGCCTCTTTAGAGGCACCAACATGAAGGTACGTGAACTTTCTGATGCCACGTTAATGTTATTACCACATCGCAAGCCGGTTCCTTCGTTGTTCATGCACAGATACCCGATGAAGCTCCAGCGACGTCCTTATCGCTTTGAAGAAGGTTGATAGACGCGTGGTTGCACTGTCTTCACGTCATCTACGCCGCCATGTTGCACGTCCTTGACATCTAGTCCAAGCTATCAATGTCACTCTTCCAGTGCTTCACCTATAAATATCACTTTCCTACTGTTTAGCTATAAATATCAGTGTTCTACTGTTTCAGCTATAAATATCAGTCTTCTACTGCGCATAACAGGTATAGGAAAACCAAGCTGGACGGTATGAATGCATTGTGTAGCAACGCGAAAAAACGCAGGAACGGAGGCTAGAGGGACGATCTCTGTTTTCAAGTTTGTTTTTTTCGAGATCTTTTTTTTTTTGTGCAGAGCGCTCAACTGGAGGAAAGCAGTTACGCTTCTGTTTTGATAGCAGTACTTTGTGCGAAAGGTGGCGACTGATAGCAATTATATTGATATCGCGCTCTCGAAACACACGCAGCTATGTCTGTCAAAGAGTGCGTCACGTTAAATTATTGGAAGACGGTTAACATTCGTACCCACTGAGTGTGCAATTACGCAGGAAATCGATGAAGGGAAGAATGCGTACAGTGCACAACAAAGTTCCCTCATCGGTCCACTACGCGAAAGCATAACTTTTTTGGTGATTGTAATCTTCCACTTACTGATTGACCAAATCTGTCATCATCCTGTTGTCCTCTGTGGAATCACTTAGCTTGGAATTATATTAGAGCCCAATTGACGCCGGCGGTTTGATTTGCTGGATCTTGTATGAATGGACTACATCACCTGGTAACGTTGGACACCGTGCTCACAGCATGACATTGGTTGTAGAAAGTATTTTTAACTCAGCATTGATACTTCATTACATTGCACGGTACTCAGACGAAAACACGGTATTGCAAGAAGGTCATCTATAGGAATAGTATAGCAACACCAGCATTTCCTTCAATGATGGGTTTCATATTTTATTTATTTCAAGATCCGTAAATTACAACCGGAAAATTATGTGCCGTAAGTCTCAGCAGCAAAGACGTGTCTGTTCCATCGCTTTGAGAACATTAAAAAACAAGTTTTCGACAATAATAACAGCTCAGTGATCGTGTGATAAGCTCTACAGGTGCAAATGGAAAGATGCAAGCAAGAAACCTTATCTCGATGCTCCCAAATAAGGTCGAACTTGACGAACACGCTTTATGTGACTCGTACATGCCATGCCGGCTATTCTGTCACTGAGCTTAAGTGAACCCTAACCTAAAAATGAATCTATATAAGACAAAAAACACTATTATGAATCAGCGAGATTTCTTGTCATTAAGTTTGCTTCTTATAACAGGCATGCCAGTAATTGAGATCTGTCACTAACGTCAACCACACTCGGTGCTGCACAGAACGTGACAGTAATATATATTTCGATTTTAACCGGTCACACCGGCACCGAAAAGAAAGGTTTCGAGTTCAGTGATTCATAGATCAAACGAGCTGTCAGACTGGACGGATGTTCGGTAGCTTGTGCAGCCGGTGCTGATAAGGAACACATTGCGTCAAGTATATGAATGCAGACAGGCACGGCGCTGAATGCATTTTAAAGCGGAAACCACGATTCGCGCACGAAACAAAGGAAGAACAATGATACGCTGCAAACGTGTACCCAGACGATTTACCAGCAAAATACGACACGGACCAAGCGACATAGGCCTTTCGCGTTCTTGTGGTTGTTCGTAGGTGTGGACTTCTGCAACGCGTCATCACCCTAACCGCACGCCATAAAAAGTAGCCCTAGTTGAAACACTTTTGAACGACACAAAGGAAGAGATTTGACTGGAACTCCCTGCTTCTGAAAAGAATTTCGCACTTCACGCGAAGTATCAGGTTCAAAAACTCACCAAGGGGCGGCTTGGGCCGGCGCGAAAGGCGGCAGGAACAACTGCCCTTCCGCTCGCCTCACTCTCGGCGGGCGCCTCGTCGAAGCGACGGTGTTGATAAGCAATGAACGATGTAGTTTCTTGTCTCGAGCTGGTCCTGCCCTCTGTCAACGAGAGCGGCATTCACAACGGGGAAGTGAGAATCTAATCAGTTGTCGAATGACCTATGGACGATATAGTGGGACGTGCCATCTTTCTTATATAGTGCGTAGGTCACGGGCAACTCTTCTTGAGTACTGTAGAAAGTTTATAACGCATATTAACGCTGCTTTGTTCCTTCCGTACGTTCCACACTGAGCACGCTGTAACACGTGCGCTTTATCTGCTGTGAAATTCTGCAGCGGAGGAGGAGGAGGTCGGGAACTATGAGAACTGAACAGAGGGTATTATGTTTCGATTTTAAACCCCCTTTTGAACGTCTATGACGAAATGAAAATAACACACGTAGCTAAGCAGTGTAAACGGGCTGAAGATGGTACTGAGAGAGAGAGAGAGGATTTTTACAGCCTCATAAAAGAATGATACCACCCCCTTCTCACCCCTAACAGTCATAACGTGGGAACTCTAAAGCACAGGACGAAAAACACTTGCATCTTTCAAACACGTCGCAGTACTGCTCAGTCTGTCAAGTGAACTTCCAATGGAAAGGGGGGCAGGTTACGTCATATAGTGTGCGCATGCGTGCCATCGTCGAAAAGGCACGCGCCATGTTTTTTGACCACTGAGCCCAGTGACATCTGGCGTCTCAAGCTTGCAAATTTTCGCCAATGAATGATGCGAATGCTGGCGTTCGAGATTTTCGACTGGCGCGCGGTAGATGATCTCGGAGGTCAGGGCTGCCAATTTCGACTTAGACAATCTCTATAGGAGGTACTTTTCAGACCAGAAAAGCGTGGGGTCTGCTACAATATTTTCTAGAGAGAAGCGTGGTACTGAGGTTGTTGAACTACCATAGGGATTGGCGGTAACTACAGAAAAAATCGCAGTTCTCTAGAGTGGTCTGCGTATTTGCATAATATTGTACTTGCGTCTTCGAGGACACTGGCGACTGCGTTTATGGTTCGGTTTAGGCGTTTCTTTCGTATAAAAGAATGTGTCGTTGGAAACTTCGCACCCTGATTTGGCTTGGTAGGTTTAAAAAAACACAAAGGTGGCGAAGTTGAACTGCTAAGCGTTTGCTGGACTTCATCTTGTGATAAAGCTGCTGCCTACACCCGGAGACATGCGGAACCGAAAGAACGAAAGTTAGTCAAATAAACTAAGAATCCATCTTTGCTATGCTGTGTGAACGTCCCTGCGTGGCAGCTACGATAGACGCTGGCGCCGGATTTTCCTCTAGTGCAAACTCTATGTCGAAAAAGGTACGCAATTAGACTGCATGGGCACATTTATAATATGACGATTTTAATTTGAAATTATGTTCAGTAATGCTATCGAACACGCAATCTCAGTTCGTAATCGTGGCTGCAGTTGTCCACGTCTTCAAAACAGCAGCCAGCGCACGCGCAAAGAAAGAAAAGCAAGCTGTCGCAGCCCTTCCGCTGCTTCGGCTACACGGGTTCACAGATCACTGTTTCCATGGCTACCAACGCTGATAGGCGACCCTGCTCTTCTCTCTGAGAGCGCACGCAATCCAAGGCGGAAACAACGGCAGCCTACAGGGGAGCCTCGCCAAACCGCCCGTTCCACGTTAAGATAACTTGGACTCACATCGACAAAACCGGGTGAGTTTCGACTTACCGTAAACTCTACGCGTAGGCTTAGTGAGTTACGTTAATTGCAGTGGCTTTAGGCCGGGATTAGCTGCAACATAAGCTTTGTTTCGAGTTGGTGACGAGCGTTGGTTAGGCGTAGGGTGTTCGGGTAAGATCTGGGCAGGTTAACATTGCCGTGGCCCCACATATAGCAAATTGGTGTGACGCATGGTTAACACTGTCGACATGTGCAACACTGGCCGTTGACATATTTTGCAAATTCCTGTTTTTGAAGTACGTACTAACGTTTGTGTGGGGTTACGGGTTACGTAACGTTATTTAATGTCGCCAAATTTATTTTCTATGCTTCTATAGGTGTTCTGTGCATGTGTATTCTGCAGTTGCTCAAAAGAGGTGTATAATTGATGAGTTTGTGAGCGCTCGCGTCATAAGGAAGCAGCGGGGTAACTTGTTTCCATTCGCAATGCACAGCGGAGGCAGACTTTAATGCGTCGAAACCGATCACTACGTTCGTGTTATCACCTGTTATCGGCGATCGTACTGCCGTGGGCAAAGAGATTTCCGAGAGTGCGCTCGGCCTCTATATCTCTTCCGCTTATTGACGCGATAGCGTTAAAGAGCTCGTGTCGCTAATGTTCAGGCATCAGTGTCGTCGTTTGTGAGCGAAATATCATCATCCGGTGAGTGACCAAGAAATCGAGAACGGTTCAAATAAAATGAATGATCGAAAATGCGGTGTCTTGGGGAGACCGAAGCACGGGTGGCATTCGAAACACCGAAAATCAAAAGGTTGCACTATCGAAATGCCGAAATTTCATACACCGAAAAAATTAAAACGCTGCAAATAAAAGAAGTCGGAAATTTTAAATGCTGAGAAAATTCAAAACACCGAAGCATCAAAATGCCGACATCATCCAGCTATAGTGAAAGATACTATATCGTAGCAAGATAAGGTTCCGCCGGCTTTGTACAAAATGCATGCGCGTTCGCCCTCGTTTCGAATAGCCCTGTTCCTATCGCATATCGTTTAGCCTTTCTGTCCTCGGATCATTGAGCAGTAAACAAAAGCGGCCGCATGGCACGAAGAAAACCATGAATTTTGTAAAACTGTTTGAGGAGTGGTGACACAGTTTCAAGTGTTCCATCCATGAGCCACCTTGGTAAGCAGTTGTTCGTTTTTAAATGTTTTTGTCCGTGAAATAAACGAGAAGACGAGCTCTATCTGCGCTGGTGCAGTCCGTTCGCAGAAACTCACGGTCATTTAAGGTTGTTTGGGACTCGCCCTCGATGACGAACTCATGGGTGGCAGACGGCTCATGTGGGCAGTCTGTTTTCATATTCCTTCCGACCATTTGAATCACGGCTTCATCACTCGGAAGGTGTCGCCTTGAAGAAGCTTGTACAGGCTGTTTCACACTTAGGGGAAATCTCGGAGCACGTGGCATCTGAATGCGGCCAGCGTCGCAACGACGCGCCGTCAGCTGCTTGCGCATGCGCAGATGATTCAGGAGGGTAGTTTTGAACCGCGTCGTCTGCTACGACCATTCTTGCTTGTCGCATTGCTGGCGAGCGCGTGGATATATGATTTTACTGCAGGAACTGAGCCGATCGTCTGCACTAAACGTTGTGCGAGTTTGCGCACCTCTTGTGTGCGTGTTTTCTATGTCCTTTCTGTGACCTGCTTCGTCAAAAGGCCGTGGAATGGCTGCCCCAATCACCAGGCCTCGAAAATGTCTGGGGCTTTATGGAAATGTCGCTGGTACGCCATCCTCCACACGGACTGTGCGAGGAGTGGTTGTGGTCCGCGATCATCCGTGAGCTGGACGCCATGCGAGTGAATGCATCACTCATGGAGTCACTCTACGCCTGACTGCCGTCAAGAAAGAGTGCCGTCATCAGAGCCGCTGGTGACATGACAAGGTACTAAGCGGGATGCGTCGCGAGATGGTTAGCGAGTTTTGTTGTAATGAAATTTCGTCGAAAAGAGGCACATTCGGGTTTTGACCTCACCTAGAACATTCCCGAGTTTGTTGCAATTTGTTCTGTCGTTTCAAGCCAGAGTATTCGCACAAGTCTTACTATTAAGTCCTTATTTTTATTTTAGGTCAAATAAAGGAAACGCATATTGCTTACTAATTGTCGTATCTCCCTCGTGTCGGCACACATAGCGAAGAAATATTCACGAACGCACGCAGCACCACAGCGTTTCGATAGAGCAGACAAGGTATGCGGTAAAATACTGTTGCTAGTGCCCCATAATCACGAATAAAGGCCGAGAGGTTGGCGTTGCGCAATGTTTAGTCCAGCCAAGCGTTCAAAGTTGGCCAAGTTGATATGGGAACATCTGAAAAAAGTACGCAGCAATACGTGAAACGAAAAAAAAAAAAAAAAACAAACCCACGTGAAAGTTTGTCGCGCCTTGTTGCTTCGAGTCCTACATAGCGGTGCAGATTTTTATGAAAATGATTAGAGGAGAGTATCGGCCCAGCTACCGTGTTATCACTGATATCCGCGCGCTGGTCGGCAATGCGGCACGCACGCTGCCGTAGCAGACGACGCTGTTCAACTGCACTCCCTTGAAGCGTCTGCGCGCGCGCGAGCTGCTGCCGGCGCGCGATATCAGCGCTAGTCGCAGCGCGATGCCAGGCGCTCCGAGGCTTCCCCTCAGTTTGAAACAGCCTGTACTATCGTGAGCAATACGACCCTGAACACACGAGCGCTTGGCAAACAGCCTCGAACCATACATCTGCTGATTCACAGCGGCCGCATTCAGAATCAAAGTGGAAAAGGCGGCGCACTTCCCCTTGCTTTTTGCACTCCCGCCTCGATATTGTTGCTGCAAAATTCAGCTTATAGCCTGTCTGTGGCTGCCAGCGGTGACATGATCTCAAATCAACGGGCACAGCCACACCAATCAAGAGGGGAAACTACAAAGATATCGGCTGTGACGTAGCCTGCAGTGATGCACGTGCCATGCTTTTATTGCAACTAGATTGTGTTCGCTGAACAATTTGATGCGCATCCATGTGAATATTTCACTTTTGTTTTTGGTGCATTTTATTTAGGTGTTATCATTGCTAGCGGCCGATGGCACGCGATCGATCTGTTGCTGTCTCCCAGCAATAGTCACGTGGAGGGAGGAAAAAAACCTTTATTGATGCTGGCTGTGCCAGATAGCCCTTATCCCCACCGGGCTGGTTGACATCCCTAGTCCGGGACGTCATTAGTCGAGGCCGCCACCCGAGTCCGCTGAACTAGAGTTCGTGGAAATACCGACAGTGAGTGTAAGAGCGCCCCCCTCTCTCCCTACTGCTTCGGCAGCACCATCCACGCATCGTGTTACCTTGGTTTTGAGGCCACCTGCCACGCGCTTGCGTGTTCCAGCTTATATTGCCCACGATAGTACTTACATCTGCTGTGATATACTGCACAAGCTTCAAGAGGGTCTTGCCCAAAGCCACAGCCAGAGCTTTGACCCGCCCTTGAGTGAGTGCGAAGAACTGTCACTCTATAGAAATCTACAGCATGGCATGCGTGGATCCCTTTTTCTCGAGATGACCTTGTTAGTACCTTCCTCCGGATTGTCGGTAATCATTTTAGAATTACATCACGCTCACTTCTCGTACCTCCAGTAGTGTCTAGAACGTACTTTTTGCAAGCAACAGTTTTTTGCATTTAAGTTTTGTTTTTCTCTTTTGGGAGCACGCCACAACAATGCCGTTTTCCATTTCCATAGAAATGACGATTCCCTCACTTTGCTGCTGTTTTTGCACTTGAAACGCTGGATAGCACTGCTATTTTTTTTCTTCAGCTTACCCGTAAGAGCTGCCCTGTTCAATTGATATGCCTATAGCTTCACAATAAATGAAAAAATACTAAATTTTACATGGCTTTAATATGCCAATACTGGCACACTTGCAGAACAAGTTAAACAAGGTGGAAAGTGAACAAGTGTTAGAGACAATATATAAAGCACGTCATTTATTTTTCACATGGTTCAATAAAAAGTTACTGCATGCAGTTTTGGCGTTTTTGAGTTTTCGCCATTTCAGCGTCTCATCGTTGTGACGTTCGGCCTTTTCATAGTTCGCCCCTTTTGATTGTCGAAGTTTTGGCAGGGCCCCCGAGCCACGATTGTTTTTTGGTCCGAGTGGGGATGGAATCCGGGTTGTTTGTGTGGCAAGCGGATGTTGTAAAACAAGGCCACGTGTTTGCTTACGAATACAATGAAAAAAAAAAAACTTCCTCTGTTTGAAAATGCAGTTTAAGTAGCTTTCATGCTTTGTTTCATGCTGAAACTATGTATTTTTGAGAGTGTTAATGCACTACATGTAAATGACCTTCCAAGAAATTGCTTGTGACGAGTACGACCGGTGATGGGTTGCCGTCGCATCCTGCCACTTTATTTTAAACACGACTACAGGCGTGACACCAGGCCAGCTCTATAGACCGGTACGAGTCGGTGAGCTCATGCAGTGTCACCAAGTTGGTACGGGCTGAGCAAAAGTGAGCAGAGCACGGCATCGCATGGAAGAAGGCGTCGACGCACCCTCTAGCGACGTGGCGCCTGTGGCGGTGGCCTCGTTTGTTTGACGGGGTTACGGCGCTCATAGCCAGAACGACAACTGGGCGTAGCTTTCCTTACTCTATCGAATATGCACCGTTCTTTCACTTAATGGCTGCGTCACGGTATACATCACAGAAGGAATTGAAGCAATGCCACAGCTTTTCTCGCACATTCACTGCTGAACTGCTCCTGACATATTCTTTTCTGTTAGCGCAGGCACTGAAGGAGCAACTGTATCAATGATGGCCACGAAAAAGCTACTGGTTAAAGATAGTAGCAACACTTTCAATGACAAGCTTGTTACTTTTGCGGCCGATGTTCCGGAAGATGTGCTGTGCGCCTGCTGCTGGAACATCTCCTCCCAGCTTATGGCCGATCCACGTGACCACCTGTACTGTAAGTCGTGCCTCGCAATGTTGGACAACGACGGAAAATTTGACTGCGTCACAGATTATGCAGTGCACAATATTGACGAGGTAAGTGTTTTCGAGTCGTTTTCAAAGCATGACTTTTTACTTTTCGCAAAACAAATGATAGTGCTGCGTCAGTTCTGTGGAAACGTTTTAGGTGAAACAAGGCTTTTGAAAGGGATCAACACTTATTATTTAAAAGTAGTACATCAATTGAAACGATATATACACAGTTTTTTCACGAAGAAAGCTTCACAGGTGAATAAAATTTGCCCTTGCTCGTTATGCCGTACTGAGATGAAGGTCTCAGTATAATTTTGTCTTGCATGTTGGGGTAGCTTAATTCGGGTGGTGGACATCTCGTCAGTTCTATCTTCTTATGCGTTGCCAACTTCCGCAGACTTCATTCGCCTGAGAGTGCATGTCAGTTACGACACAATGACAGTTGCAACGGTGAAGTCACTATATCTTAATATTTTGTTAAACTCCCAAGACCGTAGGAAGGCTTAGATTACCTCGTCCTGGTAGAGGAATTCGTAGCAGGACAACCTTCTCGAAAACTTCTTTCCTTTTCTGCGTTATTGATGCGTAGGCAACAGGAAAATTGTAGAAACAAATCTGCTTATGATGTTGTTTTACTAGATGAAAGACAGAAGTGAGAGATTCCGTGAAGCCCTGAAGTTGATAGCCAATTGCCCTAACGAAGGCTGCAATTACCGTGCCACCCTTCGGGAGATTATGGTGAGTAGCGCCCACGGCCACTCTACACAACAATTTTGCTTCAATACCATGTTGTCGTCAATTTATTTTGGATAACTTGCATGAGCGGTATGAAGCGACCCACTTACCGATCCTTTAAAGAAAAATTCCACAATATAGAATGTTTTCGGCCAGATAATATAATGTTCAACGTTCGTTTCTTTTATTTCCTCCAACTGCGTGTGCCTAGAACATAGCAGCCTGCCATGGTCACGTGACTCACTCGTGACACGAAAAAGCGTACGCCGAGTTTTCAACTAAAAGAAACGCCGCCAAACTAGATGACGATTTTTTTATGTGCGGAACGCAAATGAATGCAAAAATTCAAAAAACTCACTTCAGAATCTTTCGAACGCACACCTTCATCCCTCATGAAGGTGTGCGGGTCCGTGATGTTACTGCAAACAAGTTAATTTCCTGTTATGTTGTTACTTTGCCTGCTTCAAATAGGACACATAGGATGTGCCTAATGATCACTAGAAATAAATTTTAGCAATTGCCATTTTATGACGTGTTGGTAAACGAAACTCGACGACATATTGAGAGCTAACAGACAGGGACGTGAGAGAGACGAAAGCGATACAGTACGTCAGCAACGTAAGGGTGTCGCTTCCGGAGTTGACAGAAAAAAAGAACAAAAAGTAAAGTTAATTCACGGTCTGTCATGCCTTGACTACCACACCATTATGAGAATCTATCTGCGGTTGTATGCGGACGTGTTGGCCCCGCCATGGTGGTCTAGTGGCTAGGTACTCGGCTGCTGACCCGCAGGTTGCGGGATCAAATCCCGGCTGTGGCGGCTGCATTCCCGATGAAGGCGGAAATGTTGTAGGCCCGTGTACTCAGATTTGGGTGCACGTTAAAGAACCCCAGGTGGTCGAAAGTTCCGAAGCCCTCCACTACGGCGTCTCTCATAATCATATGGTGGTTTTGGGACGTTAAACCCCACAAATCAATCAATGCGGACGTATTGTTCGTGGGTTATCAGGAATGCCGCACTACGGGTTCCACACATACTATGACTCGTGGCTCGACAGTTTTCTGTGCGAAATCGTGTCTGAAGTGATGCGTTGTTAGGAGCATTACAGAAACATGAAGACCAGCGACAAAGCTGTGAATTTCATTCAAGTTTTACTGGGCTTCATAGTCTTGCTTCTTTCATAGCGAACACTCAGGTGTGCTTACAAGTTTTTAAGACTGCTGAAGGTGAACTCGCTGTGACATTGCAAGCTTGTTTTGTGAATCATGTGTGACAAACCTTTTTTCTTCTTCTTTCCTCAGACTCACTATAAAACTTGCGTTGTTAAGATGGCGAAGTGTCCACTATGTCAGAAGGAAGTCAACAAGAAGGCATTGGCAGCGCATATATCAAGCGTCTGTGAACATAGACTTGTCAACTGCCCTTACTGTGGAATGGAAGTGGAAGACAGACATCTGAAGGCAAGCGCATAGCTGCAATATAGCTCTTTCTCTTACAACGCTGTAATTATCATCTGTCGTTAGTAGTTGTATAGGACAATTTGGCAATGATCCTATGTTAGGTGGAGAGGGCAACAGATGAGTCCTTTAAAAATAGCGTGCGGGTACGTGTGTTAAAAACATGACTGGATAGAAAAAAAAGGGCAGTGTCACTAGCTGATCTGTTAGTCGCTAAAGTGTTGCACGTGTTGCCGCCGTTTTTTCAGCATTGAAAAGAAACTTGAGAAGCATCAAAGCGTTGCGTATATATATATATATATATACGCTCGACAACTCCAGTTGTTCAAAGTTGGACCAGACCATTCTTGTAATTTTATCTTGGTTTTTGCATCTGAATACCCGAAACTTGATACTTATTGGCGCGCTTTCCTAAATGTACACACAATGGCTGGTGCCAGATTTTAAATGAGCAGCTATTTACACAAAATTATCTATGTGTATCCCGTCACTAAGTACTTAATTTGTTCACTTGGTGGGCAGCTGTGTCGATTTACCTAGCGACGGGACGTCAATAAGTACGTCGACGTAAAATAAATATATGGTTAAAGTTTAAAAACAGTAATTATAAGGGTGTAGAGTCATCTCATGACCACGGTATGATTATGAAATACATTGTAGATGAATATTCTGGTAATTTTGACTACATAGGGTTCTTCAACGTACATCGATATTTAAGCACACGGACAAGCTTCTAGCAGTTTTCTTTCGTCACGGTTAAAGGTTGGATGCACTGCAAACTGCAAAGTGTGGTCACGTACAAAATGTACCATTACTGTGCAATTTCAGTAATGTGACCTTTTTTCCGACGTTTTTTATCAATGGTGCAGAAAATATTGCATATACCGAAAATATTGCATATACAGGAATCTTTATTTGGATGGTTGAAACTTCCTACAGTGACCCAGAAAATGCGTGAGCTTATAGGGTTTTTTATACTCCCCTTTTTCAGATAGCGATGTATACAAAACAAATTAAAAAAGCTCAACAGTGGCTTAATCTGAATGATGGTAATGTAAGCCTAGCGCGTGTGTTCTAGATGATGTAAGCCGAGATGTTTCACCGCTGCCATTTTGGGTGGTTTCAGAATCACATGCAAGACTGCGATGAAAGGCCGGCAACATGTCCTCACTGTGCTGAGGAGTTCGACACGTTTGCAGAGGTAAGTTGAAAAAAAAATACCGTGATCACCAGCAAGCCTTAACGTTTTAAATTAATGCTTGTAATGCTGCATTTTTGAACAGCTGCTTTACGGTTTGTGGCTTGGAGGTACAATCGCGAGAAACTTACTTTACTGCTTACGCATACAATTGAGCGATAAATTACACGTCTGGTGTGACTTAATATTTATATGTGCCAAATATTTGTAAGCAGTTGATTATTTTTATTTATTTATTACGTTGTTAAATAATGCTGACGTGAATTTCCAGGCCTTAAGCAGAAGTGGAGACGTTAGATTTTCTGTGGAAATGCTCTTGAACCATAAAAAGGAGCTTACAAACAAAACAACAAAAAGAATCAAAACGTGCGTGAGATGTGGCACTCCAATACAATTATACGATATGTAATGGCGAACAATGGGTAGGCCAACGTGAGTAGTGACACTTGATACAATGCGTTGTCTAACGCTTCAAATCATGGGAAAAGAAAAGAAAACAACTGTCTGTTAAGTGAATTTTACATTTTAACACACTGCGTATTATCAGAGGTGATAACTAAAATAAAAAAAGAATACGTCGATAAATAATTAGTGACTCATGAGTGAAGCTCTTATGACACGTTACTACAGCACTAGTGATAAAAGTGCTATCATTTCGTCTCTTTAATTGCGGCAGTGAGTGCAGAAACCGAAGGGCACTCGATTATTTCTCTGGGGATACGCTAGACATGCAATACCGGCAGTCTACCCTAACCACAAATTGGGGCACCCTCAAGCTTCGACTTTAAGAGTTGAACGCGATAGCGAAATCCAGCCCCTAATGCACCCTTTAACCACTAAGTGTATGTTTATTAATGTTTTGTTACATACACGCACACGCACACAAACACGCACACAGTAGATTGGACCAGTGCGCGCTATTATCGCCGAACGGGCTCGGTTTCGTTGTGACACCTGTCAAAATTGCATTAAAGGAACCCTGAAAGACGTTCGAAAGACGAAGTAACCATGGAATGAATTCACTAGAAGAGCTTATTGCTTCACGAATTCATTGCCGCAAAAATTTCAAGAATCCGTCCGGTGCGAGTGGAGTTACAAAGGCTTGTCGCATGCTGCAATTGCATTATCTCTTCTCTCTTCCCGACGAAAGCACTGGAAGCTAAGCAGGGAGAGGTGGCAGGGCAATAAAATACCGCGCCTCATGACCTTGAGCCCCTTTTTTTTCTTCGAACGCGGTGCTTTTTCAGTGCGATCGCGCTTGCACACGCAGGACAAGTAGCAGCCTCTCAGGGCTATCTCGGTAACTTAATTTTTTGGTCACAGACGCACAGACGATTTTTCGCTCACAACCAACGGGGCCAACGCCGGGTGCGGGTTTTTTCGCGGTACGATCTCTCTAACGCATTCGCGTTAAAATGCATTCAGGCATCATCGTGAGTGTTAAGTCTCTGGGTCACTGTTTGAAAGTTAGGGAATTTAATTCTGAAGGAGATGTGCTGCATTATAACATTTTTCTCAAGAACGGTGCGGGGTTCTTATCAAGCATTGAATATATTATATCAAGTAATGCTTTATTTCTACGTGTTAAAAGAATGTCTTCATGTACACAGTCCAATGGGCAAACTTTTTGTTTTAAAACTCAATGAGGCTATGCAGGTTACTAATAATGAAAAAGATACGCTTGACATCTGCCAATGGGCTTTATGTTAATGCACAATAAGTAACTTGAATATGTCGCGTTCTGTCATCGTTTTGCGACATGCCTCCACTTTGCTCAATTGCTTGTCGACCACAGGAAGGGCTGCTGATTTGGGGAAAAATATGAATAAAAAGGAGTTAACAATTACACCATCTCCCGTCAAAGGGAACCAAGTGTAGATGCAAAGCAGCAGGTGTTAAACTCGCATTGCGGCGTTATATTGGCACATTTACCCCCGTATTCACAAACGATCCTCGACTCGACTTTCACCCTTCACTTGACAGAGTTCAGCACTGCGCCGCTGCTCGGCTGAAATTGACGCTGCGCATGCGCGAGAATTGCAGCACACTATCAATGATATGCAATGACTTGCCGTGCCTAGAGAGGGCGCTTCCATCGGCTTTCTCAAGTGAAGGTGAATCATTGAGTGAAGGGACGTTCTAGAATACGGGGGTTAGAGACGCATGGCCAAATCGGTTATGCAAAGACGTAGCTGAGAAATATCTGCTACTGTTTCATTCTGAACACGATCACGAACACAAAAACAAACAACCCTGTTAAACTTGCCGAATGAACTAAAAAATGAAGGTGAAGGGCTCAGTAAGCACTCAATGCGTATTATGATCTATTCTTAAGTGCAGGATAGCAAACTGGTTCTTGAAAACTGGTTAAACTCCCTGTATTTCCTTCTCTACTGTTTTTCTTTTTTTAAAGAGACTTAGCTATGTGCACAGCACAAGCATGTAATTTTCCAGGCAGTATACACGAACATACAATACACGTATATTAACTGTGAACACATAATAAAAGTTATGAGGTTCCTATTTAGAACAAAACGAAGGAAGAAAAGGGCAGTGGGGGCCAGGGAACAAAGGTGTGCTAAAATAATAAGGAAATTAAGGAAGGAGAGATCAATTTTATTTGTGCATCACTTAGAGCATTGCAAATGGAAGGGCCCTTATTCCAGAGCTCCGATGGCCCTTACCCTCACTCATCCCTGTCTGTTGGACCAGCCAAAATTCATCGTCAAAGGCAAAATTTGTTAATGTGGTGGTGTTCCTCGTTGTGGTTTTCCTCGAAAGGTACACTCCTACGTAATGTGAAACAGAGTTTGCGAGGTTTCGGGACGTTAAACCCCACATATCAATCAAATCAAGAGTTTGCGATGTTCTGCACTACGACATCTATATCTGTACGCTCTGGGGTAGGAGAGAAGTAGCACGGACAAGACAAGTAGTAGAAGCAAAGTAGGCTGCTGATCACTCAGAGTGGCACATTCAACTTCATGAGCAGGCAAGCACGCGAAGGAAAGTCATGAAGTAAAAGGAGCAAATTATATAGATAACTTTGCGGGGATAACCTGACCACATTATGCAGAAGACTACGAAGAATATGGGAGGAGCTCTCATCCTGCACTGGTTGAAGTCAAGCTAATGATGGACTACAGTATTATCGCTTTGAACTGTCAATACAATTGTCTATTTAACACACAATACTTGAAAATTACAGACGCTATACGGATTTCCAACACCATGCGCGTGTTCTAACTTAACTTCCTCGCTTTGTTTCTTGAAGCTGCGGGATGAGCATTTGCCGACTTGCCGTTCGAAGCCTACAAAGTGCCCGTATGCCCGTGTCGGATGCAACTTTCAGGTAAAGCATTCACTCTGAGCGTATGATTGACCCTGTGAAAGCACTAGTTTCTAGAAAAAAAGCTAAGTGCATCGTCTTTTTTAATTCTCTTACTAAGACAAAAGGTGCGCATTTTGTACCGTAGTCATGCGTTTATGATTAAGATGTGACGAAGTCGATGGCAGTTGCATTGTACCCTCAGCTGAGTAATTAATAATTTCGTAGTAAAAATTTTGGAAAGTTCTTTAGGAAGACTTCTGCACTGTTGGTCCAGTATTTGTGCGAGTTTTGCAGTTTTTTTGCGCTGCTTGTCGATTCTTTCATAATGCATCTAGAGATGTACACTGAATGGGCTCTAAACAAACAAGAAAAAAAGATAAGGTTGGTGAATTGAGTTACTTGTTTACGAAAACAAACCTGGAAGAGAGAAATGTGTGTTTTAGAGCATATTGCTTTTGTAGATGTTTTCATTGTGGGGAAATTCATATCTCACATGCTAGTTCTTGGGTACGGTATAGTAGTCTCAATTCAAAAGTGCTGACCTAATTCACATTTGTGCTTTTTTAAAAGGCCACAGCCAATATGATGGAAAAACATGCTGCCTCCTGCCAGCACTTGTCATCCCTGATCGACAGAGTTCTGCACCTGGAAGCAGAGCTGCAGGTGTGTTTTATGGCATTGGCACTACTATAAAACCACAACTGATATGCGTTCTAATTTAGCTGTCTTTTTATATTGCACTGGAAAACTAAACTGTAAGTAATTGCATAGGAAATGTCAGTGTCAATTTATGAAATGTTAGAATGTTTTCCTAAAAAAGTCAGGCAGCTGCGCGTTAGTAGCGTGAACTCTGATGAAACCACGGAGCTAGTGGCCTCCTTCCTTCTTTCCTTTTTCTCAACACCCCTTGCCGTTGCAACTGCCTTGCTTTACTCTACTGCCAATGGTTATGCTTTAATTTATTCTCACTCAACCTCCTTTACACTCTACTCGCTTGCATATGAGTGCCCTCACCCTCAATTTGCTTTCTCATCTACACACTGTACTATTCGCTTCAGCGACGTCGGCTGCATTTGTGCACGTAAATTGTTTGTTTGTTGTTTCGACTTGCGGCTGAAAGAGAGCAGGATGCATCATTCGTCTGATCACTGATCACTAGAACTTTCGGCGTGGTCAGTATGTCTGGACATCAATGTGGTGCATGTGACCGTCACCAGTCACTTTGGTGAAGGCAGCACGGTGTTTGACGAATTGTTCGACGTGTCACATTCGAAGACCAGTGTAAACAGTGTTAGTGTTCTCATATTGAAACGAACGCAACCGAAACCTTATGGTGCATACCATTGGAGCCCCAGATTCTGTATTTTTGTCAAAATGAAACGCGACTGACAGCTGAATGAATTAATGTTTATTTGAATGCTAGTTACCAATCGTTATCCAATTTCTCTCAGCACCGTGAATTGCTTCATGTTTTTTTTTTTTTGGATTGTAATATTGAGTGTCTTGTTATTATCCTATGTGAATGTGACACATCCTAAGGCGGTACATTATGATTCACAGCTAAAGGAATCATAGTCTGAAAGGCTATGCTATCTTTTAACCACTCCCTTCCTTTTTTTCTTTTTCCCAACCTTACATCAGTCCTCCCCACTTTCTTTCCTTCTCTATATACTTTCTAAGCTATGCTATACAGCTTAGGCCATGAGTTACTTTTCATTTTGCTTTCTCGATTACAGCCTCTACACCCTCACATCGCTTTCTTTATCATCTTATTGCTATACTATACATTACTATTCTAAACTGGTCATTTCGTGGGCGTAATTGACAGCTATAGGGCTTGCTGCTTGTGGTCTCACGACCTCATCAGGCTAGAGAATTTGCAACGAGTAATGCTAGGGCGAAGCAACCCACACTCTGAGACCATGACCTGATGTATCATCTCCTACCTTGCATGCGTCGGGTATTTTATTACGTCTTGCACTTAATTTCACTACGGTTACTCTCAGGCAGCTAGCCAAGTTCATCTTGTAATAGAAGTAGCTGAAATTGTGGGCGCATGCTGTAGGAGGACGTATCTTGAGCCACGATCTTTGTCGGCTCACACGTAAGCCTCACACCAATCACCTTATTGCAGTGTGCTTTCGTTGAGAGCCTCACCAGTCACACACTTTTGTGATTCGGTCATGAGAGTTCTTACAATTGGCACGACGTAGCCCACGTGTGCTGTTCATGTTAACATGACATGACGTAAAAGCACTCCAATTATGAAGGGGAAAAAATACTATATGTCGGGGATGCAGCATCAACAGAATCGTGCACAGGAAACAAAAATGCCAATAAGCGGCAATAACAGATTACTATTGAAATGGTCCCTGCATTTGTAGTAAACTGGCAACATCGTGGCGTAATACCCACAGACAGTAGTTCTGCGTCCTTTAAGTGCAGCACCTATTACTTAACAGAAAAAAAAACAGGAGTCAGAAGTCAGCAACCAAATATTCAAAAATACATGCGCATGTGAAACTACACAAGGAATCAAACAAAGTTGATCCCAAGAACAAATGACGCTCTACATTATTAGTGGTTTCTCTGCAAACTTTTCGTTTACCTGAAGTATTACATAATACTGCTGGGGTTTCAGATAGAATGTCTGTGGTGTTGCTGCATAATAATCGTGAGGTAATAAATGTGCATTATTACTGTACTTGCAGGATGTAAAATCTGCGTTAGAGGAAGCGAAAAAAGACAAGGAACAGTTGAAGCAGCTGATCGCCGATAAAGAGGATGAGTACCACGTAAGTATATGTTGCGTCCTCATCAAATAAGTGGTGCAGATGTGTTCGATGATTTCCTGAGTCTATGGAGCCTTGAAGTACCGAATTTGCTTTTACGGAAGGTGCAGTTAGTTGCTATGGGCTGATTTCTGAGTAAACGAGCTGAAAAAAAAAAACGGGTCAGTGTGTTCGCTAAACCTACCACATATTACTAATTTATCCAAAACCAGAATATCGAGGTGATCTAGTGGCCCGACACGATGGTTTAGTGCCTATGGGGCTCGAACATTGACCCACAGGACACTGGATTGAATTCCGGCTGGGGCTGCAGCATTTTCAATGGCGGCAAAAGGGCTGACGGCTTTTGTTCTTAGATTTGGGCGCATTACAAAGAAACCGAGGTGGTCAAAACTTCCGAACACCTCCAGTATTGTGTCTCCCATAACCATATCATGGTTTTGGGACATTCAACTCGCAGAACTATATTATTATAGGGTGAGTGTAAAAACGTAAAGAAAATAAGGGAAGAATGTGTGACAGAGAAAGTAAATATCCTGCTTGCAAGTGCGCTTGTCACAAGCTCTTACAGATGCACGTGATTATTTGCACGTAAGATAGGGTGGTGTGATAAAGGTAAAGTCATTAGTACGTCTCGTACTTTTTCTTTCTTGTCATCAAAATGCATTTTTCATTACACTACAATAACTGTTAGCTATGCTGGTTTCGGGAGGTTGAATTCGAACGATTGTTATTATCGATTAGCTGTGCATGATTTGAACAAACATAGTATACCGCTTGAGTAAGAGGTTCAGCGTCTACGGTTTCAGATTTTCAAGCTCAGAAACGTTACATACCGCTTTAGCTTTGTGGCTACGACATCACTCCGTTGAGCACGAGGGTGCGGATTGGGTTTTCAGGGGAATTTATATGCAAGTGCGATGCACAAACAGCAGTGTACATACATTTTGGTGCACTACAACCTTTCCAGGTAATGCACACACTTGGTCATGCAGTCTTTTTTGCTAGTTGTTTCTTATCAAGTAATGAGCGAGTTTAATCTCCTTCAAAGTCCATTTATAATGATGTGGCTTGCATTGAGCTTTGTATTTTGAAAGGCGATTACATTGCAAAAGTCATATAGAATTGCGGTGGAGATGAAAAAAAAAAAACGAAACGTGGTGCTCAGTTCTGCATGGTTGTTGCCAATGAGAAAGTTATGCTACTGGTCCTCTACTGAAATTTCATGTAAACATGAAGTGTAACAAATTAGCTCTGCAAATTTGCGTAGGATTAGAAATGGGTTGTGGGAAAGGTAATTGACAATCACGCATTACCAGCTGGAAACCACAAGAAACACCGTAAGGTTTTGTAATAACTGAAAGATTCTCAGATGAAGCATAATTCAAGCAGGTCTCAAGATCTTCGCTTTGATGCTTTGTGCGACAAGCGAGTGGTTGTCAGTTATTCTCTGGCAAAATGCGAGATCACCTGCTGCACAAAATAGAACACTATAATCACTCCATGGTTACCACATATAATTCGAATATACACAAATAAACAGCTTACTGTCTGTTCTTGCTCACATTCACAGCGTCCATTGCCTATTCGTAATTTCATAGAAAATTGCAGTCATACATAAGCCAAACGTGATGGAATCAAAGAAACCCTGGTAATTACAATATAATTTGAAGGTACACCACAATAGTGTCGTTTTTAGAATGTAAAAGTGCACACACGCACACATGCACACGCCCCTACACACACTGCCATTTTTTCCAGCTCGGTATGTAAGGGATGTTTGCTGTTTTTAAACGAACGCCATCATTCTGTTTTTTAACACAGAAAACGGATGAGTACCTTCGTAAAAATTTGCAAGAAGACATAGATGAAGTGCGAACTCAAGTTCAGGTATGTACTGTTTATCTTACTAACCTATCTTTGGTAAAATTGTTCTAATTCATAGCATTAGTCCTAAACCATGATACTTATAGCAAATAAATAAAAGTTGGAATATTTGCACAGACATGAAGGACGATGAAGGTTCGCTTTCGAAAGAAGGAAGCAATAACGTAATATGGCCCTGTTTGCGTGTTCGCAACGCCCGTCGACTGTTACGCCGCAAAGCGGATGTCATGAGAAGCCCCGCGAGTAGGGTCGGCAGACGACAATGCGGCGCACCTCTGCCAGCCGTGCCTTTTGTCATGTGTGCCAGTCAGATTGTTAACTGCTTGGCAGGAAAGGAACTCTACGACTTAGAATGTTCCCTGAATACGTGAACGAACTCCCTCAGGGCCATACAAAATGCGATTCATTTTTCCAAGACACGAAGTTTTTGTGACACTGTGCGGAAAGTGACGCGTTAAATTATAGCCCACTGCGTACGCATCTCAGCTTCGAAGCTTTTCTGTAGCCACGTAGGTTAGTTAGATGTTATAGCCTGACCTTTTGAGTTGGAATTCGATATGTTTGACTTGCACATAGAATTCGTAATTCTTGTTGCCTGTAGCAATGTACGTGAAAAGTCGCGTGGGCTTACGAAGTGCTCTTCTGTAATTGAGCGATCTCAATATTGCGATAGTTTATGTTATGACCTTTTATCCATTGTTAAAAATTACTAATCATGTGATTGACGTTTCAGTAATTTGAGGGTGCGTGAGCCCTACAGTTTATTGTGGTGCAACGCTCTCAGCGCTGTCCTTAACCTGTATGTTGGTTTCTTAGCCAGCGCTTGGCCGCTTGGTATTACGCGTCGTGGATAGGTGACAGCACTTTGCAAGCGATTGTTTTTTGTCGAAAGTTGATGCGGATGTTTGTGTGTAGGTGTTCTGTGGCTGACGTTCTCCGAGCACAGATGATTCTTCAATTTCGAACATGGTGACGAGGAGTGGTCGAAGTCTTTTGGCAGTGGAAATCATAAAGACTAATTTCAGCTTTGATGCTGAAATGAGCTTTCTTGACAACGAGGACTTTTGACTGGACGTAGAAAACTGTGAAAGCCCCGAGAGTGACAGGGATGATGAAATGATTGGCTACTAACTTAGCGAGTTGCACTTCATATCCACTCTAATATTACTGTTTTTTTCACTGAGTTACTACAAAATGTTGGTTAACATTGCTATTTGACGAAGGCCTTTTCCCATATCTCATATAAAGGCAGATTTGAGAAGGACGTGATGGCAGAATTATTCGAGCAACATATCGACACAGATATACTCAATGTCCAAAATCTGGATGTTGATCGTTTCGACAAAGAATGGCCGCATGGGGTACCTCATGAAAAAAACAAAACAAACTTACGACCTCTCACGTCACTATATCTTACGAAAACAAAGCGTTATTGATCACGTTAGGTGAGAGGATAACACGATATCCATTTAGCAATGCCACAAACGGTAACAGTCATAAAATGAAGTGTTATAAAGAAGATCGTTCGTAGACCATGGGTCACTAATAACAGGTTGACGGGATGCAAACGGCCCACGATTCCCGCATTTCAAACCCCAGCTGTAAAAACTTTTAAAAATATTGTTGTGAGTAATGTGCGAGTTCCGGCATGGGCTGTGGGTCAAGAAACAGTGCAGTAGATTGAGCACTTCAAAGTGATCTGATTGGTGACTCGGGAGTATGTGGCTTTGGTCCACGACAGGTTGACCATGACGAGTAACCGCAATTCTTTGCGTTCTTTGGTTGCAGAAAGTGGAGAGAGACTACAAGACAAGCGAGTCGGATTTGAGGGCAAGGTTCCAGGCTCTGGAACAAAGGAACACATTTCTTGAGGAGCCGATAGGAAAACTGTTGGCTGAAATGGCTACGATGAATTAAGATAAATATTTCGCTTAACTTGGCCGTTCTTCCGTGAAGTGACCATAAAATTACTTCTTCTTGTTTGTGCATTTGTAAAATTGGTGGTCATTGTGTCTTACATTTATTTAAGAAACATGCTTAGACAAGTTTGTTTTCAGAAGGTTTTTTTTTCGAATAAATTTTGTTTTCGAGTGCACTGAACACTTGAGTAGATCGATGGGTGTGGTAGTAAGCAATGCCATGCCTCTTCGTGGTTCTTATTGATGATGGAGCATCACTACTTCCCAGAAGACTGAGTAAGGTTCTTTGTTAAGGTTTAGAATACTTTCGCTGCAACAAAAACAGCCCGCCACCTCGCCCACCCCATTTATAGAGTCTGAAAGAAAACAATCCTCACAGTAGATGCAAACATAGAAATGGTGCGACGACGTACTTCTTATAAACTTCTGGCATTGGTACTGAGCTTTTCAGGTCACTAGGTGAGAAGTAAACTGCTCGTTGAATACATTATGGAGTCGTCTATATCACCTTTACCGTCAAAAGCATGGGTAAATAACACATATAAAAATTGCTGTGACTTAACGTAGTTATACTTGAGCGTACGAAGGAAGATGTAGGAAGATGGTTTTCTGTACAGTTACGCTTCTCAAGGCGTGCGGCTCGTTCTTCCTCCTTCTCCTCAATTCACTGCATCCTTTTGGGTTCGTCACGTTGACAAAGTCTGACCGATTTCAGTCTCTCCGATTCACTTTCTATATTTGCCGACGAATCATACTGAGCCACCTCTTGTACTACACGATGCGACGCTGGCTCCTCCTTTGTTGCGAGGTGGTTTCACGAGCTCGTCCTGTGACGTCATGCCAGATGGCACGGTGAGTGGCGCTGCCGGCTGCAGCGGTTGCTAGGCAACGGCTCACTCAACTCGTGGTGTGGCTACCAGTCCTAGCTATACGGCGCAAGAAGCCGGCAAATGTAGCTCTTGCTACAAAAATGAAGTATAAGGCTTGACTGATTAGAGGCCAGAGGCGAAATTGCCCATCCCTTATACAATATTAGGGTGTAACCAAGTCCCCCCTTGTTACTCCTAACCGTGCACGTGACTATGCTACTGCCATAGTCTTGGCCAATAGCGAAGTACTCGACCAGTCATGCCGTATTTTATTTATTTATTTATTAGAATATCCTCAGGGCCCGTAGGGCGTTACAGAGGGGGTGGGTACAACATTTATAACACACAAGAAAAAAAGACAAAATAAAGAAACAAGTGTCAGATGCGCAAATCGGAAAGGCAACATAAGTCAACTAAAAATGTATAAGAATTCAAGCACATACAAGACAAAGATAGATAATGGAAACTGCGTATAGTTACAAGCATTGCTGAGAAATTGCAGTCTTGAATAACAAAGGGTCTGTTATTGTTACAACGGAAGAGGGAAGGTGGTTCCAATCGGCGGCTGTTTTCGGTAAGAAGGCTGCTGAAAAGAATTTGGTGCGGCAAAACGGAATGGCAACCTTATGCTGATGATCAATGCGCGATGAGTGGTATGACGGTTGTGAAATGAGGTCTCGCTTCATTGATGGATTGTGAAAAAATATCTTATGAAAAAAATGCAGTCGCGCCAGTTTTCTCCGGACAGTTAAATTGGGCAGGTCAAGGTTAGATTTCATTTCTGATATGCTACAGTACGGGAATAATTAGAACAAATGAACCGAACTGAGCTGTTCTGAACAGATTCTAACGCGTTAATTAAATTTTGCTGCACGGGATCCCATATAGCGGACGCGTACTCAAGCTTTGGGCGAATTAGTGATCGGTATAATAGAATTTTGAGGGACAGCGGAGCGCGAGAAAAGTTGCGGCGTAAGTATCCTAGCGTTCGGTTAGCCGTACGTGACGTTTCTGCTCAGGTCACGTGACAACGAACTGTTAGGATTCAAATAACCACTCGGAAAGTTTGCAAGACTGTCGCTCGTAAGGCTGGTAAGAGCTGTCTCAGAAAGATATTCCCTAAAGGCAGAGTGGAGTTCTTAATGCCTTCTTTGATGAAAGTGCTACGATAGCTTCAATAAACGCAGGTGTGCGTGTAAGTAGTTTTATGATTGTGTGAACTGCGTGAAGAAAACTGTGTATTGGCATGTTATTTGAACTGGTTTCAGTGTCCTATTATGTGTTTTTTTTCTTTTTCGTATTGTTAATTTTTGGGTACCGTTCTGTATTATTGTTTTATTTTTCGCTGCAGAACTTTGTGATATGGAGTAGCCGAGGCAATAGACACCTCAACCTCCCCACAGCAAAACAGCTAAAACAGAACAGAACAGCATTCGTAGTAGTAGTAGGAGTAGTAGTAGTGTTTTAACGATATAATGAAAGATTCGCATTGCGGCAACTCATGATGGATTATGGCCCAGCGTCACAGAGAGATTAGAGAGTAAAGAGACAGAAAAAAAGGAGAGGGTACGCTTGCGAGAAATGAGCACGCGCAACAACGAACGTCAAGCCGGAGAACGTCTGTGTCCCGATTGATTAATATGGTGGGTTTAACGTTCCGAAACCACCATATGATTATGAGAGACGCCGTAGTGGAGGGTGCCTGTGCCACGATACGATGCGGTGAGTACCGAGCAAATGCCACCTAGGCTGCTTAAAGCAGTTTTATGGGTTATTTGAATGACAAAACTTTGATGTATGTATGGCACCTGATAAAAAAAAGAGAGGAGAAAGTGCGTGGAGACATGGAAAGAGAACAGGACAGTAAGAACGTCACATAGGCTATCCCAGCGTTACCGGAGAAAGAGAAAGGTCAACCTTCGCCTCATCCCAATATGTACTGCCTCTTTCTTTTTCTATTTTTTTTATTCTTAGAATATGGCCACTCGAGCACCTCCTGCTCCCCGACTCAAGCGCCACATTTTCCTCTGGTAGCATTCGAAGGAAACTCTAAACATAATGGTCAGCCACCAGGAAGGCACGGGGAGATAACGCAGAGACTGTGAGGAGATAGCGCGCTGACGACGACAGAGAAAAGTATACACCGGCTGGCAAACACCTGAAGCGTAAGCAAGGCTTTGGAATTGAATTGCTTGGACCTAAGTCGAACTTGTTAGAAAGTGGCAGTTAAAAAAACCAAAAAAAAACCCCGGACAACGAAGCATAATAGACGACGAATACCAAGCGTGAGTCACCGCATGTCCAGCGTGACCTTTGAGCGTAGCTACAATATCGCATAGAGCAACCGGGCGGCTGATACCGAACGTTTGCCCACGACACATGCAGGAAGGCACGTCGGCTTATCGGAACAGGCCTCTCAAACGCAGTGGCTTGCTTTCACACGGTCAAGGGAAAGATGGCTGGCGTCAAAGCAAGGTTAGTTTCCATGTTTTTTTCTTCCTATGGTGACACGAAAGTACTGGTTCTCGGCCGGTCGTTTGTGTAGCTGAATGTGTAAACGAGCCTGTCCAAATCGACATGGCTATGTCGCCCAAACAGGTAAAGCCCAGCACATTGCAGTGACTTCAACTTTTTTTATATGAATTATAGAGCTATGTCAACCACCTATATGTTCTACCCAGCACGACTGATACCTGTCGAAATGTTTCCGTTTCTAGCATGCTCGAACAAGTGAGAATTTTTCGGGCTTCCTTCCCAGAGCCGTTAGTAGTTGAGTGCTGCATTGTTAACGTTGTAGCAGAATGTCTTTTGATCGTTTTTGTGAAGGTATCTAGGGACAAAATAAACGTGAGCATTCTCCTGTTTTTATTCATATGAAGGTGGAACAATAGATATTTCCAATTTTTGTACATCAGAGGGTGGAACTATGATATATAAGTAAAGAAAGACGCTGTTGACGAAGTTTACTTAGGCCGTTTGCTTTGTTTGATGTTTCGAAGGCGGAAGCTGCCTGGATACTGCTTCGAAAGGCAGCGGAAAAGCAGCGTGGCGTTTCGTTCAGTCTTTTATGACGCAATAAAGTGTTTTGCTTGGACGTAATATATATCGACATCACTGTTAGTGGCTGAAGGATGTTTTTAATGAAACATTAGGATGTGTGAGAAAGGTCCCTCCAAGTTGCACTGAAATCGCTACTGTAGCATCGGTCTATGCTGTTACTGCAACTTTCTGACTTATTAAGCATCGGGTTGGGGCTGATATAAAGCGTAATCAATAAAGCCGTTCTATCTCCTGCAATGAGGCGGCTTTCGTAATGAATGGTGCCTGTATACAAAGATAAGAACAGAGTAAGGAAGTCAAACGAAGAATGTCCTGACGATGCTAGTCAGTTGTGTGTTATCTCGGAGATACGCGTTGGTTTCACAAAAGTTAGTGCTATGCTTGCCACTCTGCGTAGATAGCAAAGCCGGAGAAAGGTTGAGTTATAATACGTTTTTTGCCTTATAGCGCTACTTTCAAACCCTTTGTAAGGACCTAAATTTCTTGTCCTTTTTAGCAAGTATTTTGAAGCAAAGTGAGTGTAACTTTGATGGCGTATTGTAACTCGAAGAGGATAAGAGTTCTTTCGAAGGGATAGCAACGGAGGTAGGTGAATCAGAGGGTGCTGTACTTTATTAAATGCTTCAAACTAGCAGCGCGCTACAGTTGAAAAACGCATTTGCACTTTATCGTAGATAAAGTAAATCATTGTCATACTGTTAAGAATATGTGTTATCACGAGCCGCAGTTCAAGTGACAGCACATGCTCCCCAATGCGGCCGCTGCACGGCACAACCGACAACGCAACTCTGGAGTCCACGGGTAAAAACTGCCTCATAGCCAGGATAGCACACTATTTATTAGAAAAAGCTATAGCGAAAACAATTCGAAGTGACCCTAGTGCTTTAACTAGGTGTCTACACTAGCGGACAAAATTTATTTATTTTTGGCAACGAAGGGAAAGCTACAGGGGCTGAAATTGAGCACGCGTTTCGCTATTCGATATAATCTGGTATGACATTCGTTCCGCACCGCTGCGGAAAATCAAGGCTGTGTGCGATCAGTGTTTAATATCGATGCAGACAACACCTGCCATTCGAAAGGCACCTAAAAGGTGCGGCTTTCTCCCATGTGCCAAAACACGAAGAGACATCGTACAGATTAAAGCAAATACCAATATCTCACTGCTGTGAACTGTGTCCTGTCTTGAAAAGTCATATGCAAAAAAAGAAGGCATTAGTTTTCATATTTCACGCAGAAAACACGGAAGCAGTTATGGAACTACACTTGTTAGCGGTAGGATATATGCAAATTGGTTCTGTAGCTTTCCTGGCAACGGGGTTGCCAGGAAAAGTTGTCCGCGATTATATTAGGGGAAACCTCGGGGATTGTAGATCTAGATTACGCTATTGCGAACTGCGCTTAAAAGCGAAGCTCAAGTGTCCTCCAACTTTCGCCACTTCATTCAATCGCACTTTTTAAAGTTCGTGTTTCTAGCGCCCACGTGACATCGAGGAAATTACGTGACATCGTGAATTTACGTGGAAAACCTGTGACGCAGTTTGAGGCCCATTCATTGCATCGCGTTATCATGAACTACAGATGAAATATAGAAAATGAACTCTGAACACAGCAGTACACCTTTCATTCCTGTGGCAAGGAGTATAATCATTTCATACAGCAAATTAACCAGCACAATGTACCTACACCCAAGATTTCACTCGTGTGAACATCCAGAAAAAGAGGTGGTTGGACACAACACGATGTATCAAAACATTGTGGTGTACTTTGTTTTATTTTTAAGTAAAAAGAACAAAAATGTCTTATTTAATTATTTATCTATCAATACTGTCAACCTTCCTGAGAGGGTCCGGTCAGAGAGAAAACAGAGAAAAAGTAAAAATAAATTGATTGATTTGCACTTGTCCTCTCTTCCTTTCTGTTTATTCGTGCGCTTGAACTGACAGTTATACCATGCATATCCAACTAGCCCAACTTTCGATTTTGTTGCAATTGATTTGTGGTGTTTAACGTCCCAAAACCATCATATGATTGTGAGAGACGCCGTAGAGGAGGGTTCCGGAAATTTCGGCCACCTGGGTTCTTTAACGTGCACCCAAATCTGAGCACACGGGCCTTCAACATTTCCGCCTCCATCGGAAATGCAGCCGCCACAGCCGGGATTCGATCCCGCGACCTGCGGGTCAGTAGCCGAGTACCTTAGCCACTAGACCACCGCGGCGGGGCAAAAGTGAAAAACAATTGGAGACAATGTAAATAAAGGCAACATTATGTTGATGCGCTAAACTCGTTGAGATAGTAATCCATAGTTTGTTCGAATTCTCTTTCACAACACACCTTGGCAATTTATTTGACATGTGAATTACACTGCAACTGAGAAGAGTGAGGGATCATTTTTATTGTTTTATTCATTGAGATACCAATCCGCATGCAGCCCAAACCTTTACACTACTTTCGATACTACGCTGCGTACGCGCGTTTTTTTTTGTGTGTGTGTGTCTGTCACTGAATCGAAAGTGTCTTCCCTCCGCTGTCATCATCACAAGTGTCCAGGCACTGTTCGTTCATGAAACACTGTTAACGTTTTTTTGTGTGTCTTATTTGAAAAGTGGTTACATATTGCACAATTGCTACAGGAGTAACGACTGTATTTCATCCCAAACATGCAAAATGCCTCAAAGGTTCTTCTTGCAGCTGCGTACCAACTTAGCTCACTTTACATACTTGTGATATAGTTGGCGGTTTAATGTAATCTAGAATGGTTCGTTGTTTGTTACCATTTATCGCAAATAAAATGCTATGAAACTCGAAAGCTGTGTGTAAGATAGCTGCATAAAGATGCGAAAACTGTTCCGATAATATTCGATTCGTTTTCCTATTTGATTCAGCGCCATAACGATTCTATTCGTGTGCACTTTGACTATAAAATTAATTATTCGCACACTTCTAGGGGGGCTACCGTTAATCATGTGATGACGTCACAGGCTGCTAAAATTTGTTACGTCATCAAGACGTCGCCTAATGACGCCATCAGATTTGTGGTTTTCTGAGAGGTTGACCCATCTCGGAAGTACTGGGAAACAGCGTGAGACACAGAAAGCCTCTCGTTACTGCAACTTGAGAGGTAGAAAAAACCACGTTGCGTGCGAAAAGTCTTAAGGAGAAGGGTGGAAGCAAAAAAGTTTCCTACAACTAACTAGAGCGGATTCTGGCGGTGCAATCGTTTAGTTACCATGAGGGATGATGGCTAGTACATCAATTTGCCTAGTATTTGTGCTTGCGGGCTGCGAGCACATTCGTAACTCCGTTCATTGCAGTGTTTAGGTTTTGTTTCAAATAAAAGAACAACCAGGTTTGAGTTTTGTGACGCGATATGAAAAGGTAGGCCTAAAAAAGTAAGGTGGTGAAGCGCAACATTTGCTCATTTTTGTTCCGTGAGGGAACAGCTCCAAGCCACACGAACCCAAACGAAGCCGAAAGTACGAAAATTGGGCAGATTCATGTACTACCCATCAATGCCTTGCTCGAGGAAACACCCTTCGTTGCAGCTCCCATAGACTCTACCACCAGAGTGCGCTCTAGCGTACCTATAGGAAACCCTATGGCTGGAAAGAGCAACACAGTACTGAGAAGAAGTCGGCGTTCAACTTTCAGTTATAAAGGTATAGCGGAACGTGTGACTTCGTCACATTTAAAAACGCTGCTAATATTTATTCGATGGATTGTTTTCTGTACGCTTGCAGCTTCGATGACCAGAACTCAAGTGGTCCTGAGGAATCTTTGAGCAGGTAACCGTTTACTTGTCTGCATACGGATACTTTGCACCACATAGACTATAGCTATGCTGACGTGTGTAATACGGAGCCTTGGTGCTAAACTTGACATGTCGCCCTGATGCTGAGACTTAAGGGGATGGGAGACAACAAAAAGAATGTTTAATAACACACTTATAATAATCATAATTTTGACAGAACAATATAAAACACCTACAAAGACAAAACATTTACTTTAGTCGGCGTGACGATAGTTATAGCGCGAGAACAAAACGACGACACAGAGAGTCTCTGTGTCATCGTTTTGTTCTCGCGCTATAACTATCGTCATGCCATACCAACTAGCCCAAGCTGCCACACTTTTCGTCGGCGACTTCATTGTAGGCAATATGGTACTTAGGACCTAGCTTGAATGCCGACTCTTTAAGTCACTTTATGTCGATCAAAGTACATTATGTGGGGCCACGCTCAGATAGCGTACGCTTACTCATCCATACAATACCCATATTTTCAACCATTGGTCGTTATTCACTTCATGTAGGTGTGCCCATCTTTTTTTTTCTGTTTTAAGCTGATAACACCACCGGCTTCATGTTTCGAGCGGCATTGTTTCGTTTCCCGGGTGCTTATTTTCAAAGAGTAACGCGTTGAGGCAGTTATTTATGCTTGATGCATGCTGAAAGTGAATGCCTAAAACTAAGCGACCGTTGCAGACGCTTGAAAAGATAAAATACCGAGGCTGTCTCAGACACAACCACCACTCCGCGTCATCTATTATGCCCAGTTGCACCTCTGTAACGGCGGCAGGTGGCTCCATAAGAGGCCGAGTCGGCAGTTTCGAGATCTCAAAGCCGTATTCACATGACGGACGTGATCGCAGACGGATCATTCAATTGACATGAAGCATAGTTTGCCTCCCTCTGCAGCCACTATTTACAGGACAGGGGAGAATTCACGCTATACATGCAGGGATTTCGGCATTGCCTCCCGAGGATCTCAACGCCGATTTGGCCTTCCGTCGTTTCACGAATCTGTCCGCGTGCGGCGATGCGAGGACGGGGTAATTGACGCACTCCGCAGGCTCGAATCGCGATTTGGTACGTTACGCGAATACACCATAAAAAAGCATTTATTGACTATCGTAAAAGCAGATAATGGACAAGTGTTTTCATAACAAGAATCGCGACGCTAAAACACTCACCATTCGGACCTTCTTTTTTTAATGCAGCTACTATGTGAAAGTGACGCTGAAGGATGGCCAGCACGTTACGTGCAAGTTACACGCAGAAAACGCCGGGAACCTTCCCCGCTGCATCAACTGCTACTTTTTCATTACGTCGTGGGTCAGACTCGTATGCCGTCACAACCTGTGCATTGAATGTTTCAAGAACTCCATGACGTTCGTTTGTCCTGCAGATTCAACACAGATTTTTAAATCCCAGGTGATAACTTTTGTGTTTTCATCGTTATTGGAGGGAACCTTTTAAAGGCAGAGCGCGTATTTATATAGAGAGTAATGAGTTACACAAATGCATGCGAAGAAGAAACTGCTGTCAACAGGCGAAATGTCAAAGCAAAAATGCATATTCAATATGAATGCACGATTTAATAGAAAGGTGTTGTCACATAGGAGTAGAAAGTAAATTGATAAGCAGCTTTATAGAGGCAAGTTGTCGGGACATGAAAAAAATCTTACTAACTAAAAGCGAGGTCTTCATGAAAAGTGAAAGATTAAAAGGCAACAGCAAAGCATATTCAACAAGGTTAGAAATATAAGTGAAGAAGTGAGTAGTTCGGAAGTCCACGCTTTGGAATGTAGTAACCTAACCAATAATTTGCAGCACTTTTTACTCGATACTATCATTCAATTTTTCGAATAAAAATCCCATGCTACTGTGTGTAGCATACTTGATTTTTTAGTCACAAAGGATATCAATTTCAGTGTCCTGTGCTTGGTACTCTTGCTGTGATATAGGGTAGTTTTTATCGATATTGTTTCCTTTAAATGTCTCATTATTACCAATTATGTACTTTACAGCTGTCACGCTCTAATATTTCAATAACGCTGATAAAGGGATAAGGAAAGCTATAATTAAATGTGCCGGTAAGGTTATGATAAGTAAACATAGAATATACATGATGTTTTACAAAAAAAAAAAAAACTGCTCTTTCCACGAAAGCAATCCAGAAGGCTGACTGACACAAGGGCGCCCAACCTGTATTCTACGTGATGACGATAAAAGTTTGCTGTATAATCCGGTCTTCTTTATGCTTCGAGAACGATGGCCTCATCGAGACGAGAAAACTCCCGCAAAATACACAGCGTACGACAGTGCGGCTTCCCGGATTCCGCTTTAAATTGTTGGCGTGTGCACGCATGTAATCGTGGTTAGTTGACACTTTTTTTGTTGTTGGTTGGACTAGTCACAGGTCGGCGAGAAATGGGAAGCCCATTCATTCAATACATTTTGCTCTTTGGGATTAGTCGGACTTAGACTCACCAAGTATTTTTTTTTTTCGATGGGACTCACTTGTGCTCAAGCTCGCAAAATATTTCACCCTCGGATTCACTCAGACTGACGCTCGTAGCTCCATCAAGTTTGGGTGAGTCGACATGACCATTTTGGACCGTATTGCGAGTGCTCTTTAGCACCAGTATCTCGCACAATAGATGCTCTACTTGGTACCTTCTGAAATCGTGCCTTCAAATACGAGTTACCTGTGGTTTCAATAGAGTAACGACATTTTAGTTTAAAGATATTCACGACACGATAGCTTTTTTTTCTTTCAAGAATCTCCACTGAAAAAACCCTTGGGGGAATAGGGAAGGTCAGAACTGGCGTATCAGGTCAATAAATATTGAAGTGTCCTATGAACGCTGGTGTGCTGTAGCATGTAGGAGTTGGCGTGAGCATTAAAATGAGCACACATAAGGCTAATAGTAATGTTGGAGTGACCTAGAGTGCTTACACTTTTCAATGTGGCATATCAAAGCTATCAGAGCACATTGTGGTCAGCACTGCAACACATCATCCTTGTAACTTTGTGCTGCTGCTTACGCATGTAACCGGTGCGTCCTATCAATCATTAGTAGTACTGTCAACCTGGATTCACATTTATACTCACGTCTACTCACAGGTATCCAAAAGCAGTGTGTTTGTACACCATTTCAATATTTATTGATCAAAGGCGTGAATTACACAAGGGGGTGACTTGAACCTCTGCAACTCTTCCAGGGGAGTTATTGATAAATATATACAATTCTGCCACCCCTTAGAAGAAAAATGACCTCTTTGGTTTGCAAACATTCTTAACTCGTTTTCAAGATACTATGGCAAACGAAGCCATGAAGTGCACTTATTACGTGAGATATTAGTGCTAAAGAGCACTCGTAGCATAATCGAAGAAGCTAATCCTAGGCTAACGGACTCAGGGGTCGACTAAACAGGACTCACTCCGACTCAGATCAAGCTGAGTGTCTAAGTTTGAGTTTTCTGGCTCAGAAAAATTTTCGCGAGTTTGAGTTCAGGGTAGTCTAAAGAATGAAATATATTTCATGAGCGAGTCTGAGTGAGTTTCACAAATTTTTCCGACCTATGACGATGCCTCATTATATACGTATTTTTTCATTTCTGTTTTTGTTTTGTGCAGGCATCGACAGGAAGTTGCACGTATGGGGGTACATGGAAAGACGTCCTCATCGAATGCGCATTATGCGGAGCGCTGAAGGATCCCAACTCTATCGCGGTGCGAGCACTTCGTTCTGTTTGAAACGGCTTCTTTACGGCCGAGTGTCATCAAATCAGTGCACAAGCAAAATGGCGTACCTTTTAATGACGTCATCAGAATATTATACTATAGTTACATGGCCACTTTTAGCTCATAAGAACTAGAGTTAACTCATTTTATACGCTGTGTATTTTACAGTACCAATGTTTCTAAAAAAATGTTTAGTTAGCGCATATCGCCACTATAAACCATAGCGTTTCCTAAAATTAACTAAAGGGAACTCTGGCGCTGCGATCGTTCAGCGAAAATGGCAATGATAGGTATGGTACACGGATTGGACTAGTCTTCATACTTGCGGGAGGCGAATCGCGCTTGTGGTTTCGTTTGTTGCTGTGTGTTGGTTATGTTTCAAAAGAAATAACGATCCTTTTTGAACTTCTTGAACCCTTGAACTTTTTGAACACAATAAGTGGTAGACATCATCATCATCATGATCATCATTATCATGATGATGATGATCATCATCATCATCCTGACTACGTCCACTGCAGGACAAAGGCCTCAGTTAAACCGGACCTGTGCTTGCTGCTGCCAATTTATACCCGCAAACTTCCTAATCTCATCTGCCCACCTAACCATCTGTTTCCCCCTAACCCGCTTGCCTTCTCTGGGAATCTAGTTAGTTACCCTTTGTATATATGTTACTATCAAGTGGTAGACATAAAATATTAAAGTGGTAAAGCACAACCGCTAAACATTCGCTGATTTTTGTTTAGCGACAGAACAGCTCGAAGCCGCACGAACACACACGCATCCCGAAGTACGAAGATTAGGTGAATCCGCGTGCTACACATCATTCCCGTGCTCGCTGAAGCGCCACGCGTTTCAGCTCCCATATAGGGACTAGCGCCAGAGTTCCTGCTAGTGAATGTATGGGGCACTTTTTTGCTATATACCACTTGTTTCGTTTAAACCCAGCTGTCAATAAATCATGGAGAAGGCTTCTGAAAGAGTGGCATCTATAATAATAGCAGTTAACTACTATTTTAACAGAATATTTAATGGTAGTGGAAGGAAAGATGACACAAAAAGGAGAACAGTCCAGTGTAACGTCGGCGAAAGGCTTGAGCGTTTTTACCACTACGCTCAATCGGTCTTTGATATTGTTTCTACTTGCGACTACCGAAGGCCTTTTTTTTTTCAGAGCCACATTGAAAAGGAACACCCCGTTACTCAGCAAAAATCCCGCACCGCGCGGGAACTTGTGCAGGTGGGTAGTTTCCAAAGCCTCTCGGTAATCTCGCATAAATTTCGAACACTCTTATATCAAGGACGCAATCGTTCAAAAAGGAAAACACGTCTATCTTGGGCTCATAACAGAAAACAAGCTATCCAAGCCCATGACATTCTGCAGCGTTTTTCTACGCATCGCAGAGCTCATAAATTTCGCCGGTTTCTCCGTTAAAGGGGGAGGGGGCTGATTTTTAAGTTTCATCGCAACCTACCTCTCTACACCTCTACCCACGGGTTAACAGAATTTTTCACTGCTTTAGCACGCTCACGAAAAAAAAATGCACGTCGATGGGAAAAGTGCTATTTCACAACTTTAATACAAACCGAAAGGGTGTGGTACTTACATTACGTTGCGCAGACGCATTAGCGACATCGTCCAGGTGGCGATGGTGCTGAAGGCGTATCAAACCAAATATTCAAATTAGATGTGTTCCGCGCCATACAGCGACTCGGACGCTTGGCTGCAACGGTCACAATTTGTCTCTTTTAGGGAAATGCCTCCGTAAGGGCACGCGCCGTTCTATATTTCCTTCTAGCAAGGATCCTCCCATCATAGAACATCGGCTCACAAGAGAGCAGGCTTTGCAATGTGCCAAAAGGTGCGCAGTGAAATACCTTTATTTCTAAATGGTTTCGCGTGTTACCTCATGCGGTCATTGACGCATCTTCCCGCCTATCATGTAATACTTCCAGTAGGTTAGAGACAGCACATACAGGATGCACACGAGTCGCACATTGAGTGCAGTCGAGTAGAACGAAAGTAGCAAAGTATTTTTTCCTGCTTTCTACAAGAGCATGTCTTTGCTCGCCCAGATTCCGGGAAAAGAGGCGAGGTCAGCGGAACTTCAATCAATCAATCAATCAACCGATCGATCGATCAATCAATCAATTAATTAATCAATCAATTCAAAATTTTAATCAATCGAATTTTGGAGCGCAGTATGAGAGGTCCTCGACTCTCTGGCCTCCATTGTTGTCAAAAAATTCCGTGCACAGGGAGGAGGAGGTCCTAAATAATAATTATTGTAGTTTAAAGTTCCATAACCGCGTTATCTTTATGAAAGACGTCGTAGTGGAGGGCTCTGTAAATGTTTTACACCTGGAGTTCTTCAGCGCGCACGTAAACCTGAGTACATGGCCACAAGCATTTTCATCTCCATCAAATATGCGGCTGCTGGAGGCGAGACTTGGTCCCGCGATCTGCACGTAAGCGGTCGAAAATCACAACGAGAAGAACATCATGGTGGGTGTACAGGACCTACTGAGCAAAGCTAGGGTACGCATTTGGCACCCTTTTGATTATCAGACAAGGAGGAGCCCCCCTCCATAACCTTACATACGCCTGTGTATAATTCTAGTTAATTTCACGTCATTCCGATTTCAAAGGACCACTGTGTCTGCGTCTTTCGCTGTTTGAATGAGAACGCGGGTAGCCTTACTACGTTATTGATGAAGAAAGGGTAATAATCAGTACTGCGGAACCTGGGCTTAAATATCAATGAATAGGCACCATTTTTGTTCTGAAAACACCAGATACTTGGAGATGTTACGGCGGGAATGCCCGAAGCACCAATGCTCGTTGATTCTTCTGGTGACACGAGAAGTGCTTAGATGCCTAGTTTTTTTTTCTAACAGGGACATTGTCTGCAAATACCACTTTTACAAATTACGTGAAGCCGTCAAAAGCACATTCAAACGTAATTCGAAGGTCATATTATACAGAATCACAGAAAGATTAGCGAACTGATTTGGGTCAGCCATTCACGGCACGCAGCGACACAGGCGTTTACGTGCTAAAACGTTGAAGGATTTCTGACACTTTTTACAATGCACCATGATGAAAGGAAAAGTGGGGCAGCAGTGGAAAGAATGCAAAAGACGAGACGACGACAGGACATGCGCTACACTAGCAACTGAAGTTTTTATTGAATAACGTCTCATTGCAAGCAGCACCGTAATTGAAAATGCCACAGAAGGTAAAAATCGAGCAAAATCAAGGTACCAGAGTGTAAATATCCTCTTGGAAATACGGACACAACACAAACACAATGAGAACTACATTTCATGTGTCACCGTGCGATACAGGGGTTGGTGAGCTAGCCATACCCTTTAGGTCAGAGGTTTACAGTGCCTGAAAGACCCGTGGTCAAAACCTACTGATGTCTTTACATTAGAACGCCTGAGTAAGCTAAATGCAATGTCTCTCTTTTTATTTCTCAAAGTAGACCAACATTTGACGCCGTAGCTTACGTTGCGTAGTATCTATCTTATGTGTTCACTAATCAGTTTACTTCCCTGAATCATTTCCCTTGCTTCAATTAAACAGGAGCCAACTGAAATCTGGGGCAACAACGAGCCCCGAAACTTCATCCCCAACGGTTATGAGGGCCGAGATCCAGAGTGCTCGAACACGGGACCAAGCAAGCTTCACGAAGGTGTCACAGATACTAAAACGGTACCAACAATTAAGCACGCGTTGCTTCGTACTTACTATCAAAACTTTGTATTTTCGATATATTTAATCCTTTTTTCTCAGCGCCAGAAATTTTTCACGTATGTTTTATATGCCATATGTAATATTTGCTATATAAGCAACGAAAAGCACGCTACTCAAATAAATTTATTGAAACTGCTAAGAATATTTTGTAGGAAAGAGCATGTAATATCATCTTGTTGAACAGAAATAGTAGACGCAGGTGAACTGGGAAAAAAATAAGGAGGCCCTAAACCTTCGCCTTTAGAAGTTGAATGTCATAGCGATATCCTGTTCTTACAGTGCGTACTTCGAACACTTAGTACACAACAGGTATTCGAACTTGCGATACACCCACTACGTCGCCATAGAGGGTGCAGTAGCGTGTGTGCCTTTTGTAGTGGGGGACTGGCTTTAAACCCCGAAGCCAGTATGATTATCGCATTGTCGCGTGCTGCTGCACATACGCAGTGACGATGACGAAGTGGCCACCAGCGCGAGTTGGAATGCGAGGGCTGTGAAATAAAACAGTTGGTTTCAACATTCGATGTAGCAGCATCATTCTTACTCTACCTCACTGCTACAGTTGGGACTCCAGACAAATGAAAAAAAAAATTCCAGAAGATTCCACCTGACACTCGCACCAAGCCAACCAACCTCCGCCCCACCTGTCACCATGGCGCAACGACTGCATGTAATGACCACGGTGCCTTGCATTTTTTTTACCGCCAGAATTTACCGAATTTTGGCGGGAAAGCACAACCATCTGGATGTTCCAGATGCAGGCTGGTTTCTAACTGCGCAACAACGTCTCGCAGCAGGAAAGGTACGACAGCGTGGTAACCTTGTTTCCTCTACTCTGCGATGCGTTGTGCCTCCTCCTGGATCGCAAACATACGACCGTCTTCAAAGTTTTGTGCTAGTCCTACCTCAACCTGCAGTGCCAAATCACTTACTGCCATGCGAAACCTCACTTTCGAACCACAGGCCATCGCAATCTCACTGCCGCGAAAGAGTCAACTCGAGTCTGCCCGAACTCCTTAGGTGATGGCGCTACGATATGAACCAGTTCGCAGGTGACCACGCAGTCAATGCACGACATGGTTTTCGACGGCACACCTAAGACACACATTAGCACGTTAAGTGCCACGGATGAGTGTCGCCGCACCTCAGCTGCTTCTGCCACACTCTTCATCACCAACACCAGCTTACGTCTACCAGTGCCACTCTGTAAAGTAACAGACATCATTAGCTGATGTGCCAACGTGAGGGAGCTCGTCATAGATGCTCATCTCTCTCCGTCAAGTGACAAAAAGCTCTGTCCTTAGACACCGCTAGTCCAGCGTCACCAGCCACACAAAACTTCGCAGATCGTACGGATCTCTCTCCACCAGGCGTGCGAATGGCATACCCGTCTGATGCCTCTAATGCCTGCAGTAGGCTTCATCTAGAAGCATTGCCTGGAGAACCAACAATCGCCAACGCTACAGCTAGCCCACCTTGTCTTACGTGTGGTCAGCCAGCTTCAACATCACCTGATGCATCCTGTGTGTTGACAATAAAGCTCGACGCAACTGGACAGCTCTCTGGAATAGACAAACGCCAAGTACCGCCCTACAGCACCGCCTTGAAGCTCCTGCCCACAGGTCAAGGACAAAGGAAGGTTTCTAGTCAAACTGGGTCCAGTACAGCAGCGTTTTTTTTCACTGTCCACCCTCATACCTGTGCATCAAACGACGTGACCCATTTCAAAACGAGCCGTGTCTCGATGCCACACACTGGCGCAGATCCACACCCCAATGGCACGTTCATGTGCTCAACGGAAGGCTCAGCCCGACAAAGCTTCGACGCAACAGCTCCCCCAGCTTTGAAGGAAGCTCTCAAACCTGGGACACGGAAGTGCTTCATTTCACTACACCTGACGGAACACCTGATATACTCCATTTGCGCCACTCGCAGCCACGACCTCCAGAAGAAAATTGACAACACCCTCGCCACTCCGCTGATGACCAGGGCTGTCAATGGACACTTCTTAACAATGACTTCGTCTAGATGGCAGGAGACCCTGTCGCGTGCTGCCATGCCTGTGCAGCGACGAGGATGAAATGGCCGCAGGCGCAAGGAGGCACGTGCAGCATAGAGTAACATATAAAGTTAAGAGAGGACATTCCTTCCCCTGTGGCTGATTTGGGTTCGCAGCCCACCGAACAAGTGTGGGCATGTAGTTCCATACAATGATACCCAAAGAGGAACCTGATGCTGCGATCGTGTAGTTCCATGAAAATTCTGAGAAGTACAGGCTTCGGATTGAATAGGATTAGCTAGCGAACTGTCTACAGACTGTTTTTTGCAGTTTCAGCTTCGTTCTTCGCGAAGCGCGGGTAGTTGGGTGCGGTGAAAAAAGGCTGAAGCAGTGCCTTTGTTGTATCAATCCGGCTGTAAGATTACTTTCAAAATGTTCGCTATATATAACTGGTTTAATTTCTTGCCAAGTGCATATGGCAATACGTGATTCTTCAGACAGAGGATATTTTGTAAACGCGAAATGTTTTCCGGGAGATATCTGTGGCATATGATTGATTTATTTCTCGCAAAGTGTATACTTCGGTGTACGATTGTTTCGGGTGATGGGCTGTGCAAACGTGTCGGAAATGGGTCACCTCTGGCATTGACACACCCATCTGGAAACATAAAAAGAACTCAGCTAAATACGCGGAATGTTTTCGTTTTAGCGTACGATCAACTTTGTGCTTGAAATATTTGTTTTTCATCACTTGGTGCTTACTACTAACTTTTTACTCAATTTTATCGGTTGATTTTGATGGATACAGGACAATTCAGACACCCGCTGCAAAGACGAGCGCCAAAACTGCAATTTCACCGGTTATGTTGGTAGAGGTCAGGAATTCCAGAAGAAAGAACAAAGCGACCTTCCTCCAACTGCCATTGAATCTGAAGAGGTACTCACCTTCAAATTGCTTCAGATGTAGTATATTGATGAGAACTAACAGAAGACTTATTATATTCCTGATATTGTGTCTAAAAATAAAATAGGTATATATTTACACTTTGGGATACATTAGGAATAATGACAGCCAACAGACAATAATGCCAAAGAAATTATAGGGGAAGTTTTTTGTTGTATATATAAAATGAATGTCAAGAATGAAAAGTGCGCGAAACGATAACTTGCCACCGACAGGGGCCGAACACACGACCTTATAATAACGAGTCCGCTGGTCTACCAACTGAGCTGGTAGAGCATCGGGAGCTCTACCAACTAAGTTGGTAGATCCGATGTATCGTGGTAGGTCTTGTGCTATAGCACGCTGCATCCGATCTACCAACTGAGTGGGTAAAGCACCCGGCGTTCTACCGACTCAGTCATTAAAACACCGGACGCGTTATATGGATGTCGCAGCTTCAGCCCCTGCCGGCAGCATGTTACCCATTTGGCAGATCATTGGAAACGTTATTAGAAGGCCACAGGTTCAGGCTCTGTCGGAGCAAAGTTACCTTTTCGTTTACATTACCTTCTTCAAAATCACATTGCATTCAGAACAAATAACTTTCTCTATGCGTTCCTTGGCATTGTGCCTCTTAGCGTACGTTCATTGGTGCATACTTTTGCGCATCTACCTTCAAGGGGAATGTAGCACTGCCCCATGAAACTCCAGCAAACTATGGACAAGGGCGAAAAACATTGCTTTACGTTAAGCAAGAGGCAGCCAGCAATTAACCGAAATATAGCTATGGCTTTCTTCAGTACAAGAGCAGTGATATAACAATCACAATAAATAAATAAATAAATACAGAACTTGAACAAATAATCCATCTATATTTTTTTCTTTCAACAGAAGCATAAGGAAGCCCTAAGCAAGTACTTCACTGAGTGCACAATCTGCAAAATAAATATATATTCAAAAGATTTTATAAGACACGAACAACTATGCCAAGATCAAAGTCGCAACGAACCTGAAGCATCGCCCGGGTAAGTCGTGATGGTTACACCATCACCTTTTTACGCAAACACCACGTTTTCACGTCGTGGAGTTTGAATAGTGAAGGGCCACTAAGAAAACTGATGCAACAAGAGTGCCTCGTCATAATTCGTGGCCAAAATGTTATTGAATTACGCGCACTGTTCGTTGCACATGTTCTTCGTCATCTATGTATTTGCAAATATTTTGTGAATAGTACGATGGTTATTGCGAGATGTCGTGAAAAAAGGAAATCTTGGTCATAATATATAAATTCACGCTACCATACTCCTGTGGCCTAATACTGGACATTTATTGAAAAAATGAGGATCTGATTCAGTAAAACTATGGCCTCAATAGTTAAGGAAGCCATGGAACAAAACCTCATAGTTAGGGTGGATAAATCCACTCTCTAATAGATTAATGTTTAGGAATTACTTGGCAATGTGCACAGAAATATCGTCTATAATACGTTATACAATCCAAAATTGTTACACAATATTCTTAAAGGGTCCTTGAAAGACTTTCTCAAGTAACCATGAGATGGGTTCACTTAAAAAGCTTATTGCCTAATGAATTCGACGCTGCAAGAATTTTGATACGTCCAGTACAAGCGCAGTTACAAAGATTTGTCGGCCGCTGCAAATGCATTCTCTCTTCTCTCGTACCAACGGAAGCTAAGCAGGAGGGGGGGGGGGGCTGACAGGGGCTAAGAAAAGGCGTCACGGGTGGCTTGCGACCTTGAGCGCTTTTTTTTTTTTTGAATACAAGGCTTTTTCAGTGTCATCGCATGCGCACGCGTGCGCAAGTCGCGGCCTCCGGCGGCGATCCTGGTAACTACCGACCACGTCATGTTGAAACCAGCCAACGGTTGGTAGAAGGACTTCTATGAGTGATTTTCGAGCGTCCTCTGCGATTTGTCGAGAAAAGAGGAAGCAATTTTCAGCTGACTTTGGTAATTTATAGGGAATTTCAGGTCTCGTACTGCGCTATAATATTTGGCTCGCGCGTTCTCGAGAGCATATACTACCGATCGGATGCATTACTTGACCATGCTCACAAAGTGTTGCTGGGCCTCTTTAACTATGCCCTATTTAGGACTACAGGGTCATTCGCATTCGTTGCGAAGCTAACATACGTTAATTTATACTTTTTCAAGGACAAAAGTGCCCTTTACGCTCGTACATAACCTATGTGCTGAATGATCTAAGAGTACAGTATCTTTTGGTTGCTACAACAACCATCTACACTTCTTTACTTGTTGGAATATCACAGTACACAACCAACGCGGTTGATGCTTAAATAAAGTTTCCAGCATGCAGTATAACCCAGTACTCTGTTTCTGCATTTTGGTCCGCGTTTTAGCTTTTAACGCGGGTAGTAAGAACAAAATAAGGAGGGAGAGTGTGAAGGTTACAGTTTCCATGTAAAGCTTGGGAAACAGTAAATCCAGTTGCTCTTAGGGACATAACATGACCCTCTTGGCTGATGCTACGTCTTTCTTTGGCGTAGACAAAGTAGAGTTAAACCACCACGAGTCACAGACTTTGCAAAAGCGTCGAAACTCATGCGTTAGAACTAATCTGCAGAACTGACTGTGGCGTCCCTGGTAGAAGCATGAACCTTGACTGCAGGTATACTCGGTTAGCATGGCGGCTGCGCAACTGTCCCGGTTTCTTGGTTTGGCTAATCCACACTGACGTAGAGGGTTCAGCAACGCTCGCTAAGCAACGGAGCCGAGGTCTTTTTGCGGGCGCCCGACGTTTCACCTCGAGTTTTAAAAGGTTTGCTCTTAAAATCTTAAAAAGGCAAACAGTGCACCAAAAACCAAGACAATGCCTTGCAAGGCTCAGCTTATCTTAAAACAAATATAGTAGCATACAACACCTGTAACGAAAACAAGTGGGAGATAGCACGATGTTGCACGAACTAATGGAAGCAAATCATTCGTTACTACCAACGATCCCTGTTTAACCAGTTGCCGAAAACAAAAAGCGTAAAAATGGAAAAATTATCAATGAAAGAGGTTCGCGATATACGTATATAAATAGGCCAGAATGATGTTCATATGATTAGACTTCTTTTTTGTATGTATCCTTTGAATGTTCACGATGGGCTACCTTACTTTGTTGTTGTTTTGCTTTCTGAAAGCTTTCTTTTCCCAGCTAGCCTAAAACTATCCCACACTTAGCTTTTTACGTCATATACGGTTGTACCAATATTTTATAGTTCCCACTAATACGTATTAAAACTCTTCCGTCGCTTTGCAATCTGTTCTAAGTTAATAATATTAGTTCTGTTTCACTGCTTGCTGCTATTCTACCCAGTATAGACTGTCACCTCATCACGCTACCTTCTGTTCTATCTTTACGTGACAACTGCTATTTTTCCTTTCATCGAAATATGAATAAACTTCATTCGATTTGATTTAAGGATCCACCCACACTAATCTCAAAGGATTTCCTCTCACTTTGTTGTAGAGTCAAGCAAGGAGATGAGAGTGCTGAAAAGCAAGATCTGGACGATGAAGTTCGGGAGCTCAAGCACAAAATAAACGTGAGTAGCGAAGCATGTTGGATGTCAAAAGCAGTACCCACTGCAGTGCCTTTTTTGACGCATCGCTGATGCAGTCTTATGATTGAACAGGAAAACCCCGTCGATACATACCCTTTTATGAGTTTTTGGTTGCTACAGCGACCATCTATGCTTCAATACGCCAACTGTCACGAAAACTGAATTCAGGCGATTGAGATCACCCGATTCCTATCGCACATTTTGCCGGATCTTATGTTTGTCTGCCATGTTTTTTTGGAAACGTATGAACGACGTTTTACTGTATTTCAGAAATTCCTTTTTTCCCTATCTTCGCTTTGCTCATCGTTAACCTTACATCATTTTTCGTTAAGGGCAATGCTACATTGAGTGACAGAACGCCTGTAAAAAAAACATAGCTCAATAAGACAGGATTGATATAACTAGGCAGAATAAGGAACGATTGCTATGGCACGAGATCAGGACAACGACATAGGCACAAGAAGAAGACGAGTGCTAATCTTCTTGTCCCTTTGTCATCGTTCTGACCTCGAGCTATAAAAATTGTCCTGTCATACCAACAAGCCCAAACCACTACGCTGCTAAGTATAAAGGTTTTTTGCAGCGCGAGGCAAAATACGGAAACAGGAAGGGATAGAGTGACAGAACTCTATTCCTCCCTGTTTCTGTATTTTGCCTCGCGCAACAAAAAGTCCTTCCATATGCATCACCAACAAGCCCGCATTGCAACTATCCTCATCTAAGTGCACATGTAAGGCACTTTGAAAAACCCAGTATAGACTAATTTTTCTCTGGTATGGTAATGGAATCCGGCAGACAGTTTTACTGTGCCCGGCCACATTCGTCGGGGGAACTATGTTAATCGCATTGCATCGAAAACATATAGTAGGAGAGACCGAACCTTTTGTTCAGACCTAATCCATCGGGTATTGTAACAAGCTTCACACGATGGGTTTTCGAGACGGACTTGCTTTTTACATCGATTTCTACTGATATTATCATTGTTTTATTTCATGTAACACCTTAGAGTTCACTCTGCTATATAAAACACGTAGGTAACCAGTTTTAGTATTCTTGTGTATTTATAAATTCTTATCAGGGCTTTCCCCCAACTGAAACCAGCGCTGTACAGTGCGACCCCAAAGACGGCAAAGAGTGTCACAGTGCCAGTAAACACTGTCTGATTCAACGTGTATCAGGCTTGAAAATTATTATGAAACGAAACTGTTATGAAGCCACTGGCTCTTCCGTCAAACATAAGTTGCTAACTTACGTTTTGATCTCAGCTGGGAACGTGTCGTTTGTACACCTAACTGGGAGAAACAGAGCGGATGCAACAGGGAAGTATGAAAGCTCCTAATCTAAATGTTACCATGCCTCACTTAGATTTTTATAAGGGTGTTCGTCTTGTAGTTTCTGTAGTTTTTTTTAAAGAGATGTGTCTCTGCTTGAGACATACATGAAACAAGCGACATTCTTTGCTTCCTAAAAGCTTTGGGCGTTTTTTCCATACATGAAGATGACTCGTTTGTCATCCATGTATGACTGTAAAAGTCTGGACTTAAGTTTTGGTATTTCTGTATATATTAATCAGATTAGCGTATAACTAGAGGCTTGTTCCGGTGTGTGCAAGCCTCATTGTTTTCCGCGGCCATTGGGGTGCATCAAAATATCTCAGAAGCTTCAAGACTATGCAAGTGCATTAAAAAACAAACAAACTGTGGAGTACAATCACACATATTGCACGACAAAATCAAGTGTTTTTGTGTTGTAGCACTTTAAGATAAAGGTACTGGTGTTCAAGAGCTCTTCCTATGACTGACTATGAGATTTTACAGTTTCTATAAATAAAAGAAATGACGAATGCAATGTTTCGTAATGTGAAATTCTTGGAATGAAACACGAGTCTAAAAATTCTTATGCAGCTCGAAAGAGCCTACTGGGTAAGTAGTCGACGCAGGTATAATGAAATTGTCTGTGATAAAAGTCTAATAACGAAATTGTTTTTTTCCAGGTTCTGAAAGACAGACTTGACAACATAGAAGAACCTCTACTGATAACACTCGGACGACTTTACGAAAACCACGTTAACGCATTTTAGCCGGTTCACTACTTTCGGTGTGACTGGCTTAATCCTAAACTTCTGATACTTTATCGCTGCAATATTTTGTTTAGAAATTGACTATTTCATGAGAGAAGGAATAAGAAAATTTTGATTGTGGATTGTCAATATATTCTGAATTTTACAGGCCTGCGTCGTAACACTGTCATCAAATAACAACACAGTCAATCTCGCGCGTGGTACTTTAGAGGGACTTTTGGCGAGTCGTCTTACGTTTGCCGTTTCAGTGGCTAAAAGGCGAGTGACTCAGTACACTAAAGCAACCTACCTTTTGTGCTGATTTATATAGTGTGCTCTCCAGTTGCTGTACCCATTTGGCCGCAATAAACAGTAATACTGAGGTGGCTGGCCATTGTAATCAGTGTTGCCTGTGATCAGATCTTGCTGTATTTTCATCAATTTCTTCCCTGTGAAAGTATAAAGGTAAGTGGGCCGATTTTGACATCTGACTGCATATAACAGTTTTCTCCACCCTTGGGTGTTATTTTGGACCCGAATATGTGCTCGGCATGCATGAAAAAGTCACGAAACTTACACACTTCTTGATGAACGTCAATCTTAAAACGGCCATAGCGTGGTTATTGGGGATTGCCAAGGATTACTTTCCTGAAATTTTCAAACTTCCCGTGGCGCAAGTAAGAGAACAGGGCACGGAGAAAGATGTACGTTTAACAACGCACAATGCCAACATATATTGCTGTGTTTCGGTTGGTTGAATGCACGTGTCATTTCTTTAGCTGCGTCTCGGGCATGAGCAATTAGCGAACTGATGGACGGAACAAACAACCGATCGCAAGGGTATCTAACGAAGCAACGCCCCGCGCCCTCCCTAATTCCCCCTCACCAAGATCACACATACAGATAAATCGTTGAAAGAAGAATGGCGCTTCAGTTAACAATTCCACAAACCAGTGTACTTTCATTGCTTGTTTTACTCTATGCCTCAAAAGTCGCTCGAGCTAGTTCGGCAGAATCAGCCTGTCTAAAGCTTCAAGAAAACCGATACTATCATCACGTCATCTACTAAACGTTTTTGTCGGTGGCACATGGGAGTGCGCCGATCCAGGGCTCATCGAAACTTGCAACTATGCGTGGCTCTTTAGGAGTCCATAAAAGATGCCAAAATCATTTTAGTGTCCGCCATATTGTACAGGAGTTCAAAGGATGTAGAGAAAGGGTACCGAAGGTTGTTTTTGGTTCATGCAGCCTGCATTTGGTCTCGGAGACAATGGCACTTGTCTTCGACAGTGTGCAATCTGCTTCCGTCCGCATCGAGTTTGTTCAACACCATGTTTACTTTTGATTATGCAAGAAGTGCTTTCATCTAAGTTTCCAGATAATTTTCAGATACAAGAAAGACACGTAACGCTGTAAAATGGATATATATTTCAAGGAAGAAGAGAAGGAAAGAAGCACGAAGCAAGTGTAAAGACAGCGGGCAAAGTTTTTCTTCGCAGCTGCCGCCTCATCCTAAACTGGCATAATCGGTCAGACATTTCAGCGATGACATCGGTATCGGTTAAACTCTGGAGAGGAGCTCTATTTTGAGAAACTTCTTCGCCGTTAAGATTTTCTGTAACCAACTAAATGTAGTAATAAAAACTATGTAGACAAAATAATAGTAACTTGTTTTTTTTTTGTTTATTACAGTGCGCCCTTACTTTGCCATCTATCTGCAAGCCTCAGGAACCCGCTGTAGTAAGTTGCAACTTCATTCTGGTCACATAATGCAACACAACTTGCTTACCATTACTTAGAGACATAATAACGAGAATAGATCAACTGTTTAAAGGCGAGTTGTTTTAATAACAATAAATCAACATAATACTATGCCAACGCATGGCGAAAGAAGGCAGTCTTGAATCACTGAGAATGGTGCTTACAGAAAAACGTACACATCAATTGGTTTTCATATGATGCTATTTTAATCAGTTTAAAAACGACGCCACATATCCGGGTTCACTTAGAGGTTGGCACATTCCGCGACCTTTATGGTCGTTTAGGGAAGCGGAGGAGGTGAAATTAGCGGTCCTTCCACGGCGTTGCAAACCGAAGAACAAACTGCGACGAAGCAACGGGGCCTGGTGACTATTGTTCGGGCTCTGGCCAAAACACTGTGGTGCTGTCACGAAGCGACTAAGCAACCAAGACCTGCCCACGTTTCTTGATCACTCCTCGTGTTGTTCGTAGCAAATTACAAGCGAGGTGTCATATGTACCTAGCCTAGTCCCGTTTCTTGCACCAGATGTTCTGCGGCTCAATGAGTGTGCGTGACTCACGGCAATGTTTACTCCAGTGACTCACGTATACCACGGAATGGCAAAATACTGAGCACCACGTACAAAATGACGCTGTAATGACACTGCTGGTTGCCTTAATAATTTATAAATTTATTGATTAATATTCGGGGTTTAACAACCCAAAACCATCATATGATTATGAGAAACGCCGTAGAGGAGGGCTCCAGAAATTCCGACCATCTGGGGTTCTTTAACGTGCGCCCAAATCTGAGCACACGGGCCTACAACATTTTCGCCTCCATCGAAAGTGGAGCCGCCGCCGCCGGGATTTGATCCCGCGACCTACGGGTCATCAGCTGAGTACATTAGCCGCTAGACAACCGTGGTGGGTTGCCCTGGTAATCGCAGTGACACTAAGACAGATGGTCGGGTGGTAGCACAAAAAAAAAAATGACAACACAGATACACCAACTCTTCAAAGAGACGCGCCGTCAAGCCCTTCCAAATGCAAGTTTCCCGTGTGCTTGCCTTCATCAATTTGACTAGGGAATTCGAAGGTACAATTAGGTACACGAAGGCGTTAGTTTTGATTGGCAGCACAGGGTAGCAATTATAAACCACGCCTACACTGCTGCGTTGGGCTATATTTGCGTGGCTTTTTAGTCGCATTGGTTTTGTCATGCCGCAGCAGTGAGCAACGTGTGTTGCTTGCGTGACATGAGCTGCACACACACTGTGAACATACAAAAAGCTACGCCAAAGGGTGTAACGTGCCAAGAGCGCTTATGAATAATTCACGTAGTTAAAAAGAAATCTCAGTGACGTTTCCCACTACATGGCTTCCGAGATGCCTTCCTTAACAACAAGAATCGGATGGGCTGCACATGCAAGAGAACAACGTTGGCTCCATAGCACAAGCGTACAATGAAGGCAAAACAAAGTAGATTAAAATAAAAAGAAAAGAATCATTGTATTTTGTCCAACAAGTTCTGTTCTGTTATGCAACTACTGAACGCCAAAGTGAGGTGAAAAATCATATGTATGACATGCTATTACTTTAGCTAGAATGACATTACATTACGACTCCGGCCTTTTCTGTAGTCTTCAAGGTTGACTCTAACACATATCTTGGAAGCCACGTTTGCATTCACCTTTTCAGTGGCGCTCTATCTGCAGTCTCACCGAAAGATTGCTTTGTTCAGCGAACTGGGAGCACGGGAGGAACACAGACACAAAGCAAGGAGGGGCACACAGCACATTGCTTCGTGTCTGTGTTCTTCTCGCGCTCCCTGTTCGCTGAACAATTATGAATTACCAACTAGCCCACCTTTACATCCTAAAGCAATGTATCTCACTCACCCTTCCGTGCTCCCAGTTCGCTGAACACTTACGAATCGCCAACAAGCCCACCTTTACATCCTAATGTAATGTATCTCACCCTACCGTGCTCCCAGTTCGCTGAACAATATATGAATTACCAACTAGCCCGTCTTATATCGTAATGCAATGTCTCTAACCGAAAGAATTAGACCGCTGTGTTGGTGCCACGTAGCTTGGTTTACCCTGCTTTAGAATATTTCATGTAAGCTGCCGATTCATCCAGATTTGACGATAATTACTCAAAGATATCTAGCGATGACTGAGCTACCGCACGTAAACAGCCAACGGGAGAACTACTCTACTCGCGCGGCGAGTGACTGCTTATCGCGCGAGTAACGGAAGCGAGGCTTCGGAGCAAAAAAGAAAAAGATAAAAAAGTACAAAGCGCACAATATCGCGGCTTTGCGCCCGGCACGGAGAGTGACACCCCCGGCTGTCGGCGAGTTCTTATCAGTGCATTTGCTCACCCAGCTTTCTGCAAGATGGCTAAAAGCAGTGAAAGGTTCGTTTCTTATTTTAAAACTTTACTTAGAGGCAGTGCTTGCATTCCTTCTAAAATACCTGCAATGTATTTCGAATTTACGCATGTTGTACGTCGCACGTACATTGCCTAAACCATTAGTTCTGGATCTTGCGACTGAAAGGTCGCGTGGAACTTCTTTGCCGTCCGGATTGACGAACACTCCTGCTTGCTTGTTTTACCGAAGGTTGAGAAAGTAGGTCGAGAAAGGGAAAGGGTTATACCGGGTAGTTGTTTCAATCGTCGCAAGGAGGCATCATTGAAAACAGACATGATAGTTCGTGCGAGCCTTCTTGCTTGTTTTTTTGACCAAGAAAAATTACGGTTTTTTTTAATACCGGCAATTACCGTAGGTAGAATCAGCATTGTGATTTAGTTGGGTGTCATAGAGCCTGTTCACTACGAGCTTAGTAGGAGGCGTTTTGTAACACTAAACCTTAGTTGTTGGTGGGTCACCTGTGGGTCATCGTCTCGGCGATCTGCCTCTCAGTTTTAGTTTATTTTTTTTATTTGTTCACTTTAACGTCTCCATTTTTGTTCGCTTTAACGTTGTCTGTGGAATGTAGGAATGCTGGTAGTTAATCTGACTCGCAGACGGTGGTGGAAAAAGATGAAGTCTCATACCAGAACTGTAGGATTGATAAGGCTCTAAAGTGACATGCCACGCATATGCCTTTTAACAAAATGGCTCACTGGGCTAGTTGGTTTCGCGTACTTAAGGTTATTACACTTATTACACGGTGGACTTAAGGTCCACCGTGTATTTTTTAAGCACTGTTAACCTTAAGCATATGTCATTCAAGGGTGTGCAAAGCAAAGAAAAAAATAACCTGAGCGGATTGCTCGTTACTTTTGCGTGGTACATATCGCAGCATACTCGTCATAGGATGCTTTTCCGTTAAATATATAGCGAATTCGTTTAGAACGAAAGTCTGAGTATTGTTCGCCATCACGAATTCAGGTGGGGGTTTCGCTTGGGGATACGCACAAGTTATACCCAAGTTTATGTGTTTTCCAGGATGTTCGTGAAGATAGCGATCTCGGCAAAAAAGGAACTAGTGTGCGAGCTTGTTGGAAAAAAGCTGAAGAACCTAGACGCTTGTGAGAAGTGCAGGCTTTACATGCAAACTTGGGTCACTCTAAGATGCGATCACAAGGTCTGTTATGAATGCTTCAATGACTCCCCTAGTTACATATGCTCGATAGACAAGAAAAGGACTACAAAAACTCGGGTAATGTTACAAGCTTTTTTTTGTTTGTGTCACGTTTTACACAAATGCCTGTGGTTACTGTCCTTTTTTTTTCCAGCAAGTGGAGTCCAGAGCTAGATTCTCCACAGACTATGACGCAAGCTGAAATTAAATAGCGCGATGTCTTATGTTCTATTCAGCGTCTAAGCAATATGTGAAAAATGGAACATTGTTCGAGTACCTGCTGCTTTATTATTATTTCGCTTTGGGTCCACGGGAAATCAAGTCACCAGAATCAGTTAAGGGTGTGAGCATTGGTTTTTATTCATGTGGCAGTATTCCTCAGAAGTGGTTTTTTTGGTTTATGGTAATACCAAGTGACTTGTCCTGTCTAATGCCCAAAGTTTGACACTTTGTAACCATGCTGTACTTAGCTTGTACATGTTTAGGAAATTCTGCTGCTACCATGTGATATAATCGAGGTACGGTAGGAAATGCTGTTGCACATGTGCTGAAAGTGTGCTAGTCTTCCAGATAAGGACTTAAATTGATGTTATTTCTTTCATCATAACTAAAAAAACGTATATGTCCACTTCAAACACTTCAAGTGTAAAATGTTCTTTTCTTTTAAGCACATAACATAGAAAGTGTAGCGTAAACAGAAAAGAGGTTTATGATCCCTTTGATAAATAGTTATCAGATTTTGGGCAAATGGCTATTTCCCCGTTACGCTCTTCCTGCCGTTTGAATAGGTGCACACGAATCAGTCACGAAGAACGCTTTTTACGGCATTTTCATAGCGCCTACAAACGCCCACGTTGGTGTTTTTTGCTTAAACAGCCATAGATGCCCACAAATGCTTTATTTCAATATTGGTGGCAGTATGAACCTGGCCTCAAGTTTCACTTTTGGGTGGCAAACCGGATGCTACAATTCCGGTCGAACTCCTTGCTTTTCTCTCAGCTTATTCGCTCTCTCTTTCGGGTTTAGTTTGACACGGTTAGTCATGTAACGAGCAACGTTGTTGGCAACTAAGGGTTCATCCATACAAGCAGGTTTAAAAACAATTTTGGAGAAATTACGCTTTTGGAGGGAAGCCGTGTCCCCCGAAAAACGGCAGCCTGAGAAAACGATTTTGCTACGAAAGGATAAAACGTGATATTTGTTCTGTTTGTTTTTCTGCTCAAGGTGTTCTCCACCTGAACAGAAGTTGCCTCTACGTTATTAGGCCCTACCAAAAAAGGGCGGGCCTCTCTTTGGGTCTTTCAGTGACTAGGATAGTTTCTACTGCTTTGCCTCTTTGAAGGGTAAATTGCCGAAAAGAAAGACATTAAGGATATTGTTCACTTTACAGTAGATACTTGAGTCCCCATGCTACAGAATGAATGAAGTTACCATGTTCGGCAAAGTGCGTGGGAAAAAGAGCACGCCTCTTTTGTGCCGTTGTAGACAACATATTTTGCTTTCTTGTCAGCAATTAAAATCACGCACGCCTTGGTAAGAAGTTATTTGCACTTATATAAAAAATATTGCTCCTATAAATATGATGCTGGAGGCTTGAAAAACTGCGATTCGCATTTGTATCACTAGCTTCTAAAACGCACAGCGCATGAAAATTCGGCCCCAAGAATTAAGACATATTTTAGTGCAGTTAATTATTGAAGCTTACAGGAAAACTATTCGCTGAAGAACATGCTGAAATATTAGTGACCTGCATTGTAATAGGGCAGCGATTTTATCACTTGAATCTCACCGTATTACTATCCTATAGATATGTTGATTGCACGTGATGGGAAGATATTTTTGAGCAAATGAAGTTTGACACTTTAGTTTCTCTCGCGCCATATTGGTATTGGACGATGAAGATTCCCGAGTAATCGACATTTAAACTTTGAGATTTCTTATCCTTACTCCCACGTATTCTTTATATTCGACACCCGGGCAACCAATTGAGACCGAATAAATGACGCCGCTATTGGTGCAATATCAACAACTTGTTGCTTCGGGTGAGTAGTCTGCGAGAAACTTGAAGCCACATGAGTATATCATATTGATAAAATATCTGTTTTGCGACACTAATGATAGGGCGGGTACTAGCATACAGAAAGTAGTGAGAGGTGGTAAGTAGATAGATCGAGTTTCTCGGGGTCCTACTCACACACAAGGGCTGCATATTGTGTGGACAAAACGCTAAAATACGAGCGCACAGTCACTTCTGCCTTCCTACAGCATGGCGATCCGACCAAGACATTCGCACGTAAAACTGTACAGTTTACACATTTTTTAGGTAGGTGATAGAGAAAAAGTTGGCCAGCGCAGCGAAGACGCACAATCTGATGATGTTTTAGTAATGAGAACTGTCAATAAGCAGGAAACACGACATGCCGAGACGCCAACGTAAACCAGTGTAATGGCACTAGATCGCGGAACAATCAGTTTCATGAAACATTTCAGCCCGTGAACAAAAAGGCATACGCAGAAGCATTCGAATATTTTGATGATGATAGTGAGGCTCCCGCACGACACTGACATGTGTAAGCTTCCCTTTGCTTTCAAGTCACGTTGCATATTCATTCGACTGTTGGCTGTTCGCCATGAAGCCCGATTACGCTTAATTTACACATCATCGCTTACGTATATATAAATAACTTTTCACTGCGCTGTTTTGACTGTTGTATTTACCAAATAATTAACCTACACTATTTCCATGTTCCGAGCTTCACATAAAGGTATACGATTCTTTTTATTTTTTAGTCATCATTGTGTCATGCTATTCTTGTATATTGTATACGGAGGGTTTTGTTTGGAGATTTCGGGCCTTGTGTGGCCTATGTTGGACCACTATGAGAGTTAAGGAGTAGCCGGTGCCTTATTTGCGCGCTAAAATCCGAATAAATAACATGTCGGTAAGGGTAAAAAAACCTGCAAGTCATACTTAACAACGCATTCGATGGTGTTTGGAAGGCAAGAGGAAACGCTCGGAGTTCACAACATCACTTAGTACCTGCCAGTATTAAATATAACAAAAGCCCCTCCCTCGTTAATATTCTATCTGCAAACCACACCAAGTACTTTGGCTTCGTAAGGACGCCTTAATAAACCGATAAGAGGTAGATTGTGTGCGACATGTCTCACACAGTTGTACTTCATGACGCCACATGACCTGCAGGGGCTTGATTCAAACCGCAGAATTCTACGAGATCATACGCAGCCTATTGCGTCAAAGATTTTGCTAATTGTCTATTTCTTATGAAGTCGTGTGACGTTGCAAGAGGTGTTCAAAATGCAAAAAGCGAGTAATTGTTACTTAGAGAGTATTATAAAATATCTAATTATGCTTATCACATTTGTAGCATCACATGTAAGGCATGATGAATGGATCAACGTGGAACAAGCGTTATCCACCTCACCTAACAAACCACTGCAGCAATCATTGTGTGAATAAAGATGACGATCTAACGAAAGTTTGAAATAATTTTTTTTTCTGTTGCACAAAATTCACGTAGGAAGGTAGTCTTTTCACTTCACAAGGTGCAGAAACTGAGTATATGAATGGTGGTGGCTCATCTGTAAATATTGCTGTCACCTTAGCGATTCCATTTTACTAGAATCTATAAGAAACAAGGTGGCCCGTGATTAGAACTTTCCACCGACACTTTTTTTTTTTCATAATGCAGTGTAACTGGACAGCTGCAAGGCCACGTAAAATTAGTACGCTATCACATTGAACAATTATTTATACTGAATTTTGCAGGCCAGCACAGAGGGCTACGACAAGTTACGAAATGCCGAAGTTTACTGTCCGGCGTGCCCCCAAAAAGATACATGCGGAAACTTACCAGTAAGCGTTTCTTCTTTTCCACAACGTGGATTGGGATACCACTGTCATATATGCAACTTCCACTAGAAAGAAAAAAAAAGAACGTGGTAGCTTGGAATATTTCTCATATTACAATAAGCGGAGTAATTATGCACAATCACAACTTCCAGAATTTCAGAAAAGTGAAATGTTTATATCATACCAAAAAGATATTACTCATTTTTCAGAAAAAAACAAAAATATGTGAGTGTTGCAATACTTGCTGTTTTATGACATGAAGAACTGAATATAATTTTGTTATGCTCATCGACAGGCTTGCGAAATCTGTGAAATTTAGAAAATCTGTTATTCATGATGTTGAAGTTTTTGTGTCGCAAATCTAGCCATTCAGAAAATCTGCGGAAGATTGTTGTGTTGTCTTGCAGCTTAGTGAGTGCACTTTGCCGATTAGAACTCAATATAATTGGAATGTCATAAAGGGTGCTTACCAGCGCACACGACAGGGCAGGAGGGGACAGGAGAAGAGACGAGACAGAATGCTGAACGACAACATGAGGCTGGAGCGAAGAAGTCAGGAAAGGGCCCGTTGTATTAGAAATGAAATGTTGTCGTTCAGCGCTCTGTCTCGTCTCTTCTTTCCCCTCCTGCCCTGTCGTTTCCGCTGGTAAGCACCCTTTATGATGTTATACAAACACGCCCAATCTCACTGTCTCTTGAATTAGAATGAAGTTCTACATAATGTGCTCATCTCAGAGGATGATTTCTGCATATTTTAGTTAGCATGAGCTTATAGTCACTCTGCTATGAGCTCCTATGAGCTTATATGTGTTCTATGAGCTTATAGTATCTCATAAAACACGTGCTAAGATTGAAATACTGGAAGGAAAGAATTGTTGAATAAGCGCAGCTAATGTTCAAGTGGACATGCGAATGCAATGATGAATTTTTTGCATTGCAATATTGAATTTTCGGTATTACGTTTAGTAGGCGAATAGAAAAGCGCTAGATTGCACTGAGCAACGTGGAAATAGACTCGTTCCAAATTTGTCACTGCTGCCTCTTTCGTGGAGATGACAAGCGGTATGGAAGTAAACACATGTTTTGTGAACTTCCCAAGCAACGGTCGGCAAGTTTTCTGTGAGTCTGACAGCTTAGAACTGCTAGTAGGTTTATTCTTAAGCACAGAAAACTGTTCTACAGAGCGATTTGCACGCTTTCCTATTTTCTTTGTTGTAGCATGTTTTCTTTTTTATATTTTCTGTTGTGCGGCACGCTCGTAAAAATATCTAATAAAGTGACAGCATCAGCTAGAAAATTGATGTGAAAAAAAGCAAAGGTTGGAATTGCGAAGGTGGTAGCCACATTACGAATTCTAAATTTAAAAACCTTTGCGTGTTCAAGTTAAGGTGAACTTTCGAGAACGTCCAGAAGAGGCAATTAGTTTGTAACGATTCCATATGATGTTCAAATTATGAAATGTAAAATTCCCAGACTCAAAATAAATATATAAGTACAGTGTACACATAAGGACTGTGTAGTGTGTACATGGTTACCTGTGTGTATTATTGTTTTATGCCTATAACAAAACACCAATTATTACAGAAGCACATTCGTTCGAAGCACCCGGAACTGTTGGAAAGTGCTGATGAATCGACAAAACCGCTACAGGTAATTATTTGATAGATTAGTTTTTACAAATGCGGCCCCACGAATGAGCACACCATCTGATGAAGGTGCAACACTTTAATGTACAGTATTAAACGTGGTTATATTTTGGCCCCGGCAGACGCGTTTCGGTAGTTCGCTGTTTGCACTGGGCTTTAGCCTCGAGTGTTTTTCTTTCGCCCCGGCAGACGCGGTAATGGACTTCAGGGCTAAATTGTCGATCTGGTGTATCCTTTCTTTGGTAAATTTAAAAGGTTGTGGTGTAGAATATCTGTTGAATCTATCAACCAGCACATAACTTTGTCACGTCCGTATTTTATGTGATTTCGCCTCTTTTTGTTTACTTTTGTTGCCTTCGGGAAGCTGATGTAGCAGCACTTTTCTTCGTTTTTTCTCTGCGGTCCTGTTTTTTAAACTCTCGTCGCATTTTCATGTAAGGCGTAAAAAGATATTACCTATATAAAAAAATTGAAGGTAGTTTGAATTTGTTAATTTTTAAAGCAAAGCTGGAATTATCGATGAATTAGTTTATGATATGGTAGACACGACTTGACGATTATCGTAAACTTTACGCTTGTAGCACTCATTATACGAAAGACAAGGGAAATTTCATCGCATCGCTACTCATTGCACTGTGGACAACAAGCATGGAACACCGAGACGAACTTAGATATTCATATTATTTAGTTCTCAAAGGCTCAGAAAGAAAATAACGTTTATAGAAGCTTTTTTGTTTTTCGTGTAGGCCTTAATACATTCTGGTGCCCTGTGTTTCATTTTCGTTTGTTTTGCACAATGATGTCAATGACGTGATGGTGGCACTCCTAATGCTGCAATGCGTCGATAGACTGTATATCAGAGGGGTTTCAGGGCCACCTTGTTTAATTGACACGGCCAGTACTATATGACATAGATGCACACACATGACGACGGTTGGATTAATGCATCTGACGTTTCTAGAACTTTTTAATCTGGTGTAACGAAATGCCAAAATAAGCAAACATTTGTTTAAGCCCATTATGGTGACACCCATGTGTCAAGAGTGAAATCGTTTTATGTTAAATACATTGCATAAAAGTGCCCATACAATTTGAAAATAAGCGAACGTGTTTTACATTCCTGTCATACGGCGAATGTAATGCCTTTTACAGCGAATAACGTCAAACAGATCTAATGTCAATTTACCTGCGGAATCTAATGATCAGAACAAATGTCATCTTGAAATACCGTGACCTTTGCTCTCCTGAGCTGTAGATTTCGGAATAAATAGTATTATACTAAACTTACATGTAACATGCGTGTATTCACACAAAAATGATTTTATGGGTAAACAGGTGCTCGTACAATAGAAACGGGGCTGTTTTACACAACTAGACTCAGTTCAAGACAGACTCGAAAACCAACATGGCCCACGATATGCGCGACCGGGCGTAGAGTTCAGCGAACTGAAGCTGGACGCAGGACTGGCTTGCCGACTGCAGGATTAAGACGGCGGCAGCGATTTCGCGTAGTCACCACTTTGGTCACCACAACACGTGCACTCGGTCTAGTAGCACACGTGATACAGGCAAGAAGAACAGAGCGAAAATCAAACATGGTTTGCATCCAGCCACTGTAGTTGAGAGTGGCTTTTAGGAACTTTTGAGCTTACCAGTGTGTCACCAAGCCAATAATAAGTAAATTAATAAAAAGGAACATATTTGCAAATAATAAAAGTTACGTGTACGTAAGTTAACAGTCATCTTCATAAAATGTCCTGACATCGAGACTACTCATTTAGTCCGAAATCGAATGCGAATGGGTTCCGGGAACTCGTTCGACTGGAAATATGATTTTCATCAAATTGCATTAGTTTCCCAGTAACAGCAGACAAGTGACATTACAGACGAATTATATTTGCTGTAAATGACATTATATTTGCCGTGTGGCAGAGGTATTATTTTGCAGCACACTGCAGATGCCATGGACAGGAAAAACGGCAGGATATGTTATATAGCACGCAGTACGTTAAGCGCACGCCTGAAACTTTTTGTAAACGAAAGTACTCACACTTAATGGCAGTGAAGGCGTCTAGCATGTCGTTTCCTTTTTCTACGACGAAAGCGGTGTGCGGTGTAGGGGGGGCTAGGGCGAGTCTAGCAATGTTCAGTGAAACTAGACATTACGAATAGGAGCAAAAAAAAAAAAAAAACGCAGGCAAGTGATACTCCAAGTACCAATTTCATTTCTGTGATTGCTTCTTGTTTTTCCAAATAACTGTAGATAGAAGTCATGGCTCACAGTCCAAGGACACCACGAAGGTACGACACAAAAAGAGTAAATCACCGTTGGCAAAACCCCTCGCAAACCCATGAGATACCTGCAACGACCGGAGATTCACGTATCCAGGATGACGTTGACATGGTATGGGCATTAGTGCCCTTTTGAAACAGCATTGATGAATGCAAATTGATATTGATTGGAAATTATGGCTGCGCACTTAAAGCACAACACGGACGAGCGAGTTTCACGCTCGTCCGTGTCAGCGCTGTCCTTGTGTTCTAAGTGCGCACCCATAATTACCTACCAAATTTAAACCAATTCATCCAGCAGCAAGACTAATTGAAATACAATGCAATCACGTGATGTTTCTATACGTTTTTCTGGTCGAAATGTCCGAATCAATATTGTCTTGATGCAGTTCGTAAATTCATGTCACTTCCAATGTACTATAATCTCCCCTGCTTCCGAATTACTTTAGTGTAGAACTTGCATGCATGCTTCGAGCATGTGCGTGACCCTGTTTTGACATCTACACGAGTTTGGTAATGTACCTGATGCAGGCTGTAGGTACAGTATTACAACAGTCCTTTTAAGTAGATGCTGTGTACATCTGGTGCACAAACCACCTTTACACAGCAAAGACACAACAAAGATGATAAATATATTAGTTGAATATATTGTTACTTGGGCGCACGTGTTCTCCTCGTTCTACTGATAACAGAAACTCTCCAGCCAACATAAAGTCCAATGTTTTAATTAGGTAAAACTAAAAAAAAAAATCCTAAACTGACAAGACATTTTGGGACCGATTTGGTCCCTTATACAGGAGCGACTTCAGGGATTCGTTCGCATTAGTCCCTAAACGTCGGATCAGTTTACACTTTTTATGCTTTATTTTATTAGAATCTTTGGACTGTAAATAGACTGGAGAGTTTATGTTACTAGTATGAAAGTTGACTGATCCAGACAGCCGCAGATGGACGATGAACATCTGTCGAAGATGTTCATCTCTTTCAAACTGAAAGCTAGCACATAGAAACTGATTTTTCGAATGAAAATGGCTATTAAAGGCAATAATTCTGTGGTCTGTTGTAACATAGTGGCATCTGCAGAGGTGTCACCAAGAGTAACATTGCCGCTGAAAGAAATGTGAAGAACTGAGCTTTTCTCTAAAGAAGCGCCACATGAGTCCTTAATATGTTGTCGTTAGCGATGGTGCACACGGGCATGAAAACCTGGATTTCATAGCGTGTCAATGTTTCTTGCTATGTGAGCTAACCTTTCAATATTGTATTGAACACTAACTTTTAACAGCCCACCAGCTCTTGGTGGAACCTTCATGTGCGAAATCCTTGGTAGCGCTTGTGGACATCGAATACTGGCAAGCACCACACACATTGACCTAATTCAAGAACTTATAATCCCATATTACCATAATTACATGGTGGTTTCGGGACGTTAAACCGCATAAATTATGTTTTCTCTCACAAATGACCACTACTGCTCTAAAAATCAAGGCAACAGTTTGCCTAACAAACGAATATGTGTCACAAAAACGTGTGTGGCTCATATAAAACCACCATCGACATAAACCTGTCTGTGCAACAGGAATAGGGCGAATCCCGCAACACACAACTGCCGAGAAAAAGAAAAAAAAAAGCAGAAGTTAGCCAAACAAATGGCGTACGCATGATCACAGTGAGAAGTGACATTATATGAGTTTAAGGTATGTGGTTATATTAGATGGCCACCTCCATGCTTATCAACGAATGTTCAATAGAACACAGTGAGCGAACATATCGGAACATCTTAACCGAAGGCTTGTTTGTAAAGCTGTGTATAGGAGTGGTATGGTCACGATACAAGAAAACTTCTTGGCAGCACTGTGGAAGCTATAGCACCAACGCGAATTCCTGCTACTGTCGTGTACCAACGATTTGCTTTTTAAGCCTTGCTGTACTATATGGTGCCTTTTCTATTATGAATATTTAGCAGTTGCATGATGTCATAGATAAGCTAACGCGGTTGCTTGGGCGAGTTGGTACGACATGATTCACATAAAAAAACAGCGCCAATAACGAGGACAAGAAACAGAAGTGCCGCTGTCTGTCTCCTCCTTTTCCGTTGTCCGTCATTATTGGCGCTGTTCTTTATGTGAGTCATAGATAAGACACTCATTGTCCACTTTACGAGAATGCCTTCCCCTTGTATATATTTCTTATCCAGCGCCACCTCTTCAGCACACCTATTTGTCAAAACATGGCGTCTATGACGTGATGGATCCGTGTACAGTCGCAAACGCGCTGTTTAATGATGATGTGTGAGGTTTAACATCCCAAAACCACGATATGATTATTAAACACGTGGTAGTGGAGGGCTCCAGAAATTCCGACCACCTGAGGTTATTTAACGTGCACCCAAATCTGAGCGCACGGGCCTACAGCATTTCCGCCTCCATCGGAAATGCAGCCGCTGCAACCGGGATTCGATTCCGTGACCTGCGGGTCAGCAGCCGACTAACCTTAGCCACTCGACCACCGCGGCGGGGCGAAACGCGCTGTTTAGTTCTCCAGGAAGAATACGCACGTAATATGACACCAAACTGTACACTGAACCATCGAAATGTATTTCCCATTCACATTTCCAAGAATACAATGTTATGAATCATTAATGAAGCGAGTGAACGAAGGTGAAATAAGTCGCAAGCTGCTGTACTACTTGAGCTGCAGCGCAAATGTGTGGAGGCCTCACCTCATTTACTTTCGCTTTGAAGTCAAGATCAGTTTTCAATGAGTATGCCAAGTAAAATTTTAATGAAAAATAGTGATGCAACATATCCGGAAAGGAAGGAAGGCTGCAAGTTTCGCTGTTTCATCGGTGTCCAGAAAGGGGAGCTGGCTGAATTGTTTTTTTCTCAAACTACTCGAGACGTTTCCCGCATTCTGTTCACAACGCTACGTCGACTTCTCACAGTGTACATCTGCCTGAACATGCGCTATCCCAAAGGCATGTAGACATAACACCACATCGCCACCACAAATTACGCAGACATAAAATCCCGTTACTTCAGGTTCAATTACCGGCATTTATTTGACGTATCTGCGGATCAGTCCTGGCAATAACGTTGCTTCAATTTGTCTGGCAAACTTGTCTTGACGCAGCTTATTTCGGCGTGTTTATGTCACGATACCTATTGAAGTCAACCAGCAGACGCTCATATTTTAAGAGCCCCGCCGCGGTGGTCTAGTGGCTAAGGTACTCGGCTGCTGACCCGCAGGTCGCGGGTTCGATTCCCGGCTGCGGCGGCTGCATTTCCGATGGAGGCGGAAATGTTGTAGGCCCGTGTGCTCAGATTTGGGCGCACGTTAAAGAACCCCAGGTGGTCGAAATTTCCGGAGCCCTCCACTACGGCGTCTCTCATAATCATATGGTGGTTTTGGGACGTTAAACCCCACAAATCAATCAATCATATTTTAAGAAATGTAGCGCAACAATGTACTGCCACAAACACTGATACATTCACACGCACTTCCACGCTAGAAACACAACACACAACACACTGAGCACTGTGTGTTTCTCGCGATGGAAGTGTGTGTGAATGTATTAGTGTTTGTGGCAGTACATTGCTTCGCTAAAGTTCTCAAAATAGGACGAATTACCAAAACGCTCAAGATGAAGTTTTATTTAGTACGCCTTCATGTTCATGACTTAGTTCTCGATTGCGGTCGCCAATTATTCGTTGCAGGTGACTGATGACGAGTCATCGGACTCCATTCCCCCAATTGCTGAGGAAGCATCGACTGATACGGAGATTGGAACCTGCACGCATTGCAACACTCCATTGGAAATGAATGATATTCCTGTAAGAGACTAATTTACCTATTTCATCTTTTCCCTACCCGTCCCCAAGTGTAGGGTGGCAAACTGGCTTTCCCGGTCTGGTTAAGCTTTCTACCTTTCCTTCTCTTCTATTCTTTCTCTTTTCTTTCTATGACAATATATTATCTGGCGCTTTACACGTAATTAGTCTTAACAATAAAATTTTCTTTGTTGATAGAAAAAAAAACGTGTGTCTGACTCCTAATGAAGAAGGCAGGGCTGTCACAAAGGCGTAACCAGAAGGGTGAAAAATCTACCTTTTATATCTTCCAGTGCTGCCCTCCACCATATACTGGGGGTTTCAGCGGAGCCGGCTCAACTGGCACTACCAGAACGATAGCCTCCAAGAAGAAGAAGAAGAAGAAGCATTTCGCAACTTTTCCGTGAAAGAACCAGTGCTCTTTACCGTCGGGAAAGAGGCAGGTTGAAGTTATCGAGAGTAGGCTCTATACCTGTTTTAGTCACGTTCACAGGAACGTGATGCGGGGGGGGGGGGGGGGCGGCGCTGAGCCATGAGTCCCGCCAGGTTGAAGAAAAGGGCACCATTCTACTTTGAGAGTGTTGTTGCGTGGTCATTGTACATTGCAGCGCCTATGTGGTGTCACTAGTACACAAACTTAGTTGTTTGTTTTAATTTTTTTCGTTTCGTGGTGTTTTATCCACTTAGCGGGTTTCTGCACAAGTTTCGTTGATTTGTACAACGTGTTCACTAGCAGTAAAGTTACGCTAGACAGGCCTGTTTTGTACAATTTTCATCTTTTTATTTTCAGGAGCACGAGGAAAAGTGTCCGGACCGTGTCGTCGAGTGTCCGCTTTCCAGTAAAAAAATTGCACTCAGTGCTGTCCAATGTCACATAAGCACTGCCTGCCCTAGAAGAGAAGCACTACAGGCCATGGAAACATTAAGGTCATTATTTTGAATTTTTTCTTACGTTGACTTCGTAATTGTGATTAGCTTGGCGTGGCTTTGCCATGAAACGCTCAAACGACCAAACTGTGAATCGATACATTATTAGGTGAACGAGGATCATTCTGACATCTCGTTTTTAAAGCAGTATGTCCATATGTAACTACTATAGTGCCACAAGGTCTTGTGTTTGGTTCGTACGTGTCTTCATAATGTCGAATCTTTTTAGTACAGTTATATGTTGTCACCACAGAAGTATTACCGGCTAAAAATATCCCAAATATATTGGCCATCATTATAAACTCCGCGGAAAGGTTTTCTTCTGAGAGAAATAGTTTTGCTCCATTAATTTAATTATTAATCTCTATTCCTCGCGCTTTGCAAGACCCAGGCTAATAAAGAACAGATACACATGTTCTTGTTACTTCAGGCTTTTGTTTCGCTTTGTTTGTGTTCTTCGCTCCTGTTTGATATTGTAAAGAGCTTTAACTTAAGAAGAATGCGCAACAAAATGCAAAACATGGAATGCTTTATTAGAATGGACGGAACGGTGCGACACCTTGATATGGATCCATTTATTTGTTTTATTTTATTTATTTAGCAATACTGTGAACTCTTTTAGCAAAGTCCTAACAGAGAGGGTAGCATAACAAAATAAGAATTAAAAAGAACATCATTACCAAACACACAGATGCAGGTTAGATCAAGATCAAGCGGTACACTTGTACAGACAGTCATCCAAGGTCTGTTCGAATTTTGACGAATCATTCTGTTCAACAACACACACCGGCAATTCATTCCACGTTTCAATTGCGTTAGGAAAAAAAAAAGAAGTATTTGAACCTACCGGTATGAGTCCTGTACTCTTGAGTGGCCCTGTTGTGGTTGCTTCTTGAGTTCTGTTTAGCTGGCGGCAGTAAGTAAACTTCTTTGGTAATATTCATTTGGCCACTCAGTATTTGAATAGTAGTTCCCGAAAATTTTTCTGATTCCGCGTTTCTAACAAATGCAGACCAAAAGAATAGAGTATTTTTGTAACTGACCTATGTCCATTGATACCGGGAGCATATAAATTGCACCACGTACCTCTGAATTTTTTCTACTTGTTTCTTTAGATAATATTGATGAGGGCTCCACACGACCAACGCGTACTCAATAAAAGGTCTTACAAGGTTGTTCGACGTTTGAAAAGATCGGGGTAATAACAAACGGTGTTTCTGAAAATTCTAGTTTTCAGTGTGACGTCACACCAAACACAGCAAATATAGCATGCATTTTCCGGTTGGTATCGAATGTAAGACACCGCAGTGGGCAGAAATGAGATGTGCACAGGAGGTGGAGATGTCTAGTACATGATTTGATTCAATGGATGGTAGCGAAAAAATCATAGCATATCCACGAAGTGAAAGATGATCAGCGTGCTTCGGGGGATGGTTAACCCCCGTACAATGCCTGCTCAATCATGCAAAGAGGTGACATATGTGTAGGGTAAATAAAAGTTGTTTATCAACCACAACGCACATATGGTACTGAGATGTCTTGATGAGTATTCATATGAATAACCATATGAATATTCATAAGGACATGAATACTCATAGCACCTTGTTTCAAGTGAACCTTGAAATAAGGCGCTATCACGACAGGCTGAAGACTTTACAGTTTGTTCTAATACAAATTGTTACGGGTTTATCAATTTGAACTCTTAGCACCCGCCATTAGTCACCTAACTCGGTCTCTTCACAGAGAAAAGTTAGCGGAGCTGAAATGCAGAACGAACACTTTTCTGTACCTCTTTTCTTTCCTCGCACAATCGTCGAATGGAGTGATTTACCTTCTGATGTGGTAGCACGACGCAACATTGATTATTCTATGTATGCGATAATAAATATGGCTCCGTAGGTGCTACTGCGCTTGGTGGGACGTAATGTGACGTCACGTATTTCCTAGTTTTCTCATGTTTACACGAATGCTGAAACTTTTTTTGTGTGTGTGCTATGTGAGTACAGTATCAGTGCTTGTACGGGCTCTATGCTGTGTGGGTATTTGTAATATGGGCGCTTTGGACTTTGTGAGCGCTTGCTGCCACAGATCTTGTTTAGTTTTGTTGTTTTTGCATATCTTTCAATGTCACTATTTCACAACGTATCGGTTCATGTACCAGTTTTTTTCTCTTATCTTTTTTTATTTTGGAGCGTGTGTTGCGTTACTTATTTATGCTCCGCTCCTGTCTATGGTCTTCATAAAAGGCTGGCAGTATATAACAAATAATATTAATATTTATTAAAACATGGTGAATATTCTTATGGCTATCAATGTATGGATATAAATATCCATAGCGTGTCCCGCCGACAACAGAGGGGATGGCTCGACGGAGATTTCGCCCCTAAAACCGGAAGACAAAAAAAAATACACCAACAAGAGAGGCACGACCTTTCAGCAAAATTTTATTTGAAAATAAAGGAATATACACACGCACAAAAAAAGGTTAGATGTCCCCAACGCGCTGCCGCATGCAAGCAGAAGGCGGAAGAGCGTATGGTGACGCTATTTCTCCCTTCGCTTCTGTGCGGCAGGTGTTCCGCCACGTACGGTGGAACTGTGTGGGCAGCGCGTGTATATGCCCCAACCAGTGGATCAAACCAAGAGAAAAGAGAGCGATGGTAGAGCGCAGCGGAGGATGAGAGATGATGACAGCGAAGGGAGTGCATGGAAGAGTGAACGATGGGGACGAGACATGCAGACAGGCAGACAGGCAGGCAGGCAGGCAAATAACTTCATGAGTATCTGAATGCGGCGCTCAACACCTCTTAGGGGGTGACATTGGTAAGCCATTCCCACGACGGGACGGGCAACACCTCTTAGAAGGCGACACCGATAGGCCACTCCCACGACGGGACGGGGAGGTTAAACTCCACGGCCATGTCGCGGGCACTCTGGATGACCCTAAGCTGGTCTCCTTTGTCGTGGCTTGTGAGGAGACAATTACAGTCCGCCTTCGTAGAGAGAGACCTGCTGCTATCGCGGAACGCAGGCCATTGTCACAGCATGTGTTAAAGAGTACATTTGGGGTGACGACAGCGCGGGCGTTCTGGATCCATGCCATTCATGTATTTAGAGCAATTTAGAGGCGATGCATACGACGGGTTCTGCGTTGCTGCAGCAGTGCGCATCATCATGCAGTCGTGGACGACGTCATCACTATGGTATGTGGTAAGGGCGTATACTGATACCTTTTATGGAAACAAAGCCCCGAATGAATGGATGTCTGTCTGTGGCCGCTGCTGTTTGAAGGGACCACGCGCTGCTTTCCGTGGTTTCCAGGTTAGCGAGGTGGCTATGCCTGAACTTTCCGTAGTCTAAACCTCTAAACCGCTGCGGTGGGAATATGAACTAGGCAGTATCACAATTATCGATTATTTTTCTTGAAATTTTGAATAAATACTATGTAAAAATAGGGTGTTCGTGGCCAAAATATCTTCTAGTGTTGGGTAGGATATCAAGGACGTGCCATTTATTTACATAAAACACTCACGATAAACAAATGCATCGCAAAAAAATTTAGCTGCGATATCCCCATAGCATGCTAGCCTTCGCGTACTTTGTGTACTCGTATTGTTTATTCCTCATAAGAGGTCGATGTTATGAGTAGTGGTAAAAGTGACAATGTAAAGATGCTACGACGTTCGAAGCGGGGAGCGTTTTTGACACCCCGCCCTAAGCAGAAGCAAATAAAGAATGTCACAGCTTTTTCATTCGTGGGGACAACAGCGTGAATTTATTATTTTACCCAGGAAACCGACGCCAAGAGACTACGTTGATGACAAAAAAGAGAAGAAGGACATAACGAAAGCTACAGTTGATGTTCAAGAAATGAAAGATAAATTAAAGGTAAGGAAAGCAATCAATTCGTAGCTGCACTGTCAGTATCCGAACACACGGTAGAGTGTGCAAATATGAACACAGGTCTAACAGCAGTGCTGTTATGCTCGCCGTTTGTCCGTTCTGCTATATATGCAAGAAGCAATCACATTCATGTCAGCGCAAGCTCTCTGATCTGAACAGGTGCGCACACCGCACGCACCTTTTAAGCAGATCACTTTGCTCCCTGCATGAACAGGTGCGCCCTGCAGTGTGCGTGTGCCGGTTGCACAGATTTGTCCCGCGTGGTGTGCAATAACTTTCACGGGCGAGACAATGCCTATACAGAAAGAAAAGAACATATATAAAGAGAGAAACAGACAGAAACAGAGTGAAGAAACGACAAAAACTAAGGCAGCTTGGCACTACTAGTGTAAAGCGTGAAAAAAGAGCGATAAAGTGTGTGGTCTCCTCTGTATTAACACAAAGGTGTTTTATGCCGGAGTACACCATGGCTCGATGACGTGATTCCGTCATGGATATGACGTTGTAAATTATTTATTAACACAATGGTAAAAAAAGATAAGGAAAAATTTCTCAGCGGGGAGTCGAACCAGCAACCCCGCACTCATTAGCGCGTGACGCTACCCATCACACCACAGAGTGACCCTTCTGAAACATTTTAACGGCAAGCCATTTATATCCACCGTGTACCACTGTCGATTCTGAGAGCTCGGAAGCTTCAGCGCGTTTCAGTAATCAGTCGCGAGATGGCACGAAGGGCGTGCGCGCTCGCTCTAAAGGTCGTCATTCTGAGCCATTCCACGCGTTGCTGTGCGCGCCCGCCTCTACATGGCGTCGTCAAAGTGCGTATAGATGTTCTCTAGCGTGGTGGCTCAGTCACACGCGCTTTTATCTTGGGTTCCAGGTGCTTTGTTACACTTGTGCTTCAACCGTAAGTTTGCTTTGAAGTCACAGTAGTTAAATAGTGTACTTACGTCAATTCGCTCGCTGCCGTGGCCGCGTTTACAAAAGGAACGTGCTGCTTGCATGCGAAACAAGGATTGTGACTGTTGTTCGTCCACGCTCGTCGTGTGTATGTTCATTTCTGGCGTGTTTTTTGCTTGAAATATGCACTGCAAGTTCTGAACTGCTTGCCGTTCTCTGCGTGACAGAACAATTTGTTACTGCAGCATTCATTCCTTTGTCCTTGTGATGAAACCATGCACAATGAACGCTCAACTGCCTCTAAGAGATGTCGTATCACTTTTGTCATATACCGATTCCTAAAAAGGAGCGATCGACCACGTTTCTTTTTTATTTTTCTCTTTCTCTCATATTGTGTTATTTCTGAGCATGTCCTGTCTTTGTCCACTTATATTTATATTTTCCTGCATATATAGTTCGGTCTTTCTCTTACCCTTCTTGTGTGATCTAATTCCAGCTATGGCGGCTGAATTTTCGGTGGAGGCGAAAATTCTCGATGTCGAGGTACTTAGATATAGGTGCACATTAAAGCAGACCTGATGATCTAACTTTCCGGAGCCCTTAATTATGGCGTCCCTCACAATTACAACGTGGTTTTGGCATAGTAAATCTCAAAAGTTTTAACAAAATAATTTTATTATTATCGTTACCTTCCATTTATCGCTGTCTGTATTTCATTTCTTTTCTTTATATGCTATGCTTTGCTACCTCCCCTCTATTGCTGACGCATGGTGTGCTTGCTTTCGTCACCGTAATGACTGAGGGTCCGTGGTGGTAAAAACAGTGACATTGCGTCAATAAACGGCTGTTGACTCTTCTCCCAGACTCTCTTTATTTTGAACACTACTTTACTAGCTTTACGAAGGTTTATTTTATGGTATTATTTATTAATGGCTTGTTAAGAACCCTAACCATTGCACATGTTGTCAACGGCATGTTGCTTCAAAAGTTATGTGCGCTGTCAGTTTTCGAGTGTACCCACTTCCCATGTGACACTCAAATACTTGAGGGTATTTCAAATAAACAAATAAAGGTTTCTGGGACTCCATTAGGTCTAGTAGTAACACTAAAGACAATTACAGATTGTAAAAAACAGAAAATTGTATGGGCCGTTTGTTTTGCTTACAGTCTTTTATTGATTACAGGAACTGGAGCAACGGATGACGGCGCTGGAGGAACCATTAAAGCTGATCATTCGCAGGCTGTCTTGAACCAATAGTAAATTTGCCAGCTCAGTCTCGTTATCTTTTTCTTCAGTGATTTAACCCTATTGATGCTGAGATTTATACTTTCGCGCACAGGGGAATGTGATAAATCATGAAAATATTTTACAAATATATTTTTGCTCATGAAATCATTTTTCTGTATTTGCTTATTCAACAATGCTGAGACGTTTTTTTGCATGCCTAGCAATGAATCACTCAAGTACTCCTACTTTTTCTCCTGCGACAAATTATAATGTTATTTCAGCAGCAGTTACGAAAGCTAAAATAAGATCAATATAGTAGTTTACACCGTCAAACAATTAGAAAGACCACTCGCCATTCATTAGAACATTTGCAAGTGTAAGCATCATAATTTTATTATCTTCGCGTAGTTTACAGTGTTCAGTTCTAACGCCATTGAGCTACTTTGGAAAGGTTTACATTAAATGCATATGGTGACAAATCTGACAAATGTGTTAAAGGAAATATGGATGTATGCTTTTTAATTTGCACATACCCTTTTTACTTTATCTGTCGGGACATACTGGTGCACAAACAAGAAGAGACAGCAAGGACATTGCATGATTTTTACGCAAAGGGAAGATTGTGCCTTGAGATGCATTTGTCCTAATAATTTGGGTTTGGTTTCCTGTTGAAAAACTCGGCGCTGCTTGGGGCTCGAATCACTTCTGCTACACATAGAAGTAATTTTGAATTATCGTCGCCTCTGATATTCGCGATGTACCAGAAGATGAAGCACTCACGCTCAAAAGCGCAGCCGTCAAACGTATAGCCAAGCCACCTATTGTTTCACCAAGACAACTCCTACGGCAGCTCCTGTACATACGCACTCCCCAGGATTGAAATGTTCGCTGCCGGTTCCACAGCAGTAGAACCAGCAGTGAAGATAACTCCATGCAGAGAAACATCAGAGTTTCTGTGAGGTAGAACTCTGGACTGACAATCAGTGTTCAGTAAGTATAGATTTGGTGAAACGCTCTCGGTGTAACGTTAGTGCGTACAATTTCAAGATAGGATTTGTCAACTGTGGAGCGCGGCCGAAGCGTTAAAGCAGTGTTAAAGATGAGTATCTATAAGACAGAGATACTGCGTAAGTTGGTTGCTGAAAGACAAAGAATTGGCGATACACAACAGGGCTCTGGTATCATAGTGGAGTAGGCATTCTTAGCTGAATGCAGTTGACTATGTAAAATAAAGTCACCGAAGAATGAGGATGACCTGGCACACATACGGAAAAATGCTCAAGTCCTGACCCCTGCCTAGCGCTGTCACAAAGAGGAAAGTGTGAAATCACATAATTATGCCTGTTCTAACATAAGGGGGCAGAAAGTAGGAGAACTAATAAAAAGTTTTGGAAAGACTCTAAAGTACTGAGCGTGAAAAAACAAAAATATAGGAATCAAATAATCAATCAATCATTCAATCAATTAATTTGTCAATTACTCAAGCCAATCAACCGATGAGCTTTTTATGGCAAAAAGAATTCATACAAAGTATAAAATATGCAGACGAAGGTCCCTAAGTTCGTCACTGCAACAGGATCCTCGGCAACGGTTACAAATGAACAAAACAATTATAAGCAGCCATCGAAACTAAAAAATCAAAGCATAAAGTACACAACCAAAATAGGAAGCAAAAAGGCAAGAAACCGAAAACTCAGCATATAAAGAGTACAATTTAAAGCAGCATAACTCTGGTACAACTGAAAAAAAAACAAAGAATGCATTAAAGGGAATGAAAAAATGAATAGACGTGGAACCAAAACACTCATCATAAGTACAATATATAGCAATACGAATCTGGTAGACTTAAAAAAGAAACTTCATAAATTTCACAAATATTGCTTTATAAATTTTTTGAATGAAGTCAAGGAAATATTACATTTTAGTGATGAAGGAAAAAAGTTTGATAATGAAATGACTCAGAAGTGCGAAGATGAGTTACCATAGTTAGTATGAACCTTAGAAAGTGAGAAGTTATTGTTAGCATGAAAACCTGGTAGTGTTAGTATTTACTAAAAGTTCATATTCAATGAAATTGGTAAAAACTGTTATGTGTTTTTTGTTTATGTAGAAACATAACTAGATCGAATCTAAGTGGGTTTCTAACAGTTAGAATTTTATTAGAATGGATGATGTGATCGATGTTACTGTCACGAGTGCAGTTAAAATAACGCGTAGAGTTCTATTTTGTAAATGCTGTAAGGATGAAAGATTACACTGATAAGTATTACCTCATGAAACTATAGCATAAGTAATATCAGAATGTATGAAAGTGAAGTAAACAGAAAGAAGTGCTTAATGAGAAAAAGAATATGAGTGAGCTTTAAGTAATGCGTGAATGCCGAATGCTGCAATTTTTCTAACATGAGCAGTATGGAGATCAAATTTAAGGTTAGCATCGAGCTGAGCACCAAGAAATGATACGCTGTCACGAATAATAATGGAATGATACCCAAATATGATTCCTGGCGATGACGTTAACTTGCGTTGAGGTGGTCTAAGAACCACCAAGTTAGATTTATTCGGATTATTGAATAAATGATTTGCTTGACACCACATGAACACGTCACAAAGGGCAGCATTTACTTTATTAGTAACGCTAGTATTACATCTATCAGTGAAAGAAATGGTAGTGTTGTTATCATATACAACGCAGTAAGCCACGTGTATGATGTCAGAAAGGTCATAATTGTACAGTAAAAAAAAATTAGAGACCGAGTGGTGAGCCGTGATGGAACCCTTGATTTGTTGTTTTAGTAGATGAAAATGAACCTTGTATGTATATAGTATGTTTTTTTTTTGTTAACCAGGCAACTTTCGAGCTTTCTTGGACTAAATTCGAGCTTCTTGAACTAAATGAGAGGAATAATGGTGTCGAACGACTTTGTCAAATACAAGAAAACTGAGCCGATGATACACCCTTAATCGATGGAGCGTTTGATGACGTCAGAAAGGGAAGGTTAGTAGAACTTCCAGAATGAAAGCCAAATTGACAGGGCTCCAATACATTAAATTTATTCAGATGCTTGTTTAGCCAAGAGAGAGATGAGCTAAGATAGCAAAGATGCGTATCTTGGTTTTATGGCAAATACATCAACTTAGACAGAGCTGGTCATGAAAAGGACAGATTAGCAATGGTCCACACGAGCGAAAGAATTATCGAGAAATAGGAAACCTGACGGAAGACAACAAGGCTCTGGTGGAGCGAAGAAATTAAGAAGTTTGCATGCTAAAATGTATTTAGTTCGAGCAGAAAAGTTAGAGTTTAATAGGTGAAAACATCGTGCTGCAATGAATAAATCATAAGCTGGTGATATGATCATAACGTTGAAAATTCAGTTAGCACATGAGGTAACACGCAGTGCGATGTACTCTGGAAAATTGGGGAAGCCATAAGCTTCACTTTTAAGAGATGAACAGCACAACTATACCCTGTCCCTAGTTCTTGCTTCACCCACTTAGGGCATACAGTTTATTGTATGATGCTACTTGAGAAGTCCCAATATTAGATTATTACAATGTTTAAAATAAAGTTTCAAAGTAACCTTTGTTAGTGAGGCTTTCACACGTTAGTTATTTTTTTATTCATTTATTTGTTTATTTATAGTACCCTCAGGGTATAAATACACTGCGCGGGGGGGGGGGGGGCGTGCATAGTAAAAACAAGAGCATGAGCAATAACAGCGAAAAAGTAAAACTGGAAGCATTATACAAAATATTTGCAAAAATCTAGTGAAGTGCAATACTTTGGAAAAATAAACATGTAGTGCTTCAGTACGCTGGATAAGACATTTTCAAATGCAGTTGTATTAGTTATATCAGTTATGAAGGCTGCTAAGTGATTCCAATCACCTACTGTCCTGGGGACAAATGATTGTGAGCCTGCAGTAGATGAAAAATAGGGTATGTCAACATTGTAATGATGGTCAAGTCGGTGTGAGAGAAATGGAGCTGGATGTATAAACAAGGAACGAAGAGCAGGGTTATGTTAGTACATTTTACGAAAAAGACAAATGCGCGATTGTTTTCTACGTGTTGCTGAGGAAAATACATTGCTTTAAAGTGCGATTCATCGTGGTTAACAGCGCGAAACACCCGGACAGGAGCGATAGAAGGACACGGTACAGCGCTGACTTTCAACTGAAATTTTTATTGAAAACACGAGAATATATATATAGACAGAACAGAAGACCTCGTGACCAAACCAGCCCCCTCAATCGATAAAATTATACACGGCGACAAGGCTTTGTCATGTGCACGCAATCTTGCCACAAAAATAACACATACTTCAAACTATAAGATTCCAATGTCGCCAATAAAACCGGGCATGAGCAGACGAATGAACTTTAGCCACTATCTAACAAAGATAATTCATTACCAAGTAAGGCGATAGACGGCTGGCTAACGCATTGAGACCCTTTCTTATTTATAAAAAATGCCTCCATAATTTCTCTTGAAAGCTTGTCTGGGTGCTTGAAGAGTACTTTTGTTTTTTCAAAAAGTGGGTGGCATCCACATTCGCGGCAATGCAAAGACAAATGTGAATGCGCGAATCCTTTCAAGGAACTGTGGTGTTCCCTTAGCCGTATATTGACACACCGCCCGGTCTGACCAATGTACTCTCGCCCGCATGAAAATGGGGTTGAGTACACGACATTCTGCATGCACGGGAGAAACTTCATAGTATGTTTGATACTGCACTGCTGATAAATTCCAGTCTTCCTGCCTTCTATGCGAGTGTTTACTGCCTGGCAAAGTCCCTTAAGCTTCGTTCTGCTTGAAAACCCAACGTTTAATCTGAACTTAGATGCTACTTTCTTTAATCTGTGCGAAAAAGAATGAACATATGGAATGTAGACAGAACGGCTAAAATCTTTTTCTTTCACTCGGGAGGACTGCCCCTTGACCTCACGCAGCAGCTTATCGCAAGTCGTAGAAATGATAGAGTGAGGAAAGCCTGCATCACGCAGCCTCGCCACCTGATAGTTAACGCTGTCAAGCATACGATGGGGACAACTCTTATTGAGGGCGGACCTTATAGCGGAAGTGGCTATACCTCGTTTAATCAATTTCGAGTGCCCTGATCTGAAATCAAGAAGAGACTTCTTTGACCTCGGTTGATAGGTCCAACACACATGTTCCGCTTTGAAAGACAGTCTAAGGTCTAAGAACTGCAACTCCTCCTTTTCAGGAACCTCAATAGTAAACCTAAGACCTTGTCCCTGTTCATTAAACAAACTCTTATTGAGGGCGGACCGCTATAAGGTCCGCCCTCAATAAGAGTTGTCCCCATCGTATGCTTGACAGCGTTAACTATCAGGTGGCGAGGCTGCGTGATGCAGGCTTTCCTCACTCTATCATTTCTACGACTTGCGATAAGCTGCTGCGTGAGGTCAAGGGGCAGTCCTCCCGAGTGAAAGAAAAAGATTTTAGCCGTTCTGTCTACATTCCATATGTTCATTCCTTTTCGCACAGATTAAAGAAAGTAGCATCTAAGTTCAGATTAAACGTTGGGTTTTCAAGCAGAACGAAGCTTAAGGGACTTTGCCAGGCAGTAAACACTCGCATAGAAGGCAGGAAGACTGGAATTTATCAGCAGTGCAGTATCAAACATACTATGAAGTTTCTCCCGTGCATGCAGAATGTCGTGTACTCAACCCCATTTTCATGCGGGCGAGAGTACATTGGTCAGACCGGGCGGTGTGTCAATATACGGCTAAGGGAACACCACAGTTCCTTGAAAGGATTCGCGCATTCACATTTGTCTTTGCATTGCCGCGAATGTGGATGCCACCCACTTTTTGAAAAAACAAAAGTACTCTTCAAGCACCCAGACAAGCTTTCAAGAGAAATTATGGAGGCATTTTTTATAAATAAGAAAGGGTCTCAATGCGTTAGCCAGCCGTCTATCGCCTTACTTGGTAATGAATTATCTTTGTTAGATAGTGGCTAAAGTTCATTCGTCTGCTCATGCCCGGTTTTATTGGCGACATTGGAATCTTATAGTTTGAAGTATGTGTTATTTTTGTGGCAAGATTGCGTGCACATGACAAAGCCTTGTCGCCGTGTATAATTTTATCGATTGAGGGGGCTGGTTTGGTCACGAGGTCTTCTGTTCTGTCTATATATATATTCTCGTGTTTTCAATAAAAATTTCAGTTGAAAGTCAGCGCTGTACCGTGTCCTTCTATCGCTCCTGTCCGGGTGTTTCGCGCTGTTAACCACGATGAATGCTCACCAACTAGCCCAGTTTTCCATCTTGCTAAAGTGCGAGCAATTAAGCGCGCGCACATTTTCGAGTTCGCAATGCATGCACCAGTGGTTTTGAGGACATACGTGCCGTAACACGTGTGCTTTTCGTAACGGCTATATACCCATTATATGGTCCAGAAGGCTATGTACACTTGTACAACACAATATTACTGATATTTTACATGCTACATTGTCAAGCCATACAGGAAGCGTGTGTTTGTAAAGCATGAAAGCTATTCACACTGCATTTTGTATTCTAATCATTTTGTATTTGCACTGTTTTTCCAAGTAGACGCAGGGCTGCGTATTAGCACACCTGCTGCGACCTTGGCTGGTATTCGGGAAAATTTTATTTTGGTTACTTGGATACTTCTCGATTTCTTGGTCATGGACAACATGATATTTCGCTCATATTCAACGATGATGGCGGTGAAACCAACACCGAAACTGACACCGACGGCAACGCCGGGATTTCTGTGAAAGGAGCTTCCTAGCACTATGTCGCTAATATATCCTGTTATGGGATCAAGGTGGCGGAACACTTTACTTCATTTATGCACTGGCAGGTAAAGAAGACGTGTGAAAATTCTTCGAATTCTGCTGTAGTTGCCAATGCACATTCTAAAAAAAGTAAGTAGAAGACGCAACACAAGTAGAGAAGGACAGACTATACGCTGCCTAAGAACTGAAGTTTGTTGAAACAAAATTGAATGCAAAGAAAACCAACACATGTGAGCACAGAAACTTCAGGTGGCGCCAAAGAAATGGTTGAGCTTGTGCACTTGGTAATCTAGAAAATAAGTAAACGTTTAAGAAAGAAATAGTTGAGATTGCGGACATCCCAACCTAGTTCACGGATGGTTCAGATACACATTACCCTTCTTCTTGTATAAAGAACGCTTCAGCAAGGTGACGTGCCTTTTTGTCTTAGTGTTTCAGCATGACCGTGTCACTGAAAAAAGATTCGCACACACATGACATGCAATAGGCCGAATGGTGTGATGTCGGCATTCCCTTTAATGCATTCTTGTGCTGGCGAAGTCTTTCGCGAATTCATTTATCATACTAGGATATATACACATTTACAAAGGAGAGAAAAATCTTATAGACCACAATAAGAGAGTTTCCTGCTTCGTTCAGCTCACATGATACAAAATATCTTAACCTATATCCCCTCCGTACCTACCTAGCTGTCATGTCCTTGTGTTCAAAGTGCGGAACCATAGCTACCTACCAAACACACAAAACACACCAACAAATTCACTGATTGCCGTACAAATGTGGTATGTACGGTTACTTTCATCCGCGGACCCTTTTACGTAGGTTAGAGGGGCCCCTGCATTGAACATCGATTACTGTCACATGAGTGATCGCTAACTGGAGCCTCGCCTTCCAATGTTTCTTTGCACGGTCTATAGTGTTTGTTATAAGGCTACGCGGAAATTCGATGAATGCCCAGTTTTGTAGTTGCATAGGAATTATTATACGCATCCGATGATTGAAGCACGGCATACCGATAATATCAGTGGTAGATGCACGAGCCAGCCATTGAATAATTTGCATAAAGATGAAATCAAATGCATTAACTGCTATCTCTTCCGTATAGAGCCCCGAACGTGCCAGATTAATAGGTTCGCATTTTGCATGGGCATAGCGCCTGTAAGCTTCCGTGCCTTTTTTTTTTTCGTCGTTATGCGCATCTTAGGTTTTTAGTAGGCAATCGTGGTGTTTTGACTTCCTTCTTCGGTCGCTGTGAATACGCGCCGTTTTCGGGGATGAGTACAGCTCAGCGAGTCAATGCGAAGGCAGAGTTTCAGAAAGTTCAGTTTCGCCACCAGGGGGCAACGGCGACGGAAGAGGATATTGCAGCCCACTTCATGAATCACACACAAGTTATCGTGCCTTAAAATGAGGCGTCGGCCGAAAGAAAGACAAAGTAAATAAAACGAACAAGGAAAGCGTGATAACAAAGAAAAATAAAGGGACATAGTTATCATTGCTCTGCACACGGCACTGGGTCAGAGTTTCCTTCACTCATGATAGTGTGCGTACACACACCCGTTTCCAGGCACCGCAATATGGCGATGGAGCTACTTCAAAGGGAAGGCAGGTTCGTTCGTTTACTGCTTCCTTTTAATTTTTGGTCCACGAAGTTCTTATTGGTATTTCATTGTGTTGACTGGGTAGTTATTTCTTTGGTTGCTGTTGGAAGTCACAGGATTGTCTAGGCGATTGCCTCCCACTAGCTAATGGGCACTATTCCTTTGAATGGACATAATTTTACGTAAGCCGTTTACATATGTTTTCACCCAAAGCACGTAGGTTGCTTACGTATTTTGTGAATAAGAAAGATTACTGATTTCCTTCTTACGATCAACCATCGCTACGCCGATGATATGGTTAGTTTTGAATATAAAGTTCTGCGCAAAATTTTTGCGCAGTGCCTGAGGTGATATTAGCTCGTACATTGGTTGATAACTCATATGTTTTCGGGGTAAATTGTGTTGCATGCAGAGGATAATGGAGCTGGTTTGAGAGAATTTTTTTTTATCTGTTTTTGAAGAAAGCATTATTGTTACATCTGATACTTTTTTATGTGAACTCGAATATTATTATGCTCGCCTTCTGAGCCTGATTCGTCATTTCTGGCGCTGCTTTATTGCGTCTTGAATATTTATATGGCACATTTTTTCTTTAATTTGAAGGTGTGTAGTGTCATGCAGGATCTGAAAGCTTTTCATGATACAATTGGCAATTATGGAAAAAAAAAACCCGTTTACTAGATTATTTGCAGTAAAAAGTGTGAATCTCTACAATCAATTTGAATAACCCGAGAGAATCTCAATATTCACGACACCCAAAATAAAAAGTTACAGATATCAAGTGCTGAACTCTGGTCGATATGTCACTTTCAGTGATTCAACATCAGAATAACGTATTTCATTCACTGGTATCCTCATACTCGAGCACAATTCAAAAAGAAGTAAAACGGTTCATTCCATATTAAAAGTTTATTAAGACATTAGGTGTAATGTTGTTTATTTACGCTTCTTGTTTCATGCTGTTTTCATAACAATTCATTGGTATGACAAGTATGTGTGTTTTATGATACATCTAAATGCGATAGCGTTAAAAAATTCGAAGGATACGCCATTGGTTGTAATTGTTGTTTGAAATTTCTTTATAATAACATGGTGTTCTAACCAAGCAGGCCATAAGGAAACACACTTTTACTATGTGCGCCATATTTTACCTAAAGTTCAGTTTGTTGGCCGTCTGTCTATAGGTAACACTTAACTGCTCTTTTTTTTCCCTTGCATTTCAATTTTTTCAATCGTGCTTGCAATATATATAAAGCAACAAAAAAGCCAATGGCACCATTACAATCAAACAACAAACGTTAAAAACAAAGATGCCTCGAAAAACACTGTCTTCCTAACAGAGTACTAAAGCAGTACATTTCATAAACATTGGATACCATTCGAACTGGAACTCTGCTTGATCATAATAGTTGTTGAGCTTTGAAGCCATTGATATAAACATTGACCACGAAGAGAGATTTGCTTTGCCATGCCAAAGAGAGATTAGCTTTAACATAAACTGTGTGCATACTCATTAGTAGGAGCATTCCAACTGGCATAGCGTTCATTATATGTGGCCTTAGACAAACTTTGCTACGAAAACTTGAATACAGTTGTTTTTTCACGGCCTCTTGGAGAACATTACCAAATATGATGTTATTCTTGAAACTAAAGAAGTAACATTCTGTTGTTTAGTAACGTCCAAATTGTACAATTATTTGAAGATGCAAATATACATTTACTGCTTATCGAGGCTCTTAGAGGTTGTATTTGGACATGGGCCTGGCATGTAGCATGTATACAGGATAACCGCTAGTCTATGAGGGTAACTAGCTAGATTTCCAGAGAAGGAAAGTGGTTTAGGGGGAGACACAAAGTTAGATGGACAGATGAGATTAGGAAGTTTGTGTGTATAAAATGGCAGCAGCCAGTACAGGACCGAGTTGGCTGGCGGAACATGGGAAAGGCCTTTGTCCTGCAGTGGACGTAGTCAGGCTGATGATGATAATAATGATGATGATGGTGATTGAAATTATGATGATGATAATGATGATTTTCATGCACCTTGGAAGTATATGTCTTGGAGGTAAGCGATAGGGGGATTTTTTGTGCACCCAAAAGCATGTCAAGTGTAATATAGAGGGACCTGCTTAATTTAGGCGGAAATAAAATATGTGAAATACCTTCACAGATATTTTCATTCACTAGAAAACAAGCTGCAAAGCTCACTGACATAAGTTGCACTTATTCGTACACTTCACGCATAATTCCTTTATAGCTGCTTTTTAAAAATGGCACTGGCATAACGTACTATGACGAGACCAGTTGACACATCCAATATTGCTTGGTAGAAGGGTAAAATTGCACCACGCTCCACAGAATGTGATTTGAGTGACGACGTGTTGAATTTAAATTCAAATCACTGCTAACCGCTCAGGTATACCTAATGTGGATCATGAGCAACATCATTAACAAAGTGTTCAGCAGCCCATATTTCTTTAAGGGCACGTAGTGGGTGTTAGGCTATTTCGTAAATTCGATCAATTAAGGTATAGCACAGTGGATCACTTCAAAACAGTACTTGTAGTAACGATTGAATGTTAGTGTAAAGAGGGCTGTGCGCACTCATGTTTCTTTCCTCAAGGCACGGTAGAGGTGTTCGCCGGGAAGGAAAACTTAGCCATCGAATGATTACACGATTGATATGTGGGGTTTAACGTCACAAACTACCATATGATTATGAGAGACGCCGTAGTGAAGGGCTCTGAAATTTCGACCACCTGGGGTTCTTTAACGTGCACCCAAATCTGAGCACACGAACCTAAAACGATTCCGCCTCCATCGGAAATGCAGCCGCCGCAGCCGGGACTCTGTCCCGCAACCTGCGGGTCAGCAGCCGAGTACTTTAGCCACTAGACCACCACGGCGGGGCAGCTTACACGATGAGAACGGTGCACGATTATCCTATTGCTTTGTGCTCTTAAAGGCGAAACTCAGGTACCCTCCATGTTTTTCGATAACTTAACCACGTCAGAATTGCTGCTGTTTGAATTGTCTTGAAGAATAGATGATGCATTTCGCATTCACAGGTGGTACCTAGGAGTGAAAGTCAAGGACAAGATTCCTGTTTCGTGCCTGGTACTTCAGGGCAACAGCGACACTATATACCGTTGCGTGAACTGCAAGTTCGTCCCAGAAACGTTGTGCCATCTAGAATGCAGGCACCAAATGTGTGAAGGCTGTTTTGGAACCTTCACAACGTATATTTGTGAACGTGACCAGACTGTCACAAGGAAAGAATCGGTAAGTTCAAATAGATCGAATGAATAGGAACATAAATTTGTCTTGTTGGTTTACCGTAAGATAGCTCGTAGCACAGTACAGGAAGAGATGAGGAAGCGGCGGCAAACGAACACAAGAGCTTGTGTGCATTTGCTAATGCATCGCTTGTTCACATTCTTTCCCGCACAGTTATACAAATCGATTGAGCCTGTTGAATTTTGTCACGTTTTTAGACCTTTTCTACCGGGTTACTGTTAGATTAACTTAAAAAAATAGCGACAACTCATGCTAAAGTACCCATAGTAGCTATTCCACATAATTTCATTGCCTGAATTTTAGCTTAATGAAAGATTAGCTGTATTGGGATTACAAAATCTGTTGTTGAACAAGTAATAACATTTTTAATAAAAAATATAATAGAAAGAAACAGGAGCGCAATTAATTTGGCATTCCCTTGGTCTTCGAAACATAGGTACCTTACTGATAAATTCAAAAAATTAGGAATTATGTTTACCTGCATACAGCTTATATGACATAGAGTTTTGCCAGATATGGAATAATCTTAAAGCAATGTAGCCAACAAGTTCGTAGGACGTTGAAGCCCAAAACACTGTACGCGGAACGTCGAAAGTAATTTCCGCAAAAACTTCAGACTGAACTAGATCAGCAAGTAGCGATAGCAAAACAACAGTGCTGTTTCAGATCATCAAAATTACTGAAGATTCGCAGTGCCGTTACATTTTGTTAATCTCCGTTTAATGAAGTTCACGAGAGAACATGCCGTGCGCGTCATAATTACAGAAGTTTCGCGTAGAATGCACGTGGTAGGCACCGATGCTACCATGCTAACTGCGCGTCAACAACCCGTACGGCCCTTGGCCTCTCCGCAATAATGGTATGATTATTTTACATTTCGCTACAGAGCTTTGTGATATGGAGTAGCCGAGGCAATAGGCACCTCAACCTCTCCACAGCAAAACAGTTAAAAACAGAACAGAACAGAAACAGAATAGGAAGTTTTAGAAAGGGTACGCGAAGATAGCATTCGTTGCGCACGTACACAGTTTTTACCACTTAAAGAGGTGGCAAAAATGTTTTGAAGGTGCATACGTTCTTCAGCATAACGGAAAGTTAATTGGTCCGGAATGTCTAACCACGACGTGGTATCGCGAAAAACGTCGTGATACATTTGTGACCGGAATTTCTTCATGTGCGGGCGAATGTGCAGTCTTATGCAGTACAAAGAACCTATATGCAAACAGTTACCGTGAGAGTGGTTTCTGTGGTGAGACATTTTGTCCAGCTTGTGCGTTCGAAGCTTTTACACGTCACCGAATCGCGCTAGTAGTATTCTGCATATTTAACCCTTCAGTCATATTCAACAATGAGCATTCAATGAAAAAGAGATAAGGAAAGGAACGGAGACAAACGCTGCCTTCCAATTTACAAGGGCATCGATGCAGACTTCTGAATTCTGGCTCCCATGCTTCTTGTATGGACTCGAAACGACGAGAACGAAGAGAATAAAGTACACATACACTGGTGCTTAGTGCATGCGTAGTTTATTCAATTTGTTCTCATCTATTCGGGCTCTCATCTAGGAAGCTGTCTTTCAAGTTACAACTGAGAATGAATTGAAAAAAATTTGTTTATATGAGTCGGCATACAACATAACGTGAGCACGCACAAAAAATCACGTAACATCCATGAACTGTTTTAAGAAAAAAAAAAAACACTGATTTAACAGGGTGAAGTCAAGAAAAGCTGTCAAGAAAACACAGCTGTGTTAGTGTCAAGGTAACCGAGGGTTTGATAACAAAGTTATACTTGGTAATAACAGAGATGAAAATTATTCCCCTAGTTAGATCATTTGCTCGTTTGACCAGGACCCTCGTTTGGTCTAACGCGGGAGTACATCGCACCGATATCAATGTTAAGAAAGAAACCATCTTCTCACGCAGTTTAATAAGGTCTAAAAAGCGCCCTTGCATAAGCGACAGAAATGAATAAGAGAAGTGCCTTGTGCTTTCAAAAATTGTAAAATCGACAACTGTTTCGTGTACAAAAATGACAGAAAATCGTGTAACAAGAGATGAACTATGCAGACATGTAATCCAATGAAGGTAACACCATTTTACTCAATAGGCTTATAAAAACATGTGCTGCAAATAGGCCTAAACAGGAAAGATGCTTCCAACAGTTGGCATTGCATCTTGTCTATATCTATTTATAGATCTTATTTTTTTTCCTGATTGAATCAACATAGAATTTGAGCTTACTTATTGGCAAACTTGCTCATGTATACGGTGAATGCTATACGAAATACGGAACTAACTATCCTACGCTTATACAAACACACACACACACACACACACCCAACACACACACACACGCACACACACACACACACACACACACACACACACACACACACACACACACACACACACACACACACACACACACACACACACAAGAAGCTAGAGATGCCCCGAGTGCCATTTGTTTGCTAACTATATAACAGTGAAATATGCTAACTTTTTAGCTAGATCAGAAATGAGTCCTAAAAAAAGGTGCAACCCACGGACAGGTGCTGTGACCCGCAAATAATTTTGTGATATCAGAGGAAACTACAAAGTAGATAATTACGTAACAGACAAATAAAAATTTATATTCTTACGCATTTTAACGTAAGAAGAAACAAACACATCTGCAAATGTAGCTGAGAAATATTGAACGCGGCATTGATCTCAAGTGCTTAAAAGTCGAGCATTTTCTCACGCAAGTCTGAACCACGCTGCTTCCTCACGTCCCATATTTTTTTGTAATATAAGTACTCTCATTACATGGTATATTTTCCACGTTCTAATTACTTTGAGAGGTGTCATGAATTTTTTCAAGAGTACAGCTCACAAGTAGGATTGAGCTCGAAGTGAGCCTCAAAACAACAGTAGAGTTCGTATGTTTCGTCATATTGTGCACTGATCTCTAAAGCCTCCTAAAATCTACAACAAAATTAATGCGCATTGTCAATCGATGTTTCGTATCATTCAGTTCTTTTGCGTATGCACTGCCAATAGGTTGCTGTGGCCTGAGTCTGAGAATGCAGACAAAGGTCAATGTTTCTGTATAGGGAATATACAATGAAATGAGAATGCTGACAGTATGGTTGATTTTAGACGTTTTTATTCTTTAGGTGCTCACTTCAGAGAAACGATGCAACACAGACCTTGAAGCATTTGTTCTTCAGTGCCCTAGTTGCGACCAAAAAAGGGACTACCCCTCTATCAAGGTATGAAAAAGTGGAGGTGTGCGCATTCTGTCTGATCAATTATAACATCTGTCGAGTTGTTTTCAAGTTGCGTTAAGTGTGTCTCTAAACGTAGAAAAAGCAATATCTTATATAATGCGCCCCACACAAGATCAAGGATGGACGCACGTTAAAGAACCCCAGGTGGTCGAAATTTCCGGAGCCCTCCACTACGCGCCTCTCATAATCATATGGTGGTTTTGGGACGTTAAACCCAACAAAATCAATCAACAAGATCAAGAATATTCTCGCATGATTTTGAATGGAACGCGCGTCATCGGAGAGCACCTCACAGTTTAATGCGTAGCGCTCTGCCTCAGGATAGTAAGATAAGCCTTTATGATAGACGCGTACGTGCATGTGGTCATCTAGTTCACGAGAATTCCGCGAAGTCACTAAAGGCGCCGGGCGGCCGTCGTACGGCGTCAGCTGTGCTCCTCCCGAAAAGCACCACGAGTGGCGCCAGGGGCGGCACTGGCATGTGAAGCAGACGATGCGAAGGAGACTCTGCTACTGTAAGCATAGCATTCGTAGTGTAGCAGCGGTGTTTCGTTTGGAACAAGCCTAAGCTATACGCTGCTGCATTTGTCACCAAGGCAAAGAAAAGGGGCTGTAACAGCGTTTTTTTGAAAAAAAAAATGCACGAAGAGTACAACTGTAGGACTAGTGTTCAGATATTAGGACCTCCCACCAGGCTTCTGGGATATTCCCGCGCAAGTCGTTTACGATCATGGCAGCGTTTATTGGTCACCAAGTCATCTAGAAAGAATGACACGTGTCCCTACCGTGTCTTCACGTAGACGAGCTCCATCGGAATTAACATCGACTCAGCTTCTTTGCGTTGTGCTGTAGCTTTAGGCATTCGTTTTTGTTTGGAAGCGGACCAGAAAGGGAATGATGCCTTCTCCCTGTCAGGACTGCAAGTGAGACCAGCCCCGACTGGCGAAATGCTGCAAAATAAAGTAAAAATATTTGCATTTGAACGCCAGAACTTGCTGTTACACTCTGCTGGCGAGTCCTGAAAGCGCGACTGCGCCCGTGGCGATGCCAAGTATATTGCGCTGCAGCTTTCAAGACTTGACTAGCTGAGCCACAGGATTTTGTGCATTTCTGTACGAAAGGGTTCCCGCTTGCACGTAGCAGGCAGGCTACGCGTGTGAAATCACAGAATATTGTTACGAGTAACTTATTTATTAAATTATGTACGATGGACCGCGCTCGGTGAACAAGATGGCGACAGTTCATCAACAACCAGCAACTGACGTCGTCTTTCTCTTTCATGCAGCAATGCTGTGCCGGCTGTTGTGTATGATAACCCCCCGGTGGTAGAAGCACCGTCTCGGTGCTTGAGCTACTCGGATACGGTAGAAGGAGGGTGTTAAGGCTCGAGTCGAGCTATGTTCACGATGTCGCTCAAAGCTGACGATGATGACGTTGGATCGGCTGGAACGATCTCGTATGTAACGTCAGTCACCTGGCGAACGACGCGGTATGGTCGAGTGTAGCGTGAAAGCTGTTTTTCAGAAAGACCTACACGCCGAGTGGGGGACCAGAGGAGGACAAGGAAATGTGGTGAAAAGTGCACGTTTCGATGATGGGAATCGTAGAGATGTCTTTGGTGCTCATGTGAGGCCTGCAGGCGGCTGCGGGCGAGTTGGCGTGCGTGGTCGGCTCGCGCGATGGCTTCGCCGGGATACTCAGGGAATAAGGGCAGCAAGGTGTCAAAGGATAGGGCGGGCTCTAGGCCGTAGAGAAGTTAGAATGGCGAATAGCCGGCGGTGTCGTGTCGTGATGAATTTCATGCGAAAGTCACAAATGGCAAATGAACGTCCTGGTGGTCGGCCGGTACGTATTTAGAAAGCATGCCGGTTATGGTGCGGTTGAGGTGCTCCGTAATACCGTTCGTTTGCGGATGGTACGAAGTGGCAAACTTGTGCTTGGCAGAGCAAGAGCGCAGGATTTCATCAACGACAGCTGATAGGAAGGTCCGGCCCCGGTCAGTGAGAAGTTGGCGTGGAGCTCCGTGTACTAAAATATTATCATATACCAGAAAGTCCGCCACATTGGTTGCGCAACTCGTCGGAAGTGCTCATGTGATAGCGTACCGTGTCGTATAGTCAGCGGCGACATCAATCAATTTGTTGCCTCAGCTGGAGATCAGGAATGAGCCAAGCAGATCACATAACATCATCACTGTATTTCCTTAACGACCCCTCAAGGGGGTATTACATAAGGGGTGGGTATACAGTGTAGCCAGGTGACTTCACTCGGTAAGAAAGTTTGCCACATAGTCCAAGAAGTTTGATGGATTAGTAATTGCTGCAATGATGTAGAAAAGGTCATTCCAATCTGTCGCTGCTCGGGGAAAATGAAGAGGAAAGTGTGAGGGTGTGAGCACGTGGGCCAGCCCCCCCCAAAAAAAAGGTTTAGTGGAAATGTCGATGAGCTGAACCTTTTTTTTTTCGAGTTGTGTGTGTTTTTTTTGCGTGCTGTGTATCAATATGAAGATGACTACGAGTGCACCTATACACATGAAGCTCAATGCTACCAGACGTGATGTAATAGCACCATTTACATTTCTCTTTGAAATGCTACGCATTTCTTTGCGCACCAGAGGCACTTCAAGTGTTTCTATCTGCGTGTCTATCTATCTAGACACCGGAGTCAATACAGGTGCTCTGGTTGTAGCCTTCTTAAGCTAATAGATTTTAGCTACTATCAGCCCAGGTGCTTACGAGATTATGACAAACATGACTACCTGGTTGCGACATGAGTAGCGCGAAAGTCCTGGCGTATATATGTGATGAAACCGCTTCCTATACAGCCACATGTGGCACATACACGGGCCTCGAGATGCGCGTATGAGCCAGACTTGATTCACAGTTCATATTTCTACGCAGTTAGCGCATGAAGGGGGAACCAATCTGCGCACAGAAGACGACGAAGGGGACTGGCTTGTCCGCAGCGCGTGCTGTGCTCCGTCTCAATCCGTCTCAATCAAAGAAGAAGCTTGTCTTCACTGCCGTCGGTGCTGGTTGTTTCGATCGAAGCTCAAGAAGGCGATTAATCTAGGGCCAAGCTGTTTTGTTCCTGGTTCCTGTTCCTGTTCGCGTTGTTCCTGTTCTGCGCTGCTGCTCACGGGTTGGAACGGCTTGAACGACGGGCGGCGGGATTGCACTTGAGTTTAACGTTTTCTTCTTTGTTGTTTTAGTGATTTTTCGGCAGTTGTTTGTGGTTTGTGCCATATGATTTTCTCAGTTCAAGCGACTCAGGCTATCTAGATGTCGGTTTCTTCGCCTGGCCAAGGGCCTTCTCCTTGGCTAGCATCTATACCGGTCAAGGATTGGCCAATTGATTCTTTTCTTTGCAGTGGGGTTATTAACGTCCCCGTGGCTTTGGTACCGACCAATGGAGGTACGATACCTATGAAGAACCCGAAGATGATTCAAATGGAGCTTCGGAAAGCCACAACACACTTTCAAAAGATCACTGAGGTCCGGCATTTCGGTCGTGGTGGTATTTTGTGCTGCTCTGCCGATCAGGAGTGCGTCCGAGAGCTTCTCAACTGTTCCGAATTTGCAGCACAGCCGGTGAGCCCGTTTATTCCAGCGCATCTGGCATGTTCGAAAGGCATAGTCCGCGGTGTAGATACGAGCCTGACCCCTGCAGAAATTCTTGAGTTATTTTCAGTAGCAGGTGCAGTGTCAGTATACAGGTGCACGCGTCTGGTTGACAATAAAAAATCACCTACCGAATCGGTCATAGTAACCTTTGCGGGAACGATAAGACCATCTGAAATTAAAGCTTGGCCTCTTATCTATAAGGTAGAGCCTCTATCCCCTAAGCCACTGCAGTGCTTGAATTGTTGGAGATATGGCCACAGCGTGAAAGGGTGCAGATCAACTGCCAGATGTCGACTATGCGGAGAAAATCACGACAGCCGTAAGTGCAACTCGACGGAAGAGAAGTGCTGTTTATGTCATGAGGCGCATCCTGCAGACTCTTCAGATTGTGAGGCGAAAGAACGAGAAGTTAAGCTGTTGGAAATTGTGGAACGCAGGCGTTGCTCCCGGAGGGAAGCTGTGACTGAATTACAAGAACGCTCGAAAGGTTACGCAAGCGTAACAGCACGACACACCACTGCTATGGATGCATCGTTAGCAAAATATATAGCAGAGGCTGTAGAGAAGGCAACGGAAAAGGCGATGGAGCGTCTTGCCAGCAGTATTATTGGAGTCGTGGCTGAATTGTTAACATCTCAGTTGACCCAAATCATTGCTTCAGTGTCTATGAAAAATCAGACTTCACAGGATTTGGAGGTTTCAAATTGTGCCGGGACAGAAAGTCCGATAGCTCCTACACGATGCTCATCTCCTAAAGCAGGACCCTCCAATAAGATACTGCGGACAGATCTAGAAACCGTATCAGATGACACTGATGAATTCACAGATATGGATGCGGAATCTCATAATTTCTTGAAGCGCGCCAGATCTCCCCTATCGAAAAAGTCTTCACAGAAATCAAAATCTAAAAAGTTCCTGTCAAAGAAAGACGTTTTGGAGAACCTCTCTAAAAAGACTTTTTGAAGAAAGATCTTTTGGATCAAGCAGTCTCTGCGGCGGGTTTATAGAATCAAAATAGGCTCCTTAAAAGTATTACAGTAGAATTGTCGATCAATAGGGTCGGCTACCACAGATTTATTGTGTATTTCTTCGCAAATTTCCCCAGATATTATTACTTTACAAGAAACTTGGCTTACAAACGGACAAAAATTTTACCTAAAAAATTATCGCTTATTTCGTTTAGACAGACCTAGCAGAGGTGGTGGACTTGCCATTTTTATATCAACTAAATTTAGTCATAGAGCGAAGATTAACTACCTGTGCATGGATTCTAACTATGAAATTATGGTATTAGACATCACTCTGCCAGGCTGTTCCCCTTTTTCTTTTGTTAACGCATACTTTCCGGTAGGAGTACAG